TGGGAGCGGAGGATATAGTAATGCTCAACAATGGCTGCCTTTGTTGCACGGTTAGGGGTGATCTTGTGAGGATGATTTCTGAGTTAGTCAATAAGAAGAAAGGAAAGTTCGACCATATAGTGATTGAGACAACAGGTAGGAACCATTTTATTTTATAGCCACTAAGCTCTAGAGTTATTTCATCTTTATTATGTTCTTAGTAATGAATATGTTCTGTATAAATTCCTTTTCAGGGTTGGCAAACCCGGCCCCGATTATCCAAACCTTTTATGCAGAGGATGAAATTTTCAATGATGTCAAACTGGACGGCGTTGTTACTCTTGTTGATGCTAAGCATGCTCGTTTGCATCTAGATGAGGTCAAACCCAAAGGTGTTGTCAATGAGGCTATTGAACAAATAGCGTATGCAGATCGTATCATTGTTAATAAGGTAATCAAAGTTTTGAACCTAATTATATCCAAGAGAATGTGATAGTATTAGTGTTCGTGAGAGGTTGATTGTGTCCTTATCATAAAATTCAGGCCCTTCTTATCTTACGTAGTTTATCTTCATTTGCACTAATGGTATTGACACGTCGTAAGTGATGGATCCATGTTTTACCTTAATGTATGGGGAAGTTATCGATTGTCCATAATATATTGTTCTTTCTGGGCATAGCTCTTGTTCTGAAAATTGAGTGTACTATGCTGCAGACTGATCTTGTTGGTGAGCCAGAATTAAGTTTGGTGGTGCAACGCATAAAGGTCGATCCTGCTTCTTCTTCATGTCTCTCATTAGATGATTATACAGTATACCTGTTCACATGTTCTTCTCATGTTGACGTATTTGCTGTGGCAATCTGCAGACTATTAATAGCATGGCTCAGATGACGCGGACAAATTACGGAAACGTTGACTTAGATTATGTTCTTGGAATTGGAGGTTTTGATCTAGAGAGGTCTGGTTCTTGTTATATTTATGATAGCAATTCATCTGGTTGCTCGTAGCTTTATGCATTTATTAAGGTGTTTTTTTTTTGTGTCTGTTACGTAAATCCTGCTTTATCAGAATCGAAAGCGCTGTGAATGAAGATGAAAAGGAAGATCATGATGAGTGTCACGATGATCATCACCATGATCATGACCACCATCACCACAATGAACATGGTAAGTTTGTTAATGGTTGTACCTGAAAAGGGCATTAGGGTAAAACGCCTTTATTAGTTATATTGGTTGTAGGCTTCAGCATTATAAAAATGGTAATTAGTCTCGGATTCTGAAAACTGCAGATCATCATCATTCTCATGATCACACCCATGATCCCGGTGTTTCGTCGGTCAGTATAGTTTGCGAAGGGAGCTTAGACCTTGAGAAGGTAACAGAAAAAGTCCCATTTAAGCAACTGATTGATGGAAACTGTACGTTAAACCATTTCAAATTGTGTCACAATCCATCAGGCAAACATGTGGCTCGGGACGTTACTAATGGAGCGCAGTGAGGATATCTACAGAATGAAAGGTCTACTCTCGGTCCACACCATGGAGGAGAGATTCGTGTTTCAAGGAGTCCATGACATATTTCAAGGATCACCAGACCGGTTATGGGGGAAAGACGAAGCCAGAGTCAACAAGATCGTCTTCATTGGCAAGAATTTGAACCGGGAGGAGTTAGAGAAGGGTTTTAAAGCTTGCTTGATTTGATTTTTGGAATCTTTTATTTATATATATCCATTAAAACCATGCCATGCCACTTCTGGCAGATCTTGTATCCTACTGTTTTAAGATCAAAATTTTGTTTGATGTCGTGAGAAAATGATGAAACATTGAAATAGTCGAATAGACATAAATAATAGGGACCCTAAATAATAAGCGCCACAAAGGCCCATATCGACATAATAAAAAGTTTATTTACGGGCCAAATATAAGCTTAAATATAGGCCCGATGGACATGAAAATAGACACATTAAAGGCCCAATGTCTGTAACAATATCCCGTTAACGGCCCACATAGCCTGCCTTTGTATCGGCGCCGTCTAAACCCGATTACCGAATACAGTATAAGAAAACTGACCGACTCGACAATCTCTAAGAGAGAAACCTAGAGTTGTTTGCGATCGGGAGAGATCTGTTGATTCGAGGTGTGATTAGGTTTTCGGTTCATAGAAGTTAGTGAGTGGATTTTCGAATCATGGAAGAGGATGATGATTACGTGGAGTATGTTCCAGTGGCAAAGCGTAGAGCGATGGAAGAGCAGAAGATACTTCAGCGGAAGGGAAAGGTCCCGGAGTTGGAGGAAGAAGCGGACAAGGACAAGCTCGCTGAAGCTAAACCTAGCTTGCTTGTTCAAGCAACTCAGCTCAAGAGAGATGTACCCGAAGTTAGTGCTACAGAGCAAATAATTTTACAAGAGAAGGAGATGATGGAGCATCTATCGGATAAGAAGACGCTTATGTCAGTTCGAGAATTGGCCAAAGGTATCACTTATACAGAGCCTCTGCTAACGGGTTGGAAACCCCCTTTGAACATTAGGAGGATGTCGAGTAAACAGAGAGATTTGATTAGGAAGCAATGGCATATTATAGTTAACGGTGAAGATATCCCTCCGCCAATCAAGAACTTCAAGGATATGAAGTTTCCGAGACCTGTTCTCGAAACGCTCAAGGAGAAAGGAATAGTGCAGCCGACTCCGATCCAAGTTCAGGGTCTTCCTGTGATTTTGTCAGGGAGAGATATGATTGGGATTGCCTTCACGGGTTCAGGAAAGACTTTGGTTTTCGTCCTTCCTATGATCATGATTGCTCTGCAGGAGGAGATGATGATGCCTATCGCTTCTGGAGAAGGTCCCATTGGCCTTATTGTTTGTCCGTCTAGAGAGCTTGCTAGGCAGACTTATGAAGTCGTGGAACAGTTTGTCGCTCCTTTAGTCGCGGCTGGATACCCGCCATTAAGGTCGTTGCTTTGCATCGGAGGTATTGATATGAGATCCCAGTTGGATGTTGTCAAGAGAGGTGTTCACATCGTTGTTGCAACCCCTGGGAGGTTGAAGGATATGCTCGCCAAGAAGAAAATGAGCTTAGATGCTTGCAGGTAAGGCTGCTCTCTTTCTTTCTTTCCTTTTTTTTTGGCTCTTTTGTTTACATAATTAATCAGCCTGATTGGAATACGTTTGCTACCTGGACTGCGTTACCTGATCTTATATCCTCAACTTTTTTTATTTTTTATGGAGTCTTGCATTTGGCTAGATTCTTTAGAATATCTGTTTGTGGTTTATTGTGCCTGATTTGTCTAGGGCCTGTTAGCACTTCTTTGCTATGTATGCTCTTCATTGTGTCGCTCGATATCCTTTCTCTGGACAATGATGTTTACCTTGCTATTTTTTTCCTGATATAGATACCTGACGCTGGATGAGGCCGATAGGTTGGTTGATTTGGGTTTTGAGGATGACATAAGGGAAGTCTTTGACCACTTTAAGTCTCAGCGTCAAACACTTCTGTTTTCTGCCACAATGCCCACAAAAATTCAAATCTTTGCCAGAAGTGCTCTGGTGAAACCCGTGACTGTTAACGTAGGAAGAGCTGGAGCTGCGAATCTCGATGTGATCCAGGAGGTAGAATACGTGAAACAAGAAGCAAAGATTGTGTACCTCCTCGAGTGCCTGCAGAAAACTTCTCCACCGGTTTTGATATTCTGCGAGAACAAAGCTGATGTTGATGACATTCACGAGTACTTGCTACTGAAAGGAGTGGAAGCAGTGGCCATCCATGGAGGAAAAGATCAAGAAGACAGAGAGTACGCCATCTCTTCGTTCAAAGCTGGGAAAAAAGATGTCTTGGTCGCGACCGATGTTGCTTCAAAGGGTTTAGATTTCCCTGATATACAACACGTGATCAACTACGACATGCCTGCGGAGATTGAGAACTATGTGCATAGGATAGGACGAACAGGTCGGTGTGGAAAAACTGGGATAGCAACTACGTTTATAAACAAGAACCAAAGCGAAACCACGCTGCTCGATTTGAAACACCTGTTGCAAGAAGCGAAGCAGAGGATCCCGCCAGTCCTTGCTGAGCTGAATGATCCAATGGAAGAAGCAGAGACCATCGCAAATGCAAGTGGTGTCAAGGGTTGTGCTTATTGTGGCGGTCTCGGACATCGTATTCGGGACTGTCCAAAACTGGAGCACCAGAAGAGTGTGGCCATATCTAATTCTAGAAAAGACTATTTTGGCTCTGGTGGATACAGAGGAGAGATATAAATAATCTCGTTTCAAGGTTCTTGTTTCGATCTCTTTGCAAGTTCTTCTAATCTTGCTGTCACCGAATTGTGATTTCTTTGCTCGATCTTTTCCTTCTACTTGTTTAAACTTGTCATCTGAATCTGGTTCGAATTCTCTTCGCCATCTAATAGGAAACTCTAATCTACTGATACTGCTGGCCAATGTATTTTTTTTTCAAATGTGTGGAAGATTTGTATTCCCTAAATATAAGAATCGTAGGTTATACTAGAGATATTACATAACACACGTCCAATGTAAAAAAGTGTCAAATGTCCCAAATGTTCCTGTGTTTGACAGTGAACTTAATACAGACATGTTTCAAAAAATTAGAGCATTAGTATTAGTCTCTGTGATTAATGGCTTTGATACTTCTGTGGGGCGTTAAAAGGCCGAAAAGGCGAAAACTAATGATTTTTAAAATATTTTCAATGAATTTAACACGGAAATATATTTCATTGAATTTGTATGTTAACGGAAATAGTTGAATTTGTATGTATATAGAAAATATTAATGGTGAAGATAAAAAGAAAATATTTGAAAATTAAAACGGAAATATATCAAAAGTTTACGATAAAGAAAAGGTAACTGGTAATTAAATCGGCATATTTTATACCATACGATATAGAGTCGTCGAAACATGGAAACAAATAAAACTTATTAATTTTGAGTAATATTTAGTTGGAAAAAGAATGTACTCATCACAGTCTCAGAAGTATATAAATAAGTAGAGACGTTTGCATCAATCAAACAGTAGTAACTCATTCATAAAACATAAAACATAAGTAAGCTAGAAGAAGAAGAAAAATGGGGAAAGAAGTAACGAGAATGGTGGGGATAATGATGATGATACTAATAATTGCGGTAAACGTGATAGAAGAAGGGGAAGCGAAAACGGAAATAGAGTGCAGTGTGATTTGTCGAGAGCATTGCAAACGCACATCTCCAGCGTCAGAATGTGCCGCTTGTCGCAAGAAATGTTACGCTTCTCCACCTGTTGCAAGGAACCGCGACGTCTCTACTATTCGGATCAATAAATAAAGATCTATCAATCAATCATCTTCTTATTTGTTTTCTTTTGGTTTCAATCATCAAAAAACAATTATCTTCTACTAGTATAATACGGTTATTCTACTTGTATGGACCCTAATCATTATCGAGAAAACCTTCTAATATTTCTATACAACCAACCACCGCCTTTAATAAGATGAGAAAATTCTATCTTCTTCTGTTTTATTTCTTTCGGTAGGCTAAATATATACTGTATAGAGTTAAAAAGCTTATTTCACGAGAAGATGTTGAAGAGGAAACCACCGTGAGTCGCAAAGAAGGGAGCAAAGACAAGAGACTCAACGGCCATAAGCTTGATCAATATGTTAAGGGACGGTCCTGATGTATCCTTCAAGGGGTCTCCTATTGTGTCACCTATCACTGCTGCCTTGTGTGGCTCTGACCCTTTTGGCCCTAAGCTCCTCGCGTGCTCTGATGCTCCCGCCTGCTCATTGTTTCACATTCCCGTTATTTTGTTCTCACAAATAAATGAAAGAAGAAGTATTTCAAAAAGACTTGCCTCAATGTACTTCTTGGCATTGTCCCAGGCTCCACCAGTGTTGGATGCAGATATCGCAATCTGTTTGAGAAAACCTCAGCCAACTTAGACTCTGCTTTACCCGCGGGTATTGATTAATAATAAGATAAGATTTTGTTACCTGAACACCGGAGATGAGGGAGCCAGCGAGCACACCAGAGAGGGTCTCAACACCGAAGAAGAAACCGACTATAAGAGGAGTAAGCATGACAAGGCAACCGGGAGGAATCATTTCCTTGATGGAAGCATCAGTGGAGATCTTGACGCATGTAGCATAGTCTGGTTTTGCTGTACCTTCCATGAGTCCAGGGATGGTGTTGAACTGCCTCCTCACTTCTTCCACCATCTTCAGAGCTGCACTTCCCACGCTCTTCATCGTCATTGCAGAGAACCAATATGGAAGCATTGCCCCTACAAGCAACCCTATCACTACCTTTGGTGTCAACACATCCACTCTCTCTATTCCTGCTCGGCTCACAAATGCACCAAACAGAGCCAGCGACACTAGCGCAGCAGAACCTATCGCAAATCCCTGTCATAAACAGACCACAACTTTGAGAGCTTGTTGAGTACATCTCTGAGAAAGAAGAAGAAAAGAGAGGAGGAGGAGGTTTTTACTTGGATACCTTTCCGATAGCAGCAGTGGTGTTTCCAGCGGCGTCAAGAGCGTCGGTTCTTTCTCGGATGCGGTGGCTCATTCCAGCCATCTCAGCAATACCACCAGCATTGTCACTGATTGGACCATAAGCATCAATTGCCAAACCAGTTGCGATGGTACTTAGCATCCCTAGTGCAGCAACTGCTACACCGTACATGGCAGCAAAGCTGAAGCTAACAAATATACTGACACCAATCGCAAATATTGGAATTATCACGGATTTGTAACCAAGAGCAAGTCCGAATATTACGTTGGTTGCTGCTCCTGTTCTGCATGAATCCGCCACGTCTTGCACAGGGCTGCAAACACCACACAGACATACACATACACACATACACATGAGATGAGAAAGACTGCAAATGAAATAGAATCAAGAATAGTTTCATTACCTGTATGCATTGCTGGTATAGTATTCAGTAACAAAGCCGATGCTGAGTCCAGCCCAGAGACCAACAGCAACACAGAGGAATAGCTCCCTGTAAATCCTAGATTAAAGTAATGCGCTTTGGGGAAGAAGAAAAACACAAACAAGCAAATGCAACCAATCAAAGGATGTTTTACCAGCTTTTCACAACTTTCTGTGTCCCGAAGTTGTAGATTGTGAAGGAAGATGGCAACCCAGTCCACGACACTAAAGCGATTCCAACAGTCATGATAACCGTCGAGATAATAAGCTGGTTTTTGAGGGCCGGCTCGATCTCTTTCACTGCCTTGATCTCAGAGATGTCGGTGGCAAAGAGAGTGGTGATCAAACAAACCAAGATCCCCATTGAACTGATGAGCAACGGGAACAACATGCCTGTGAAATCATGGTTGATTCCAAAAGACGAGATAGAAGCAACAACGAGTGCAGCACAAGATGATTCAGCGTACGAGCCAAAGAGATCAGAGCCCATCCCAGCAATATCACCAACATTGTCACCAACATTATCAGCAATAACAGCTGGATTCCTGGGATCGTCTTCAGGGATATTCCTTTCTACTTTTCCCACAAGGTCAGCACCAACATCAGCAGCCTTGGTGTAGATTCCACCACCAACTCTACCAAAGAGCGCCATGGAGGATCCACCAAGACCATAACCAGTGATGGACTCAAAAAGGCCTTCCCAGTCATCGCCGTAATAAATCTTGAAGAGGTTGATGGTAATGTAAAGCACCAAGAGACCGTTTGCTGCGAGAAGGAAACCCATTACAGCACCAGACCTGAATGCAACGATGAAAGCCTTCCCAACACCTCTCCTTGCTTCAAGTGTGGTTCTAGCGTTGGCATAAGTGGCAATCTTCATCCCGAGAAAGCCAGAGAGGACTGACGTCACTGCGCCGAGCACGAAGGAGATGGTACTGAAGACAGCAGTTGCGAGAGCTGGCTTGCATGTTCTTGTCTTGTCGTAAGTGCAAGGCTGGCTCTTGGTGCTGAACCCTTGGACTGATCCCAGGAAGAGAAAGATAACGGCAGCAAAGAAAACCATGAAGACACCAACATATTTGTACTCGGTGAACAGAAATGAGGTTGCACCTGTTCCACACCACACCACGGACAAGGTTACAGATTACTGTCAAAATTAAGCCAAAGCTTATTATTCATCATGAATGAAGCAGCTTAGATCACGTGTGATGGCACGTGTGCCAGTCTAAGCTATATGACCTACCAAATCCAACAAAACTAATAAAACACAGTTTATCTGGCAGATGCGAAACAAAACAAAAAGAAAGCTTCAGTTTTTTTGTTTCTTCTTTCCGAAAGTGACATTTCCATGAATTTGAAAGTTTTCTATTTTCTCCCACCATTCAACGACGCGAGAAATTTTCAATTCAATCTCTACAGCTAAAAATAAAAACAGAGCAGATGATTTTTACGAGGTGTCACCTTCCGATATAGCGGTCTGAATCTCAGCGCACTTGGCCACGACGCTCTGATCGTGAACTCCTTCCTCTTCCTCGATCAGATAATCGTCGTGTCCATTCTTCCCATCTCCTTCGTGCTCTCCGCCACGGTCGGCCGTGAGTTTCACGCAAGACACAACATACCACTGGAAAAGCGAGAACACGATTCCCACCACGGCGCACACCGGCACCAAAATCTCCGTCCAAAATTCCGGTAACAACGCCTTCGCCATCATCTCTCTCTCTTAATTAAACGAAATTATCAACAACAAAAAAAAAAAGAGAGACAGAGAGACTGATGCTCTGCAAGAGAGAGAGAGAGAACGAAGTTGGAGATGAAGTGCGAGATATCGTGTCGTTTTATAAGACTACTCTTCCGATGCTCCATTAAACACCGGCTCTAATTTCCTATGCTTATGTTCACGTTTGTTACTGTACACCTACTCATGTAAACCGTTCAGCTATATCTTCTAATGATCATCCAACCGTTCAGCTATATCTTCTAATGATCATCCGACGGCCTCTAGCGTGTTAGTCTTGAATTTATTTTTTTTTTTAATTTCGGGATGGATGAGATAGATAACCACATCAATTCACGTGGCTTAGACTCACCAAATGTCCGAACCGGGCTCACTCTCGTCGTCACAACTTCCGTAGCTTTTATTTTTTTGCATCTACCGCTAATTATTTAACACGACGCGTGGTAACGCCTAAAGTCCATCCTTGCCGTCGATCTGGCAACAAAGAGCACCTATGTGTATAAATGCCCTTATAGCCGTTCGATCCAACAAAATCATACTTACGTATACGGTATACCTTTTCTTTTATTTTTACTGAATGTAATTCTAACAGCAATTCTATACATTTTTACAGCTTACAAAAATTAACAAAAACAACATATCTAAAAATGGTTTAAAACAGCAATTATATATTTTTTAACAAAATAAATAAATAGATAACTATAGACCATAAGAACAGATAGGTTTTCAGAATTACTAGATTACAATAATAGTTTTCCGTGTAAGTAATTGAGAAAAACAAAAAAAAACTACATATGTTGATAGCGAGTTATACCCAAACTTGTAAAGTTAGTTGCTAAAAAAAAAAAGTTATTTAATTTCCACAACAAGATCCGCCATGATCATACCTTCAACAATTCAACTGCGTAGATAGTTTCCCGCGTGGGACCTTGATAGTTTCACTTCATTACGTACGGTAAGGTTGAATTTATCTCAAACACTGTAAGTCTAGTCACCACTCTCATCTCTTCTCCAACTTACGTGTATATTGATAATACGATTTTCCATATTTTCCATGCGGACGTGGGTTAAAAGATAGAATGACCTAATTAATCACTAATCAGTCAGCCATCAGATACGACCAAACAAAACATTTGGAAAAAACTGATTAGTTTTATATGGATTATACCTAGCTATAAACGTTATTATACTATTTTTTCAATTGATTTTCAGTCACCAGTGAGGCAGTGACCACAATGTCCACACATGCCAATATGCCATATATGATCTATTTGTCCCTTTCTGAAGGCTTCCTGCAAATCAGGAAATTGTAATCTAATAGAAATCTTTTTGGCTTACATTTGATTTAAGGAAATAACGTCTTATGAGATAAACTATATATAGAGTACAAAATAGTTGTTCCTGTTAATCTAATAGTACTAATTGTTTTATGATCATCTTATATGTAATTAATCAACTTAACCCCATGTACCCACGCCATAACATTGATTCAGCTTGCAAACATTGTGTGGGTGAGAAACTGAGAATGTTATTCTCTCTTTAACATTTAAAGTCAAAAGCCAAAACAAGAGAAAGAACAAACTCAATACTCACTTATCATTAACGATGCATTATCGACTTCAACAATGATATATACGCGGAATGTTGTTCAACGGTAGTAATACAATCAAGGACTGTATCCATAAAATGATTAAACAAAAAAAACAAAAAAACAAAAAATCAAGGACATATGATATATATTAACGTAGAATCCAGCTGAGAAGAGTTGTCACAAAAAAAAAAAAAAAAAAACCGTTCTCCAGGTACTATATCATATCAATTCGAAGGAACAATAATTGCAATCAGTTTTCACTTGGTAACATATTCATAATCGACCCGACCTACATGGCTACAAATTTGCATTAATGCATGCTTTATATTATTGGTAAATTTAGTTCATCAAATTTTTGGTGAACTATGCCAGCAGAAAACACTAACACATGGACTCAACAAGTTGGTTTGACATTTATCCTCAAATGTTTGCTTTGATGACTGAATCTCAAATGTTACATCACATAGTTCTTAATTCCGAACGAACTTCTTTTTCAATGACGTATAAGCTTCTCAATAATACAGCAATGTGATCTGATTTTTTTTCCAAACTTTGATATATTGAATCAAATATTGGTAGAAATAGTGTAATAAATTGTTCAGCGTGTGAAGCAGGACCCATGGACGGCTCCCATTGTTAGTTGCAGACATCCGGTAAATCAGGAAATTAACTTCTAATAATTTTTTGGTTTGGTCTTTAACATGGTGGACATGTAATTTAAGGAAGCAAACTGTAATAGTTAGAAGAAGCGGGCAATATTCAATCCTACTCGGACCACAGTTTACATTGGTAAATCAGCTCACCAAATTTAGGTATATTATTTCCAGACCAGTACTAATAAAAAATATTATTACTAGTAGATAAACCTCATATATTTTTATATATAGTAATAATCTATCCACACTATCCATATCTTTTTCTAAATATAAGTAGTTATATAAACTTTTAACAATAATTGTGAACAGAGATAAGGAGTTATTCAAAGTCAACGATAGAAACGGTTACAAAATCGTCCAATGGTAGACAAACCACGTGGCAGATGGGGCTGAATTTAAGTAGGATGGTATGATAATCCTGACCATCCACCAATAGAAACCATAATTAATTAATACATCAGCATCCGCTGGAGTAAATACGTAAATGGATAAAAAAATAAAAAACGGTGAAGTTTCCAAAAAAACTCTGACTCTCGATTCAGCTTTCTATATATCAGTTCCCATTTCTCTTGTCATTATTTTATCTCCTTCTTCTTCTTCTTCCTCTTCAATCCTAATTCTTAATTGCCTCTCTCTCGAGAGAAGATAAAAAAGAAAAAGAAAGCATTCATTATTCTCTGCACCTAACGAGAAAAAAAAAAGAAATGGCAGGGGAAAAAGGTTTCATTGGATCAATCGATCAAGGAACGACGAGCACAAGATTCATCATTTACGATCACGATGCTCGTGCCGTTGCTTCTCATCAAGTCGAGTTCACCCAGTTCTATCCCGAAGCTGGGTAATCCCTCTCTCTCTCACCCTTTCTTGTTTTACCTTTTTTTCTTCTTCTTCTTTGATTACTCTGACAAGAAGTAGGTGAGACTTGTTATGGTCCGATGATCCCGATCTTCTCTTATTGGACCAAATTTTACTGTTCGTATTTCCAAAATTACATTTTTGAGCTGTCTGTAAAAAAAATTTCTTTTTTAATTCCTTTTTCTTAATCCGTGCTCTTGTTTGGTGTTGATTTGATGCACATATATATCATCACGTCTCTTGTTTGTTTAATTTACGTGGATTTTGAAACCGATCGATATTACGTTTTCGTGATTGTGGGGAATGAAGATGGGTGGAACACGATCCAATGGAGATACTGGAAAGTGTGAAAGTTTGCATTGCAAAGGCTCTGGACAAAGCGACAGCCGATGGACACAACGTCGACGGTGGCTTGAAGGCCATTGGTCTCACGGATCAGAGAGAGACGACCGTCGTTTGGAGCAAATCCACTGGACTCCCTCTTCACAAAGCTATTGTCTGGATGGATGCTCGCACCAGCTCCATCTGCAGGTACCTCATTACATTCTCTGCTCTGCTCTGTCTTAACTTGATCTTGGTTTGGTGATTTATCTGATAATGAGAACCTCTCTTCTTTTTATTGTGTGTGTGTGTGTGTGTGTGTGATCTTCACAGGAGACTAGAGAAAGAACTATCAGGTGGAAGGTCCCATTTTGTAGAGTCCTGTGGCTTGCCCATTAGCACCTACTTCTCTGCGATGAAGCTGCTTTGGCTGATGGAGAATGTGGATGCTGTCCAAGACGGTATCAAGAAAGGAGATGCCATCTTTGGCACAATCGACACATGGCTCATCTGGAACATGACTGGAGGTGCAAACGGCGGCCTTCATGTCACTGATGTCACCAACGCGTCTCGCACAATGCTCATGAACCTCAACACCTTAGACTGGGACGACAACACTCTCAAGACTCTTGGGATTCCAGCTGAAATCTTGCCCAAGATCGTAAGCAATTCTGAAGTCATTGGAGAAATCTGCAAAGGCTGGCCCATTCCTGGTATCAAGATTGCTGGATGTCTTGGCGACCAACACGCTGCAATGCTGGGACAAGCTTGCAAGAAAGGCGAGGCCAAGAGTACTTATGGCACTGGCGCTTTCATCCTTCTCAACACAGGAGAAGTGCCGATCAAGTCAGGGCATGGACTTCTGACCACGCTGGCCTACAAGCTCGGGCCACAAGCGAAGACAAACTATGCTCTCGAGGGTTCGATAGCTATAGCAGGAGCTGCTGTTCAGTGGCTAAGAGACAGCCTCGGGATCATAAAGAAAGCAAGTGAAATCGAGGACCTGGCAGCGATGGTGGAGTCAACCGGAGGAGTGTACTTTGTGCCAGCGTTTAACGGTTTGTTTGCGCCTTGGTGGAGGGAAGACGCTCGTGGTGTCTGCATCGGAATCACGAGGTTCACAAACAAGTCTCACATTGCAAGGGCTGTGCTGGAGAGCATGTGTTTCCAAGTAAAAGACGTTCTCGACTCTATGAACAAAGATGCCGGTGAAAAGGGTTCTCTAGATAACGAGAAAGGGGAGTTCTTGCTTAGAGTGGATGGTGGTGCCTCGGCTAACAACCTTCTCATGCAGATTCAGGTATGGTATCTCTCCTGTAGTTTTTTGTTCTCGCACGAAATCTGATGATTGATTATAGAACATTAAAACTCAATTTCTGGCTCAAAAAACATTGCAGGCTGATTTGATGGGAAGCCCGGTGGTGAGACCTGTGGACATAGAGACAACAGCACTAGGAGCAGCGTATGCAGCTGGACTGGCCGTGGGGTTCTGGAAGGAAGAAGACATATTCGAGTCAGGAGAGAAGGCCAAGAACTCCAGAGTTTTCAGACCAGCTATGGAAGAAGAAATCAGGAAGAAGAAAGTGCAGTCATGGTGCAAAGCGGTGGAGAGAACATTCGACCTTGCTGATCTCTCTATTTGAAAACTTGGAATTCCCTAAAACCTCATTGTCTTTCTCACAGTTGTCCACACTACGTCTAATATTATGTTCATTAAACAAAGAGTATTTGAAACTGATTAATAAATGTTTAAGTCTGTTGGAAGTGAGACTGCATCAGAATAACACATGACATGATGAGAGATCCTGTTGTTGAAACTCATTCAGGCTATTGTAGTGCTGAGTGACTTCTTTTTGGTTAAAGAGATATATTGGCATAAGTATGGATGTTATCTTGATGGCTAATTACTCAAGAAGTCAAGATTCAAGAAAACACAATAGATAAGGTTTCAATGGAAACACAACAAAAAGTTCAAAGACTTAAAATGAAAGCAGAGGGAAGGATTGAAGAAAAACGTGAGGTGTGAAAGAAAAAAAAAAATCTTCGCTTTTTCCCTACTTCCTTCACGCAACCTAAAGGCCATTATTTTTCTTTTTAATTGTTCAAATCATTTTTGTAATTTGAACATTCCTATTTCTTTGTCAATATAAAATGTGAGGTAAGAAACTTTTTTCCCGGGCAGAAGAAGTAAACTTAGTTACAATCTTTAGCAAATAAAAGGCCAACATGGCTTGTATACTCAACGATGTACGGGTTTTATAGCTATCGTCTAAATTCATTTAATCTGTTACTTTTCAAAATTTGAATCCCCATAAATATTGTAGGAGAAGTTCTGATGCACTTCTCGTCATTGCATTTATTTCTTTTGGGGATTCAAAAATTCGAAAATTATATTATGAGTGTGATAATTATACTTACTACTCCATTTCACACTCTCAGGATCTCGTTAGTTGTTGCCATTACGATATTACTAACATTGACTGTCTAGTATGTCTTTTCCTTATGCTTTTTGTATTACATATCAATTGATCAACCACGTTTAAATAATTTATGATAAAAATCCGTTATAAAAAAAATTATGATAAACAATGGTTTTTTTTCTTCGAAGAAGAAGAAGGGAATCGAGTGTGAAATATTAGACTAGAGGTGGGATATTGAGGACAATGAACCGGCTATTTTTCATTATCAGATAGATTAATAAAATTCTCGCTCCTCAGGTACTAAATTGATAACAATTTCTTCTGTGGAATGGTTGTATTCATTTGTGGATTAATTTTCTGATTAACATAACATGTTGGCAGCAAACAAAACAATTAGGGTTGACGATATATAACATTATAATCATCTAGAAAAGGGTCAAGTCCGTGTCCGAATCATATATTTTAGTGAATTATTAACAAACACAAAAAACGATTAATTTTAGTCAACTTATCAACTAAAAATTCTAGACGTGCAAAGTCAAACATATTAGAAACTTTTTAGATTACTACATTTAATATGTTGGCAAAAATGTAAAAAGGAAAAAGAAACACACACACACAAGAAGACGGTCTTCTTTAAATAATTGCGAAGTAGGCAGACGAATGTCTTTTAGACAAAAGCAAAACACGCTTCTTCTTCTTCTTCTTCTTCTTCTTCTTCCAACACAAAGGTTTTAACTTGATACATCATCTCCACCACCATGAGCCACCAGAACCAGAACCACTCGCCGAGCTATGCCACCGACCCGAACACAATGTTCGTTCAAGCAGATCCCTCCAATTTCCGAAACATCGTCCAAAAACTAACGGGAGCAGCACCACCGGAACTCTCCGCCTCCGTCGTCTCCGCCGCACAACAGAAGCTTCCTTTAACACCAAAGAAACCGGCGTTTAAGCTCCACGAACGCCGTCAGTCATCCTCCAAGAAAATGGAGCTGAAGCTCAACAACATCACCAACGACTCTTTCAGCAGCCATTTCCACCGAGGATACCTCGTCTCTCCCGTCTCTCACCTCGATCCCTTCTGGGCGCGCGTGAGTCCGCATTCAGCGCGTGAGGGTCACCACGCGCCGCCGGACAAGGAAGAGCAAAAAGCCATCGCCGAGAAAGGGTTCTACTTCCTTCCGAGTCCGAGAAGCGGCGCCGAGCCAGCACCGGAGCTTTTGCCTTTGTTTCCTCTTCGTTCTCCTAACGGCACTAATCACCCGATTGATGAAGATGATTATTGCAACTCATAAATCAGAGCTATTTATTATTAATCGTAATTTGAGTTTAGGCTATTAATCCTAAGTTGGTGACACGTGATATTGCTGTTCCTTTTTACTATTTTTGTTAGGGCCTAGTATCTGTTTGTTTTTAATTAACCCTTTAGACTTCTTCTTATTTTTTTTCCCTATCAGTATCATCCTTCCTTCATTAGGGTCAACTATTCTAGCGCGTGTACTCCACTTCCATTAGAATATAAAAAAATCTTAGTATTCTATGGTTTTCCTTACGCGGCAATTACATACATTATTCAAGGAAGACATCATTTTGATTTAAAGCCTCAACGAGTAGTAATACGTGGGATCCAAAAACGCACGCTGCGTAGTTTGGAAGATTAACTACAATCAAATTGATTAATTACATCTCCATTTTTTCTTTACATTAGTGGCACGTCTGATATTATCAAACATTGTTTTTCCTAAGAGTTAAGAACAAGTTGATGCATGTATGAGGTGAATGAATAGATAGCCTAGATGTCGGGAAACCGAAAAATAGCCTACGTTTTTTTTGTTTTTTTTGTTCGAAATAGCCTACATTTTCATTGTATTTACAAAAATGTGTTGACCTTTTCTTAAGGAAGAAAGTAAATTAGCTAAATTCTTTGTGGTGTGATAACTGATGAGAGTGCTTCATTTAATTTAATTTTTAATTTTTTTCCGTGTGTGTGTGTGTCAATTGTCATAAAGCTGCCAGCCGTTGGATTTAATGACAAAGCTGTGACGCAGAATGAAGCGGCGTCTATTTCCTCTGCAGATCCAACGGCTCCGATTCAATGGTCTTGCTATATTAATAAAAATGCATTTAACGTATTTATAAAAAAGTTGAAAAAATTAAATAGATGTTACTTGTAACAGAGGGTGTCTCTGCATCTCTCTTTAAAGTCAGTTGTCAGTCTATCTTCGAACTCTGCCCCTCAGGTGTAATCCAAATTTCAAACCTCTGCTCAAATCCTAGCCGTTCATTTGTTAAAGACATCATCGAACAAAATTTGGTTTTTTGGGCCTACAATAGAAACATATTTTGGGTTTACTCTAGTTAACCTATTCAAATTCTTCATATTGAATACCACGATCTTAGGATCTATTAACTTTCATAGAAGTTTTGTGTAGACAAATGTTCTGTAAGTTTTTTTTTGTTTGTTTCCAACTATTATACACAGGTCAACCATAAATAGCATAAATAAATATTCAGTAAATGAATAAATACCATATCATATAAGATTAATAGAATACATATTTACATTCCCAGAACTAATTTTCTTTCTTTTTTAAGATTAACAAACGATAAAACCGACTAAATTGTTGGGATATAGATCCAAACTCTGAAGATTTGAGTTTTTCATTAGACCTCCAAGAAGCAACCAGCTTGAACATGACCAAAATTTGTTTCCAATTTTACCCACCGAAAGCTACTTAAATCACAGGTATACCCAACAGTGGCTTCACCGTAACCAACCAAAGCTTTGCCGTTGCCGATCACAATCAGGTTCCCGGACCTCACCCCCACGTATGCCACATTGTACACATCAGCAGGGATCTGGCCCACCTTTTGCCATGTGTCATCTCTCAGCATCATCAAATCGCCACGCCAGCAAGCGTACAGATCTCCGTTTTCACCGGCGGCGCAGATCGGAGGACTAACTGTATCGCCGGTGTCGAGGAAGTCCTCCGTCTGTGGACCCCATTGCCACGTGGACACGTCAAACGATTCAACGGTTTTACTGAACCGGCCCTGTTCCTCCGTGGCGTATCCACTGATGACGTGGAATCTGCCAGCGTGGAATATCGCTTTGCATTCGTCTCGTTCCCGTGCCATATCAGGTAAAAGCGCCCACTTGTCTTCTGCCACGTCATAACAAATTGCTGATGTCAGCGCTTGCTTCTCTTCGTCATGCCCGCCCGCAACCAACACCGTCCGATCAGAATCTGAAGCGCATCCGAAGAAGGATCTCCGTACACCTGGCATGGCTGCCCCCACACGCCATTTGGAGGTGAGAAAACTGAAGACGAAGACCGAATCAGAGGCCTGCCATGTAACCGGGTCGAGCCCACCCAAAACAACAAGATCCGACCCGACGGAGACCAGTCTACAAAACAGAGGTAGCCCGTTGGATTGACCCGGAATCGGAGGAAGCTCCGTCCAAAGACCCGACCCGGACTCGAGAACAGCGAGCCAATATACCGGCGTGGCGAAATTCTTTCCGGATCCGGATTCTCGGTCAGGGTCGACCCGGGCTTGTGACAGGATAAGAAGCTCTTGGCTATGCCCTGAAGCTTTCCGTTGCTGGAAAAACTGAGAGAGAGACACTTCACAGTTCCAGCCTTTGCAAACGGAGGCGATTACAGGGAATTGTTTGTAGGAGGTACGTAGGAGACACTCGCGAGCAACGTCGTCGGGAAGATTAGGGATAAGTTCCATCGCCTAATTATCAAAGATTGAACCTCTTCTTCCTTTAATTATTATTATTACTATTTTTTTTTTTTTGAGGAGATGAAAAACAAAAAGAAAAGGAAAGGCTGAAGCTTTAAAAGAGTGAGAGATGTAACAGTTTGAGTGAAAAAAAAAAAGGAAGTGGATTATGAGAAGGTTGAAGATGATGAAGGGAAAAGAGGAGAGTGTGCTGCTTTATAGATATTCGAAGATAAGTGTTTCTAGAAACTCGTTGATTCATTCATATCTTTTCTTATGGGTTAACAATAATTCGAGATTTTTGTCTTTGTCTGTTAGTTCGTGAAATTTTTTTGTTTTTTTTTTAAACTATAATTTGTGAAGTTATTTTATTATTGTTATTTTGCCGAAAAAACAAATTTTATTATTATTATAATTATGTTTAAAAAAAATAAAAATTGAAGTGAGTGTGGACATTCGGTTAATGGTTTGTAAGGTTGTGTGATCGAAGAGATGGAGACTTTGAATTAGGCCTGAAATTTTTTGGGAATTGGGACGGGAATTGACTGGTAGGGGATGAGAATGAGAATTTCGGGAATTTGAATATACTATCCAAAGTATTTCCACAAAATAATGGGAGGAAAATTTACGGGTATGGGACGGGAACGGAAAATTCAGGAATCCAAACATACTTCCCAGACAATCCCAAAATAAAATATAAACGGGAAAAAAACGGGAAAGAGACGGGAAAAATTACAGATAATTCAGATAATTAGATTAAAATCAAATTTTGTTTTTTTTAATTATTATTTATTAATAAATTAGAAAAATCATTATTTATTATTAATTTCAAATAACCGAAATCTCTAAAATTTTACTTTATATAATTATCCAACGGGAAGTTCGGGTAATCCATTCCTGTCCCTACCCTTTTCCTTACCTATTTAAATATTATTTTCAATCCCGAAAAATTCGGGAATTTCGGAACGGATACGGGACGGGACGGGTTATCCTTTCCTAAAAATTCAGGCCTACTTTGAATCATTTGGGACAAGTTGAAGGATGTGATATTTCAATTTTATTTGAAAATATATTTTCGTTTTCGTGATATTCCAAGCGTTCAAATCCCAATTAGCGCGATAAAAAGATGTGATCTAGCACATATTATTTAAAGACATTTTGGCATTTTTATATTTATTTCGTTTTCGTGCTACTGTATATATTCTTTAAGTCGAAAATAGAAAGTAAGATCTAGCCGAAAATAAATATCTATAATTAAGAAAATAAATTATCGTTAAGGGAAGGTAAAACTTATCACTTACACTTTAAAGATTGTACCTTCTGAATGTACCTCTGAATCTAGATTCTTGATCACACCCTTTCCTTTCTCATATTAAATATTAATTGGATCACACCCTTTCGCTTTGTAAAATATCAATCTCTTATTTTAACCAACATGGCTTGTAGAATAAAATATGTGTACTGAACATACACGACTACAATAAATTAGTATACTCGTATACAAAAATTCCCAAAAAACACTACAGAAAATATTCCTAATTAATTATTTTTGTAACAACTTTTTCCTTGTGATCAGAGATTTGATACATAGATGACAATATGAGATGCAGACATTGGTTTTAGAAAATACAGGGATGAAAGTAACTCTACAACAAAGAAGTACAATGGCAAACAAAAGAAAACTATACAACTATGAAAAACATACGCAATATTACAAAAATGATTCCATATATTCATGTCTGGAACACATACACATAGAAATAGCATCTGAAAAGTAATTTATATTATACGAAATAGAAAAATAACGAATCCGACTTCCAGCTAAAAAGCTATTGTGCTGGAGTCTTTCCTCTATATTTCCCCCCGAATCTATATTATATTTTTTTGATATAAATTATTTGATCAGTTTTTTGTTCCCCTTATGATCTGTACATGTGTGGCTACTTCTGTTGGCCATAACAATTGATTATTGGATTTGTTATTTAAATCTACTATAATACCATTTTCAAAATAATAAGCTAGGGCATTTTCAAAATAATAAGCTAAGGCAGAGTCGTGCCTCATGTCTTGTGAGTTAGGCATTAGCCTAAAGTCACCAAAATTGAAAAAAAATTAGGGCCACAATTTTATTAAATAGTTCATATATATAGTTAATAAGGTAAATATTTTTGGATTATTTCTTTGAGATAAGCCCATATACTGTACTAGTATTATTATTATTGATATTTATTTTTATGGATATTCATAAATAACAAAGGAAAGTAAAAAAAAAAATTTAATTAAAAAGTTGAAACACGCATAATTAAAAAAAATCCCACATCGATATCTAAATGAGGAGGCTTATAATTTTTCTTCAATATAAGTAGCAACATCAATTAAATTTTTTTAGCTTAAAAACTAACTTTCAAACAAAGTTTGAGTTTGGATTTGACTGAATCTATCGGTTTAACCACTGATTTGCAAAATTTTAATTGGTTTTTTTTCTTTGGTTTCTAAAAATTCGACCGGATTGTCAACCAGTTCCATTTACACTTACATAACCGTCTGATTTGTGGCTAAAATAATGTGAATTTGGTAAATAATTTTCTGGGAAAAAAAAGAAAAAAATATGTTTTAGAAATTTTATAGTTTCAGTTATTATTATTATTATTTTGTGTACGTTTGAGACGATATTTAATACTAATCTTTTTTTTATAAGGGCCACATTTTTTTAGTTCGTCTAAAACCATCATAGATCTAAGCACGGCATTGAGCTAGGGATAACTAAACTTTTATCATAATACGTTTAATTTTTAAAACTAAATGTAATTATTGAATAGTTTATTCATCGGATTTTTTAATAAACCTAAAGCATTAATACTTGACATCGTCAAACTATCACTAATGTATCACACGATTCACACCAACGAACAAAACTTTTTTTTCATAAATGTAGTTATGATCGTCATCGTGATTTTTAGTTTTGTTATTATAAAAGATCTTTTCTCGAGCTGATTCAAGTGAATGACACAACGAAACGGTAGTTTGACTACATAAGCGTTCCTTCAATTTGAAGTCTGTGAATTAACCAAATCATTTAGTGCTTTGTATTTTAATCCGTAACGTATAGAGATTTATATATATATATATATTGTGTAATATTATACACTACTTTTCAAACTGTTCAAGATTGAAAAATAAATTATTCGGGGAAGCAGCATGTTCCATGCAACTTGGACTAGTTCTAGTGTCCGCCACATGTGACATGTATAAAGCTGAAAACATTATTAGCGTATTAAATACTTAGTTATTTAAACTAAATGATTTTATGATTATGCATCCATAACATGTTATTGTATATAAATGTAACTGGGATTTTGGGAAATACATAAAGCGTGCAACAATTTCGAAAGTAAAAATAGTATTTTTCACTGTGTTGATATATTATTTGCATACAAAATTTTCAAAGAAACATTAAAATTTTCGCAGAAACGTTAAAATTTCCCTTATTTTGATTTGTTGTAGGCTGAAGTCTTTCTATAAACAGTATTAAAATGTGTCTCTATACGTTATCCAATCTTATCTGTTTTTTATATAATATCCAACAGGTAATAAATAACTGGGAAAAAATAATCGAAGTGTGATGTATGAAAAATATATAGGCAAAAAGAAAGAAGTATCCAATTCGTCATACTGTGGGTATAATAAGTTAATAACTAATATAAACTGTGACGTGAAGACAAAGGGAAGCAAAACGAGTAAAGGTTGAGATGTTACAGAATAAAAAAACGAGAAAAGGTTGAACTCGGAGAAAACGAAAACGGCACGGCGTCCGAATGACTAAAAAAGGTCGACAACAAGTAAACGACAGGGCGTCGACATCCTTAAGGAGAAAACAGTCGTTGATTCGTCGGATGGCTCTTTGATAAATCAAAACAATAAAACGACGGAAATAATCCGTTTCTTCGCAGATAGTAAATTAGTAATAGACTTGTAATGCATTGCTGGGAGCCACATAATGAATGCTCTTGTCGAAATTTCAAAACTTTTTTCCATTGGTCAATTCATGTTTCTTTAAAGGTATTTTCACAAGAAAATTCGCCAAGCCGTTGAATAAAAAACAGAAAATAATGAAATAATCGGGCAAATCGTAAGTTGAGAACGTAGGGGAGGAATTAGTTAATTTGACTGGTTATCATTGACTTTAGATTGTAATATTCATGATTATTTTGTAAACTTAAGCTGTCCAAGTGTATCATATAGAAATCAGATTGTTACGAAGACATGAATTGCCTATATAGAGTACATAACAGTAATTTACTACGCGAGAGAAGAAATGGAATTGGATATTTATGCGGTCGACATCAAATAAAAAGCTCGTAGAGGATAAGCTCTCATTTAATTTCCTTAGGTATTTTACGTCCTTTTTATCCATTATGAATTATAATGGTTATCCAGTTGCTGACGTGTGTTTTCTATCTTCTACGGCCAGTAATTGTATCTTTTCTCTTTTCTTTTTCTTTTTAAAGTGCGCTGAACAATTACTTATTTTTATCCTGGACATCAACGGATCATCCTATATCAGTATCACCTTTGATTTTTTAAAAGTCAGTTACCTTCGAGGGTGAAATTTAAGACAGGCCAAGTCTAAATGACTTTCTTCTCTATTTATTATTGATCTTTGCTTGTTAACATAGACTAAGGCCATTATACACTTTGTTTGGTTCACTTTCAGGGAAAAAGTTTGACAATGTGATTTATTATTTTAAATGGTAATGAAGGAAGAAAATCGGGATGTCAAAATACCCCAATACACTTGGGCTAAAGTGACTCGAAGCAAGAGTGAAAAACGGTAAATAAACAGATGTTTAGCTCATAAAACACATTTATTGTAGTTATTAGCGTCGAACAAGCGAACGACGGTCAAACGAACATTCCCAAAGTCAAGCGAGAAAAGCGGGCATATGACATTTTACTTTTCTATAAGCATAACTCACTCACTAGCCACGTGCATGGCTCGTGACGACTGACGCTGGCTTACTATTACTCTATGTAGAAAAAAACCCTGAAATCTCGGGATCGATCGACTTCAAAAGTCATTAACAGTTTGCGGTTAAAGAAGGGAATGTTAAAGCAATTTTAAGTTAGACATTGACATGTTTTGACTCAGTGGTATTCACAAACTTGTGTTCTAGAACTTTGACCACAGAATTGCAAAACGAGAGACAGATGAGAAGAGCAAATGAGGGTTTTGTCGATGGCTTAAAATCTGGGACATGACATGATGACATAGAAATGATCATGTGGACAAGCATAAGATTTCAGAGAGATAAAAAAAAGGATGTTCCCTCGCTTTGTAAAGCTTCTTCAGTGCATCGTGTCTAATTCAACGAGCTCATTAATTGTAGCTATTAATTACTTTTAATGGGATACAAATGGTTTCATCATCTTCAATTTGTGCGGCTTACTTTTTTTTTTAAGTTGTGCGGCTTACTTGTTTCGTTCTTGGCTGGGGGTTCATATTTTTTGCCAATAATAGTTGACAAACCTTAAAAAAAAAAGCTGAAACGAGGAAGAATGTAGTATATGAACTTAACTTGTCCTAATTGGCTTAGGATGATTTTGGTAAAACACATGCTTGATTTTTTTGGGATCATTTGCCCTTGTGTGCCGAGTCATGATTTGGGTCATTCATTCATTCACATAGATCATAAATTATTTACTTTTTGCTTGCATTCCACTTATATAATTTGGTTGAATCTCTATCTACATTCCCAGCTCAATTCGAGTGAGATGGAACAATGCTAAAAGGAAAACTGTTTTGCTTATGTAAAAGCACAGAGGGATAAAACTAAAAAGGGCAAATCAGTAAAAACGTGAACGGCAGAGTCGGAGCAAAAAAAAGAAAACGTGAACGGCAGGATTCGAACCTGCGCGGGCAGAGCCCACATGATTTCTAGTCATGCCCGATAACCACTCCGGCACGTCCACCTTTGCTTACGGTTTCATTTGTTAAGTTTTCAATAGATAGCTTTTGTTTATTAATTTCTCGAACACCGGCCGGCTTCCGTATAACGTTGACACTGTGAGAAATTGACAGAGTCGGATGCTATCGGTGGGCGAAGAATAATCACGCTGCGCCTAAGGTTCATCGCTTTCTGCTTAAGTTTCTCCTTTATGTTCATGGATATGATGAATATAGTTAGCTTTCGAGGGTTTTGTAAAAGGAACTTGGCGATGTTTCTGTTCAATACTTCAATGGCTTTCTTTTCCACTTCCCTTTGTTTCTCTTCTTAATTCGATCTGAACTCGAATTCTAATTCATACCTGAAATCCAATTTAGTGCTACTAACTTCTGTGATTCTTCGCTTTTGGAATCTATGAAGCAAAACCCTTGTTTTGTTTTTGTGATCCCTTAATACGATTTGATTTTTTTAAAAAAAATCTTTTTGAAGAAATTATTTCGTTGATTTTCCAAGGACTGCTTTACATTTTTCGCCCTTATTTGCAGGTTTTGCACCGTTTTTGTCTCTGGCTTTGCGTTTTGCTAGATGCAATACCTGCCCGAGTAACTACATTGCTTAGGTTTAAGATAGTATATCCGAAGCCACTTGTCTTGTTCTAGCGTATTCTCTGTAGTGTCAAAGTCAAGATGTCTCAAAAGCGAAATCTTCCTTCTTGGATGAGTTCAAGAGATCCTCCTGATACTAGTCCGAGTAATTCTCTTAGTAAGAAGCCTAAGGATGAAGCCGATAAGCAGATTAACCAGAGTAAAGAGCAGAAGAATAGAAATGTACCTTCCAACAACTCCGAACACAGGAAGATGTTACCACCTGAGCCAAGTTCAAATACCACGGATTTCTCTAAACTTATGGTCTGTGTGCCCTATACCGGAGTTCTTGGAACTATACAAATTTTAGCTGTCATGTTAGTTCATATGCTTTTGTGATTGAGTTGAAGATTTAAACTGTGCAGGAAGGAGTTGTTTTTGTGCTTTCAGGCTTTGTTAATCCTGAGAGGAGTACACTAAGGTCACAGGCCTTGGCAATGGGAGCCACATATCAACCTGACTGGAACTCTGACTCTACGTTATTGATCTGCGCTTTTCCTAACACTCCAAAGTTTCGTCAAGTTGAAACCAACTGTGGAACAATTGTCTCAAAGGTTTACCTCCCTCACTTTCCTAAGTTACCCAATCTCTAATTGAATTTCTACTTTCTGCTGATGTTTTATATGTTTTTGAACTGTCTTCAGGAATGGATAACTGAGTGTTATACGCAGAAGAAGTTGGTGGATATTGAGCAATACCTTATGCATGCTGGAAATCCATGGAGGAAAAACACTGTTACCCAAGATACTATTCGAGGTATAAAAAAGAACATATTGGAAAAACTTTAGATTGTTTAAGCTATCTCCTTGTCTCCTGAGGTTCATTAATATCAGTTGGTTAAATGATGAACAAGATAATAGCTTTCCGAATTGCCCTGGTCCACTTCAATATTTATCTGACCTTGTGAAGCTTACTTGATTGTCTTCCAGAAAAGAAAAAACAGCTGTCCATAAAGCCAGAGAAGCAAGTAGAGAAAAAACCAGAAACAAGGGGAACGCAATCTTCTTCATCCAAGGTCTTTCTAATTCTTACAATGGTTAAACAAAGGGAACCATATTTTGCTCCAACCAATGGTTTTTGACTATTTATTTCTGTATTCACAGAATAGACCAGCTTGCAATATTGTGAAAGAGCCATTTTCTGTTACCGAGGTGAAGAAATGGGCAAGGGATGACCTAACTCAAACTGTCTCATGGCTAGAGAGTCAGGAGGAGAAAGTAAGGGGGGGTTTATTTATCTTCTTTATTCTAAAAATACTTGTTTCACTGTTTCTTCGGTCTAACCATTGTAACAGCCAGAACCCGGCGAGATCAAGCTAATAGCTGCAGAAGGAGTCTTAACCTGTTTACAAGACGCCATAGATTCTCTTGAGCAGAAGCAGGTTTGTCTGTTTGAACAATAATAGCCTGGTTTATCAATCGCAGCTTGGGTACAATTCTAGAGCTCTGATAAACTTTCTTTGAGAAGATCATTTGTTGAATCAAAGAATCTGAACTGGTCCTCCTAATGTTCTTACTTTAGGACATTGGTTCAGTTACGGAGCTGTGGAGCTTTGTCCCTCGCGTAGTGAAGGAGCTTGGAAAGATCGAGTCTTCTTATAAAAAAGAAAACTGCACAGCATCAAAGGATGAACTTTGCAAACAAGCAAAGTCGTGGAAAAAGATTTACGAGACTGAGCTAGCAAAACCGGGGGAAGAAGAATCATCGGGAACAAAAAGCAAAGGGACATCGCGGGTTGCTTCTGGATACGATAGTGATGAGACCGTTGAAATGACTGAAGAAGAGATCGAACTTGCTTACAGGAACGTTTCTACAGAGTCTCTTTAGATCAAAACTTGTTTCATTTTGCTTGCATGCGAAAGAGCACAAGACGTTTGCTTATTCGGTTTGTTCGGTTCGATTAAAGAATGTTGCTAATTAAAAACTAAAATTTTGATTACTTTCTACTTATAGACTGGTCTGGATTCGGTTATTCTTTACTGTTTGAATTGATCGGTTTATATATTTTTGATTCGGTCGATTAGGTTCAGAACTTCAGATCTAGCTGAATATTGGTCACAGTGGTGGTTGACTTTCTCAAAAAATTTGAACCGGTCTAAAACAGCTTTATTTATGCCAACCGGAAGAGACGAATTTAAACCGGAAACGCGAACCGATTGGGTTTAGGATAGATGAAGATTGAAGACAGACCCTAATTTTATACCCTTTATGGAGTGTTGTCTTCTCAGTTGTGTCTTCTTTGTTCCGCAGTAGGGTTGAAGCGGATAGTACGCCCACCTCGCTCCCCCTGTCGAACTCGCGAAGAACATCTTTCTTTCTTCTTCTTCGTGAGCTCTCTCAGTAGCGCAAGAAAATGGGGGCTTCACTTCCTCCTAAAGAGGCCAACCTCTTCAAGCTCATCGTCGTACGTTTCCGATTCTCTCTGTTTGTCTCACAGTTTTTCCCTTGTCTTTTAGTAGCCGATGTGATGTTTCTAGCAGAAAAAAGTTGGAATACGATTGACTTTTGTTTCTGCTTTGCTAAACCCTAAATTAAGTTAACCGTCAATTTTAGAAATTCGTTGACATGACAAGTAAACTACGTGGAGCTTTGGTGCCTAATGTGTGTGTATTTTCCCCGTAAAATTTGATGTGTTAAGTTCTTAGTCTCAATTACGTTGACTAACTATCCTGCTATTGGTAAACTCTAATGACCTTGATCGCTTCTGGCTCGCCTAGGATCTGCTGAGATGAGTTTTAAGCTTAGGGATTCTTTATTTACTTTGAGGAACACGAAAATTAAGCTTTAAGGATACTCTTTTTCTACTTCACATGGTTTCCATAGGTTATATGCATCATTCAGTGTTTATGAATGATTATGCCTTTAGCAAACTGTTGTTACAACAAACAAATCACGGCAGATGCGTCGTCTTTTATATTACCTTCAAGAAACTAAATAAGCGCTCCGGTTCTTCTCACACTTCTCGGCAAACTAGTTAATAATAATTCAGTCTTAGTCATCTTCCTAAAGTCTACTTTGGCATTTGATAGTTCATATTAATTCTATCGTTTGTGTATTTTTCTGAAGTGTTTTAGTAAATATATCACGTAAATTTAATCTGACTGATCTTATAATGCAGAAATCTTATGAGACTAAGCAGTACAAGAAGGGACTGAAGGCAGCTGATGCCATATTAAAAAAGTTTCCTGATCATGGGGGTGCGTTTTCTTTTATCATTACTCCAAAACCCTCCTTCTATTGTTTTGTGATTTAATGCTAATATCTCATTGCTATCTCAATTTCCAACTCTATGGAGTTTACTACATCATTTGAGATCAAAGTCAAACGGCTTGTATCTCGTCTTGTAGGTGTTTGGGTGTCTTGTACGTAGTTTAAGAATGAACCTCCATTAGGAAATTCACGTAATTTTCTTTGTTCCTAATGAATCAAATAAACAAAGGAGATGTAGCCTGTAGTGTATGTATAAGGTTGTAGTGTATGATCATGTACTGAAGCAAAGGGGATGCTTGGTATTGTTTATTTTTGTTAGTTGAGATCTGTTCTGTTTTGCGTTAAACGAAGTTCTTTCTTGACTGCATTATTTTTCATCCCTCTAATTAAGCTTTTCCATCTTTTAAGACCTTTTGCTTTTATTCTTTGTGCTTTCAGAGACTTTATCAATGAAAGGACTGACTCTAAACTGTATGGACCGAAAAACTGAAGCATATGAGCTTGTTCGGCTTGGAGTGAAGGTTCAATTATGCTATTGAATGATCCTATCATCAATCGTTAATTTCAGACATGGTATCGATACTCTTTATTTTTTCGTGCAGAATGACATCAAAAGCCATGTTTGCTGGCATGTGTTTGGTCTCCTTTACCGGTCAGACAGAGAGTATAGAGAGGCCATCAAATGCTACCGAAATGCTCTTAGAATAGATCCTGATAACCTTGAAATACTCAGAGACCTCTCACTCTTGCAGGTAATTATGGGAATGGACTGAGGAGAGTTATTAGGTGTGCAAATTGGATGTTTCATTCTTAAAGTTCATGGCAATTCGTACTTTTATCACTATTCCTTTTGTAAGCTCGTTCCAGTGCTAATCTCTCTGTTGATGCTTTCAACAAATTATCTTGTTGCATCCATTTTTTATTCTTAGGCACAAATGCGGGACTTATCCGGTTTTGTGGAGACCAGGCAGCAGCTGTTGACGTTGAAGCCTAATCACCGAATGAACTGGATTGGCTTTGCAGTCTCCCAGCATTTAAACGCGAAGTATGTTATGGTCCTTAAGCCCTGAAATCTTAGCTAGCTGGTTAATACTCTGGTGTATTTATATAATTTGCAATTGTAGACATTTTACGAAGTAAATAGTGTACACCTTTGTTGGTAGAATTTTACGTCTGAATTTTAGGCAATAATATACCAATGAACAAACATTCAGTAGAATTGTATGCCTTGCCAATCAGCCAAAAAATATTTTTCTTTTGACAAGAGCTCACCTTGATCTCTTAACTTGTTTTATTTTTCTTAAAATCAGTGCTTCTAAAGCTGTTGAAATTTTGGAAGCGTTTGAAGGCACCTTAGAGGATGATTATCCTCCTGAGAACGAGCTATGTGAACACACTGAAATGATTCTGTACAAGGTATCAAGCAATTTTTTTAACAAGTATCATACCTTGACTGTAATCTCTCTAGGCTTTTTCCTCTGGAAAACCATGGCAGGAAATCTCAACTGGATTTTTTTCTTCCAGGTTTCCTTGCTTGAGGAGAGCGGTTCTTTTGACAAAGCTCTCGAGGAATTGCACAAAAAAGAGTCGAAAATTGTAAGTCCTTGAAGCTGATAGTTGAATATATTTTGGATCAGAGGATTCACAAATATAGTGGATTGAACATTTCACGTGTGGCTGAATTTAGGTTGATAAGCTGTCATACAAAGAACAAGAGGTATCTCTCTTGTCAAAGCTTGGTCGTCTAGAAGAAGCCAAGAAACTCTACAGGGTGTTGCTTTCCATGAACCCTGACAATTACAGGTTTTTTTCCTTTCACTTCCAAGTCAGTCCAGAGATATTAGTTGTTTCTCTATTTTCACGCCTGTTTGCTCTGCTTCATTAACTTTTGCATAAAAATTGTCAGTCTTTCCCTATGACACTCTGAAATGCTTCTATATATTTTTGCGTACTATCAATTCTTGTAAACAAGTAAAACGTGCATTCCTTACTTTTTCAGATATTATGAAGGCCTCCAAAAATGTCTTGAATTGTATTCAGAAAGTGGTCAATATTCGCTTGACCAGATTGAGAAGTTAAATGCCTTGTACCAGTCTCTAAGTGAACAGTTCACTTGGTCATCCGCTGTTAAGGTGAGAAAATGCAGATCAGTGCTCGTAGTGACATACATTTTTAATATCCTTCTACTTTATAGGGAACTATTGGTTACCCATGTCGTTCTCTTTGATATTTTTTGGTCGCTGAGTCGTGAATTTGACGGCTGGGGTTGAATTATTTTCTATTTCCACTTTTTCAGAGGATACCATTAGATTTTCTGCAAGATGAAAACTTTAAGGAGGCTGTAGCAAAGTACATTAAACCTCTGTTGACGAAGGTATCTTTTCTCGCCCCTGAGTCTCTTCGTTTACAGAATGCTCTAATAGAATATGATTCTTATATATCATGATGCTTGTCTCAGGGTGTTCCTTCATTATTTTCTGATCTCTCTTCTCTGTATGATCACCCTCGCAAGGTTAGTGTTCCTGATTTGTCCTTGAGCATGCTGTTGCAAATTTCATTGAAGCTTCATTTTATTTTGCCATATATGTTCTTAATTCTATTTTGTTATTCAGCCTGATATATTGGAGCAATTAGTTGTTGAGATGGAACATTCGATTAGGACTACTGGAAGTTACCCAGGAAGGTATGTAACTGAATTTCTTATTGTAGTGTTCACTAAATTGACGTTGTCTATGATATATGGTCTTATCGTATACTAAAATAACACTGAAATGTTCTTAAAGTTAGTGATTTGATCAATCAAAGGTTTTGATTAATTCTTAATTGATGCAGCGATGTGAAAGAGCCCCCATCAACACTATTGTGGACATTGTTTTTCTTGGCTCAGGTTCACTTTTGCTATCTGTCTTTATTTTTCTCTCTAATTATTAGCTTTTCTGTTGAAGTTTTGTATCTTATCATGATACATATTTTTCATAATGCAGCATTATGACAAGCGTGGTCAGTATGATGTTGCCCTTGGTAAAATTGATGAGGCCATTGCTCATACGCCGACAGTGATTGATCTGTACTCTGTTAAGGTATCCTTGTTTATCGCTGGCCAAAAATTATAAGATTTTGATCCATTAGTTTTTGGTATATGTCGGTATTGTTCCCTGCACATTTGATAACTTTATTGACAGGGTGGCGGGTTTGAACTTCTTTAGTTATAGCGATTGTTAACAGCCTTTGTATAATTTTTGTACTCCGTTCAAGCTATCTTTTTTGTATGAGGATTCTTGTATCTTCTTAACCCTTGTATTGGTTTCTCTCAACAGAGCCGAATAATGAAGCATGCAGGAGACTTGACTGCTGCTGCTGCACTTGCCGATGAAGCTAGATGCATGGACTTAGCAGATCGCTATATAAACAGTGAATGCGTTAAGCGTATGCTGCAAGCAGATCAGGTTTACATCTCGGTTTTGTTCATATTATATTGTTGTGATCGATGTCCGTAGATGTTCTGCCTCAGCACTAGTTTTTTTATTCTGTGAATTTTTTTGGTGAAGGTGACCTTGGCTGAAAAAACTGCTGTTTTATTTACAAAAGAGGGGGATCAACTCAACAATCTTCATGACATGCAGTGCATGTGGTACGGCTCTGTAGAGCCTGATTAGTTTTTTTAATGTAAAATTTGACATTTCAGATGCCTTTCTGATAGCTGTCCTTTGATCTCGTTTCGTAAAAGGTATGATCTTGCATCTGGAGATAGCTACTTCCGTCAAGGTGATCTTGGACGTGCCCTGAAGAAGTTTTTGGCTGTGGAGAAACACTATTCTGACATTACTGAGGATCAATTTGATTTCCACTCGTATTGCTTACGGAAAATGACTTTGCGGTCATATGTTGACATGCTTAAGTTCCAAGATCGACTGCACTCATTCCCATATTTTCACAAAGCAGCAATCAGAGCTATCAGGTAAACTCTTTGTTTCACAAATGTAATTCAACTACATTATCTACTGTATGAATGCGTGTATATCCCATCGAAATGTAGTCACAGTTGCCTCTTTGTTCAGGTGCTACCTGAAATTGCATGATTCTCCCAAGTCAACTGCGGAAGAAGATGAAATGTCAAAGTTGGCTCCTGCTCAGAAGAAGAAAATCAAGAAGCAGAAAAAGGCAGAAGCCCGAGCTAAGAAAGTAAGTGTTGTCAGTGTTTGTCAAGTTAATTGGAACTTAGGTGGCTTAAGAGTTGTCTTCTTCGTTTCAGGAAGCTGAGAGTAAGAGTGAAGAATCAACTGCCACTGGTGTCTCTAAGTCTGGAAAACGAAGTGTGAAACCTGTAGATCCGGATCCTCATGGGCAAAAGCTAATTCAGGTTGTTGTTTGCTTGATTCGTCAGATGAATTGTTGTCTTCGACATAATATTGTACTATGAGTATTAACTTTATCAATGGCTTACTGGAAAACTTAAATCTGTACAGGTGGAAGAGCCAATGGCAGAGGCTTCAAAGTACTTGAGACTACTCCAGAAGCATTCACCTAATTCTTTGGAGACTCATCTGCTTTCTTTTGAGGTTAATATGAGAAAACAAAAGTTTCTGCTTGCATTCCAGGTAACTAATTTATTGTCTTGTGATCCTATTCAAAATTAGAGCTGATCTATCATGTTTCTATTATATGCTTTGTTCAAGTAATCTATGGGCTTTGCCGTCTCATTTTTCATTCTTCAGGCTGTCAAGCAATTGCTTAAATTGGACGCGGAGAACCCTGATTCACATCGTTCCCTGGTATGAAATCTGTGCTACTTGTGATATTCTAAGGCTTGCTTAATCATGCAAAGGAGAGAAGAGATAATAACTGTTGTTTGGCTAGAAATGTGTTCATTTCGGTGGTCTATATGCTTTTGAAATTTGATGGCAGGTAAAATTCTTTCTCAAGACAGGATCGACAAGTGCTCCAACAACTGAATCTGAGAAGCTTCGTTGGAGCGTCCTAGAGGCTGAGCGCCCATCAATCAGGTGACTAGTCAAACTATTATCCATTCTTACTGTTACTTTTGTATATCTGTTGTGTAATAATTTTTCCATTCGTTTGCAATTCTAGTCAATTGCAGAATAAATCACTAATGGAGGCAAACAAAGAGTTTCTTGGTAGACACGAAGGTGCATATCAAACTTATTACATATACCCTCAAGGAGATAATACAGTGTCTTATGGTAACATTTGCATTTCAATTCCGCAGATTCGTTGGTGCACAGAGCTGCATATGCAGAAATGCTCTACGTTTTGGATCCAAGCAAGAAAGCTGAGGCTATCAAAATAATCGAAGACTCGACTAATAAAGTGGTTCAAACGTAATGCTCCTCGAATCATATTTACCTTAAGCTTACTTGGTTCTCTCTCTGTTCTCTGATTTGTCGTATGTTTAACATCGGCTGTATATTTGAAGAAATGGAGCTCTAGGAGCAGCAAGAGAATGGAAACTCAAAGACTGTATAGCAGTTCATAAGCTCCTAGACACAGTTCTCCTTGACTCGGAAGCTGCCTCCAGTAAGCATTGAATAATATCTTCACTTTGGCTGTTTCAGTTATGTACACCAATATGACTTTCCCCCAATTGCAGGATGGAAATCACGCTGCGCCGAGTATTTTCCTTGTTCAACTCACTTTGAAGGCAAGCGCAGCTCTCTGATGCCTGATTCAGTGTACAACTCATCTCGCAAGAGCAATGAAAATGGCGAAGCTCCAAACCATCCAATGGGTCAGACTGAGTTGAGCGATGGACAGCTAGAAGCATTCAAGAGCCTCTCCGTCTCAACCTGAAGAATGTTTATCAATAAGAAGCAAATCAACCCAGAAGATAATTTCCAAAAAACGGACGTTCCGTTGTTGCAGACGCGAATGGAAACTGGAGTTTTAATGAAATTTTTGGGAGAAGTGTGGATCAGAAAATGTTTGGAGTTGTAAGCAGTGGCGAACCTAAAAGGGGATTCAACACCAGATAATTTTGGAAAATTGAAACTGTTTCACTAGTATCAACTTGTTTGTTTGTGGCTGATTTGGTCATTTCTTTTTTCATTTTCTAGCAGTGCGAGCTTATATCAATAACAACTTCCATTTTTTTACTCAAAAAATTTTGGACATTCGACTCATCACTTCTTTAGATTAGATAATAAGAGGTTAAGCCAATCTATTTCCGGTTCCACCCTAAAATTTCAAATTCATACTTTATTCTCCTGTAAATTTTCGTGATTTTTTTTTTTTTTTTTTTCTAGAAACCACCGGTTACAATAGGAGAAAAAAGAGAGCGTTATTAACATCTATATCTGGAAATTTTTTAATTAGATGAGCCTTACCTTTTTTAATCAGATGAGCCTTACCTTCTTTGTAAATGTCGTTGTGCTATCTAAAACACCATTATTTGGAGATTTATTGATTTGGAAAGTTACAACTCTTTGAACAAACAAAATGAATAAGATTTTCAACTATACAAGTATACACAACACAGACTCTATGGATCGAAACGGCTGGGACAATCTCCCACTTGAGATTTGAAAGGTCTCAGTATTTGTCTATGAGGAAGCAGTGCTGCTTTCTCCGACCTCACTTTTACAGAGAGGGCAAGTCGCATTAATTTTAAGCCATTTGTCTACACAGTCGACATGAAAGACATGTAAGCATGGCAGCTCTCTAACTTCTTCGTCGTCTCCATATCTAGCCAAGCAGATGCAACAGCTCTGCAAAACCAATAACATCCAAGGAAAATGCAGACACATAGTTAATAGCTGAAGATAGGCCAAATAGTAACATTGTAGTCCGATAGATAACCGAAAAAAGGCTACTAATTTGAATGAATCCATGGCAAATGAGAGTGTTAAGGTACTTACGGCATCTTCGCCTGATATAAGACGTTTCTTGTGGGATCCCAATAGAAGAAATCCACCTTCATCTTCCTCTGAAAATTCCAAATCATTTCTACTTTTTGTTCTGAATTTGTAGACAGGCAGCGCGTTGATGGCCTCGGGAGTGGCTCCTCTAGTTTGTGAGAAGTTTTCCCGAAACCCGAGAACAGAGATCAAGCAAGGCAAACAACAACAGATGGTTGCGCATAGTATGAATGGCATTGCATATCCGATGCAACTAAAAGTAAGGAACGCTATACATAACCTGCACCACCAAACCAAAAACCAAAAAAAGAAAGAAAAACATGAGTGTTGTTGGTGTTTCAATTCTCCACAGGGACATAAAGAGTGGATGAAAAGCCACACCTGTACAGTTTAGGAGAATCAGAAGGAGATGAGTGACCTCCAAATATCCATACATTCCCGACAACAAACCACACTGCAAAGAAACAGTCAATCGCCATCTTGAAATGGTCCACCAACCCGTTCAATCTGCGGAGTCATAAGAAGTTATCAGTTTAGATTTCTTAGCTAATGTTTTAAGGCTACAAATATTACTTTCTACCTTATTCTTAAGCTTTCCCCTACTTGATTGTTCATAGGTGCTGCTGTCCTGTCGGTGCTGTTTCCTTCAACAGCTGTATATGGTGCAGAATCTGAGGGATTATTATTGCCTTGAGAAGAGCTACCACGTTGTGAAGAATCTTGCCCTGTACCTCGGTTATTATAAGTGCGAAAACGCCAGTAGAGTATAGGGAGAGTGGCTACACAGCCAGTGGTATATCCAACAACCCATGTAAACAATGGCGCTTCTGGATGTTCATCTTTAGCCAGGACCATAACTACTATGGCTGCAACGATCTGAGCCACAGTGACAACTAACTCAACTGAAATCCAAAGGCCAGAATTCAATGGACTCCTCGTACTAGTATTACGGCGACCATTCCCATCATCTCCTCTCCTAGCCAAACTTGCTCTTTGCTGAGGAGGAGATGGATGCGTCGGGTGTTGTGTACTGCTAGATGATATTCTCTCTTCACTTTGATCTTGATGTGAGTTAAAGTCGGGAGTTAGCTCATCGATAGAAGAAGAGTCCTCGTCATTGCTTGTGATATCAACGATGTGCTCGCCTCCATTATTGTGGGTTTCCATTAACAAAGGATCTTGATCAGTTTGGCTTCTGTTTCGTCCAATGGAAGAAACGTCCATCTAAATCCAAGTAGAAAACTGAAATGCAAAATTCAGCAACTCGACGATCCCAATTTTCTTAACATCCGTCTAACCATTTGTGTACACCAAAGGCAAAGCTATGACATCCCAGTTCAACTCTTAACAGACCAACCCAATCTCCCCCAAGAACAAAGGCAATGTCTTGCACAAATGTTAAACATACACCTGTTACAGCACAGGTCATGAGGAACGCAAATAGCTGTAGAACTCGAACAAAAACAATAGATAAATTCACAAGGATTAGAGGAACAATTGTAAAATTAAGCACGTTAAAAAGGAGTCTGCGATGATTAACAAGCGCAGATCAAAATCCACTGTCAGGAAACGTATAATTGGCCAAACCCTAACTAAATATACATATATCCCACTTCAGGTAAGACCCAGCATACAATCTCGACTCTTTCAAATCCATCAATTTTTGATCTTGATGAAGAACCGAAAACTAGTATTCAAACAAATTCAATGGTCCCATGAGATAACACGGTCTTGGAGATAAAGCCCCCAAATAATAGCCACACAAGATCGAAGGAAACCATATTACGAAGAAGAAGAAGAAGAAGAAGAAGAAGAAGAAGAAGAAGAAGAAGAAGAAGAAGAAGAAGAAGAAGAAGAAGAAGAAGAAGAAGAAGAGTAGATACAATGGTGAAGCCTTTACCGGGATCGGAAAAGCTTGTCAGACAATCACGATTTGAATACAGAAAAGCTGCGAGTAAGCTGTTCTTGTCTTACTTCTACTAATCTTCTTTTTCATTCTTGAGAACGACAAAGACAACCAAAAAAAAATCCGAGCTTTCGTATTTTGCTTTCGCAGTAATTCGGGAGAAGAGAGTGATTAGTTTACTAAAATGATTAGAGATTTCGTTATCCCTGAAATTCTGACCGTCGGATCTTGAGGATTCTAAGTTATATCTGATCGGAAGGTCATTTATATCTCCTTGTTTGTGGCTTTTTTTAATAGAAATTAATAGCTAGAATTATCGAATGGGCTTTGGAGAGTTAATACCTAATTTAGCAAATTTCTGTCAGACAAATAAGTTACTGCAAACAATCTTAGAGATGTTGCACCAAAACAAAAAATCTTAGAGGGTTTATTCAATTGTATATATGCATTTATTCTTAAATTATAAAATAATTTTGTCACTCGAATATTTAATGTTTTTAAAAGACTTTAATCACTTATGTGTATAAAACAAAATTAGATTTAGTGTTACTCATCTTTATAATAAAATAATAATAGCTAATCTGTGTAAATATTGAATATTTTTAAAGTTAAAATAAATAAAAATATATTATATGACTCTGAAAAGATTTGTACCCTTAAATATCTGAATTTTTAGAACCGAGCGGAATTCTAAATAAAATTCTCAAATCTTGTACTTTTTTTTTTGTTCAAAAAATCTCATTCTCTCTTCTTCTTATATTCGTGTCGTTTTAATTCTAGTTTTTATATCACAATAGAGTAAAAATTAACTATTTGCAATATCTACGAAATTGTTATAACACATATCATATATGAACTCTTATACCGGCCCATTAGGCCCATCAGGGCATTGTACTTAACCTAGATTCCCTATGTACTATATATATATATTCCAATGATTAATAAAGTTTCTAAGTTTTCACAACACGTTATCAGCACGATAAGACTCTCTGAGCGAAAAACCCTAATAAATCCGGCCACCACCAAAACCCTAAAAGCAAGTCGAAACTTAAAAAACGCATATCTTCCAAACCGTGAGGAACCAGAAGACGATCTACATATCAAATCGAAGCCCTCGACGAGACGAATCTACTGGAGAAAACCGTTTGTCGATCCAACGTCGGACGCGCCCTCACGCACACTTACAGTACACGACGATCAACCGAAAAAAAAAAAAACCCAGATCCGAGTTTTTCCTTCTTCAACCAGCAGCTTCTCCAGTTTTGGTGATCAATCCTTGGAATTTGTAGCGGCTAACTGAGGTCTATTAGCTCCCAGTTTCATTAGCCTGTCAGAAATCCAAAAGTGGAAAAGGTATCTTCTAAAACTGAGAGCCATAGAACCTGTTGTTTAAACACTTCAAAACCATATAAAAAAAAAAAGAAAAAAAAAATCGATCTCTAATTGATTGAAAGTGTTTGATACTCTGATGATTGATTGATAACTTGTTGATTGATTGTTTAAATTACAAGTTTATGCATGTTCAAAGGTTTTAAACTCGTTTTATAAAACCCTAATCTACAAAAAACCTAACAACCGTTTTTGGCCATGTTTATGGCATAAACCTATTCGATTTTCTTCATGTTTAATAAGCTTGTTGCAGCTTATTTGATTGTTGATTCTCTTGCTTGAAACACTTGATTGAATAAACTAAGAAAATCAACCCTAAATCCTAAGCTTGATTCACGATTTTGTAATCTTCAAAATCGTAAGTCATAATGCTTAAACCCTAGTCCTTTTCACGTGATTTCTTTGTTGTCCTTGTGAAATTATTAAAACCATCGACCACAGATCCTATAGATCTCGAAATCACATCCAAAATATGTTTTCCAAACCGTTAAAACCCTAGATAAAACCCTAATCATATTCGGCTCCCCTAGGGTTCCTCCTAAACCGCCTAAAACCGGCTAAACCTGGTTCTCATTAACCGAAATTATATTCGGCTTTAACCGATTAAATCACAGCTATTAAACCGACATCATGTTCGGGGTAACTAAAACCATACCCTTTAAAATTTACTATTTCCGAGAAAGTTCCCTCTAATAGAAAGTTTCCTCATATAAAAACATTCCTCATATAGAAATTTTCCCGATATAGAAACTTTCCTCATTTAGAAAATTACCCAAATTAGAAACTTTCTAAATTTAGAAACTTTCCTAAAATAGAAATATTCTCAAAATAGAAAGTTTCATCATCAGCATTCAAAATTTTCTCAAAACAATCCCTAACAAAATCAATCTCATGTTTCAGATGTCAAACATTCAGAAATGTGAATTCGAGGCCCTTCACGTCTCCGGGGATAACTACCTCGAGTGGGCCCTAGACATGCGCTTGTTCCTTGCATCGAAAGAACTCGATGCGTGTATTACCGACGGTAACACCGCATCCCGTAAGGGACAGTCTCAGGCGATATGTCACATACGCCATCATCTGGCCCCGAGCCTTAAGCAGCAATATCTCACTCTTGAGAATCCACTTGAATTGTGGCAAGCGCTGAAAAAGCGATATGACCATCAGAAAATGGTCCAGTTGCCTCAGGCAGATTTCGACTGGAAGAACCTTCGGTTCCAGGACTACAAATCCGTAGATGATTACAACAACGAACTCTTTCGTATTGTTGCCATCCGGAAACTCTGTGGCGAGGATGTGACAGAGAATGATCTCCTCGAGAAAACATTATCCACATTCAGCACAGAGGATGTTGTGCTCCAACAACAATACCGTGCAATGAAACACACATTGTACAAAGACTTGTTGTCCTGTCTTCTCCTCGCTGAGAAGAATAACCAGCTGCTTATGAGGAACAGCGCTATGAGGCCCCCGGGATCGGCTCCTGTCCCAGCTTCTCGTCAAGAGTCCTACCATGTTCAACCCGATAGATCCTCAGATCACCGCCGTGGACGTGGTAATGGACGTGGTAATGGCCGAGGACATGGACGTGGAAGGCGTGGACGCGGACATGGTCGTGGCAACCGACCTAACCTCAGTTATGGTCCTGGTCGTGGTCGAGGCATCACCAAGCCGACCCGCCACACCAACCCCGATCACTCTGCTTGTACCAGATGTGGGATGTTCAACCACCCAACAAAGCAATGTCGCACCCCCAAGATCCACTGCGATCTATACCAGAAGTACGGAAAAGCTCCTGCTGAAGCCAACATGACTCAGCCAGTCGATGCTGCTAACCTGGAAGGTGACGACCTCCTTGATGATGAGAACACCACAAACGAGCAGACCGACCCCATGGACTATGAAACAGCTGATCTCCTCGATTAATTCAATCATCTGAAACTCTGATACAATTTGATTTTGTTCTTTATTTTTTTTTCATTTTGGGATTTGTTTCATTTTTTTTTCCATTTGCCTTTATTCTCAGACACTGCTTTACTTTATGATTTATCACATTTTCTGAATTCCTCAATACTGGATTCTATCTTCTATTCATAATGAAGCACACCAGCAAATGGAAACCATAGTCGTAGATAGTGGATCCAGCCACACTATCTTAAGAAACAAAAGTTACTTCATAAACCTAACCTATCAAACCGCAAATATTAGCACCATCGCGGGTCCCTCAAACCTTATCGAAGGATATGGCCATGCCTATGTGTTGCTATCAAATGGCACACAACTTGAAATACCAGATGCTCTATATTCTTCTAGTTCGAAGAGAAATCTTCTGAGCTTCAAGGATATAAGACAGAATGGTTTCCACATAGAAACCCAAGGTCAAGGGAACAAAGAATCCCTCCTAGTCACTAAAACCGTAGACGGCCATAAACAAATCCTCGAAACCATACCCGCGCTCTCTACTGGACTTTACCATGCTAAAGTCAGTATGATTGAAGCTAATACCACTCTCAAAGCCCGGTTTACTGATTATACTATTTGGCACGACCGGCTCGGTCATCCCGGTGCAAATATGATGCGTAAACTAATTCAAAACTCTCAAGGGCATACCCTCAAAGAAAACCGAGCTTATCCTCAACACCTCATGTGCACAGCTTGTTCTCAAGGCAAATTGATCACTCGGCCTTCACCAGTTAAAATCTCTAAACAAACATTCATTTCCTAGAAAGAATCCAGGGCGATATCTGTGGACCTATACATCCATCTTCCGGACCATTCCGGTACTTCATGGTCCTTATAGACGCATCGACCCGTTGGTCATATGTTTGTCTCTTGTCCTCTCGGAACCAAGCCTTCGCTAGGTTCTTGGCCCAAATCATAAAATTGCGGGCCCATTTCCCTGACTTCCCACTAAAGACTATCCGCCTTGACAATGCTGGTGAATTTACCTCACAAGCGTTTAATGACTACTGTATGGCCATGGGGGTAACCGTGGAACATCCTGTAGCACATGTCCATACTCAAAATGGATTGGCTGAATCATTCATTAAACGAATTCAATGGATAGCCCGACCATTACTCATGAGATCAAAGCTCCCGGCCTCAGCATGGGGACATGCAGTATTACATGCTGCTGAACTCATACGCATCCGGCCATCTAGTGAACACAAATATTCCCCATCCCAACTACTCTCGGGTCATGAGCCAGACATCTCCCATCTCAAAACATTTGGGTGTTCAGTATATGTACCCATTGCTCCACCACATCGAACCAAAATGGGACCTCAAAGAAGGATGGGAATATATGTTGGTTTTGACTCTCCCACCATCATAAGATATCTCGAGCCAACCACTGGAGATCTCTTCAAGGCCAGATATGCGGATTGCCAATTCGATAAATCGGTATATCCCTCTTTAGGTGGTGAGACAAACAAGCTGGTCAAAGATCTTTCATGGAATCAAACATCATTAAATTGGCAAGATCCTCGGACTCTAGAATGTGATTCAGAGATCCAAAAGATTATTCATTATCAAAAGCTAGCTAATCAATTGCCAGATTCCTTTGCTGACCCGACCAAAGTAACCAAATCGTACATCCCAGCTTGTAATGCACCAGTACGAATAGCTGTCCCAACGGGACAGACCCAAGTTGCTACAGAGTCTGCACCACGTCTCAAACGGGGCAGACCTCTCGGTTCCAAAGATAAGAATCCCCGGAAATCAAAGAAAGGTGCAATAACCGAAACCGGGATTCCTGCAATATCAGACATAGCCGCGGCTGAGACTCAATCTAATGAATCCTCAATGGAAGTTCGGGACGCCGAATCTCCAGGTTCAGAAGATAACAATGAGATCTCCATCAATTACAATATGTCCGGAATACAATGGAATCGAAAAGAAGTCGACTTAAATGCACTCTTTGCATACGAAGTAGCACTTGATGTTGCGCTCACGCAAGAGGATCTAGAACCCACGTCAATAACACAGTGTACACATCGAACAGATTGGCTAAAATGGAAAGAAGCCATAAACGTGGAGTTAAAGAGTCTCAAACTCAGAAACGTGTTCGGTCCGATCATCCGGACCCCATCACACATCAAGCCAGTGGGCCACAAATGGGTCTTTGTGCGCAAAAGGAACGAACTCGGTGAAGTCGTTCGATACAAAGCACGGCTTGTAGCACAAGGATTCTCACAGAGACCCGGAATCGATTATGAGGAGACTTATTCTCCAGTGGTGGATGCAACAACATTTCGATTCCTCATAAGTCTGGCCATAAGAGAAAATCTTGATCTGCGGTTAATGGATGTTGTAACCGCATATCTCTATGGGCCCCTGGACAACGAAATATATATGAGACTCCCAGATGGCATTGAACTAAAAGACAAAAATGCATCTCGAGATCAATACTGCATCAGGCTGAACAAATCCTTGTATGGACTGAAACAAAGTGGGCGTATGTGGTACAACCGCCTCAGCGATTACCTCATCAAAGAAGGCTACAAAAATGACCCCATCAGTCCATGCATCTTCATCAAGAAGTACTCAAACAAAGGATTTGTAATCATAGTAGTATACGTGGATGATCTAAACATCCTCGGAACATCTGGTGAGATCTCCCAAACAGTCGACTGCTTAAAAGCAGAATTCGAAATGAAAGACCTAGGCAAAACAAAGTACTGTTTGGGATTACAACTTGAGTACATCAAAGGAGGAATCCTTGTGCATCAATCAGCTTATATCGAAAAGGTACTCAAGCGATTTAATATGGACCAAGCTCACCCATTGACCAGCCCAATGGTAGTTAGAAGCTTAAGTGATGACCCTCTTGGTCCCAAAAAGGATGATGAAGAAATCCTTGGTCCTGAAAAGCCATACCTCAGTGCTGTAGGAGCGTTAATGTACCTGGCTAGTCACACTAGACCAGACATATGTTTTGCCGTGAACCTCCTCGCTCGATATAGTTCATCTCCAACTCAGAGGCACTGGAACGGTATAAAACATCTCCTAAGATACCTTCGAGGTACTCAAGACTTAGGACTCTTCTATACTAACCAAAATAAAGATGGGTTAGTCGGCTTCGCCGATGCAGGATATCTATCAGATCCGCACACTGCCAAGTCTCAAACTGGCTACGTTTTTACGCATGGAGGAACAGCCATCTCTTGGAGATCAATGAAGCAGACACTCACTGCCACTTCATCAAACCATGCTGAAATCCTAGCCATTCATGAGGCTAGTAGGGAATGCGTCTGGCTGCGCTCCATGACTCAGCACATCCGCAGAGATTGTGGTATGGACGAAGACACACAGCCCACGGTGATGTATGAAGACAACGCGGCATGCATAGCTCAGCTCAAGGAAGGATATATCAAAGGAGATCGGACGAAGCACATTCTACCGAAGTTCTTCTCAACCTCAGACTGGCAGAAGGTTGGCACTCTCAGCGTTCAGCAGGTCCGATCCAGTGAGAATTCAGCTGACCTCTTCACCAAATCATTGCCTACTTCAACACACCGGAAGCTCGTCAAACAGATAGGAATGTATAGACTTAGAGATCTGCAGTGATGCTACAATCAGGGGGAGTAATGCGTGTTGTACTCTTTTTCCTTCACCATGGTTTTGTCCCACTGGGTTTTTCCTGGTAAGGTTTTAATGAGGCAACATTCCCCAGCGCATTATCGAGATCCCGATTGAGTAGCTGACCCGGTTCACTCGTCCAAGGGGGAGTGTTATAACACATATCATATATGGACTCTTATACCGGCCCATTAGGCCCATCAGAGCATTGTACTTAACCTAGATTCCCTATGTACTCTATATATATATTCCAGTGATTAATAAAGTTTCTAAGTTTTCACAACAGAAATGACTATCTTTTGACAAAATTATTGTTACAAATATTTGCAATATCTACTAATATTTTGATACAATTCACAACGGTAAAACACGACAATATTGCATCTTGAAATCCGTATTTTTTCAGTATCGTTTTCTGTAGACAGAGTTGATGCCATTTTAATATTTGAGATATTTTTTTGAATTATTGTAAAACTCATATATAAAAAAGTGTGTGTTTAGTTGTAATCTCCAAATTTTTATTTTCCATTTTCATTTCTCTTTTTCATTCTTTTTTTCTACCATAGGCTTGTAATTTTTTTACATTGTTACGATTTCTGATAAGCAAGTTTTCCAAACTTGCATTTACTATGGTTGCCATTCTAAATATTTAGTCCAAAAATGACTATTTAGCATAAAAATATGTGTAATCTTTTTCTGTTAATATCACTCAGAAAATCTCAGATCTTTTACAACATATCACAAACTTCCTTGATAACTCGAGCTCTTGTTGTACCTGTTGTATGAGAAAAGAAAAACATAATAGTGGCAACTGGTCTAGTCCACGTTGCCCAGATGTGTACCTTATGTGTATAAAACTGGTCTATATACAACAGTATAACAAGAGCTCGATTTATCAAGAAAGTTTGTGATAAGTTGTAAAAAATCTGAGATTTTCTGACAGAGAACGATTACACATATTTATATGCTAAATTTTATACCTTGATCAGATCACTAACTACAAAGATACCACCACCAATGACAGATCTCCATGAAACTAATTACTTGAAATCTAAACATGTACGTGGGATGTATCTAGGATATGGTATCTAATATAAGTGCTAGAAACTACTTAGTAAAAAATAAAAAAATCGATCACGAGTTATTGTTTTGAATAAGAACAAACAAAAGGGTCACTGTTAAAATAAAAACAAATCATGAATTACAGAAATCTTGTCATTCTAGACCAATTTATTCCATGTGCGTTATAGCGATTATAACAAGAAGAAAAAAAAACATTTTATTAAAGAATGGCTTACCGGAATTACCGGTCACGGATTTGCAATCGAAACCGGGTAAGTTCGTCACGTGTCGACTAAGTAGGACACTTTGGATGTCTTTAACTATTTGATTGGTCTAAGAATAATGACATGAAGCATCGCGAATCATCAATGTTTCTCAGCGAAGAAACATAATCACGTGACTTATGCGTGACCCTACCGCAGTGATAAATGTTTCGCTCTCTCTTCTTATCGTCTAAACGTTTTTTTCCTTTTCTATGATTCGTGTTTTGGGTTATTCGTGTTTTTGAGTTAGAAAAGGAAAATGGTGAAAACTGAAAAGTTATTCTTTCGGTTACTTCCTTGGTTTCACAAAAAATATTATTTTAACACATTTCATGTTTTATTAAGAAATTTTTAAAATCATCCTAATATATCCCTATTTAATATACACATAACTCACTAAAATGACTTAAATACATATATTATAAATTGATTCAATTACAAATTTGAAAGTTAGTTTGAAAACTTGCATTGAATAATTCAATAGAAATGACAATCTTTTCAAGACAAAATATATTAACTCTAAACCGATACTTTTTGTGAAATGAACAAAATTTTTCAAACAGAATGTATAATATTATAAAGTGAACTGAGTAAGAAAGAAAAGAAAACAGGATGTTAAAGAGAAAAAAAAGTTATCACATACACAAGCAATACTACTTTCTGAGTAAGTGTACTTAGAGTAGGTGGTATGCAAAATTAAGTAGTAGACTTATGTCACCTAGTTATATATATGCGATGTTTTCGACCGACAGGAAAATAAGTAAAGTGACAAGAAAGTGTAGACAAAAGGAACACTATTGAAGATCTCTCTCGAAGAATATATGGAATTAAAATTGACAAACTAACACAAACAATTATATGGAATTCTTTCTGTTTCAGTTATTATAATTTTCAACATTTGTATAAGCACCTTAGATATACATGGACCTTTCGTATGTATTATAAACATTCGAAACTAAATTAACATGAACGCAGCAAAGTCTTACAAGCAATACAAAAACCACTAATCAAGAATAACGTGGTTAACTATTACAGCTAGCGTCGGGAAAACTTTCAAGTTTAATCTTAAAAATTAGTTTTCTTGTTTCTCTAGTCGAACCCATGAGATGGAGCTGAGTCCTCGAACTAAATGAGCTACAAGATTAGCCCAATAATTTGCTGTCCTGATTATGAATATCGATCGGGAGCTAAATTTAAACTGAGAATACATATATATATATATATATAGCCGTACGTACACATGCAAATCCACTAATGACACTTAATTTAGTGCGTATATAACAATCCCAAAAAAGACATGGTTAGAAAACGGTAGATGCAGGGCCCACATCAAACAGGAAGAAGAGGCTAATCACCAACTATTCGATTGGTTTCGTGGAGGTATCAAAACCGCCAGTTACTTACAGGAGACGTACGACGTCGTGTTATTATTGACTAGGTTTTTTAGCTGACGCGTATAAATACAAACAATGTTGAAAGTTGGAAACCAAATATACACTCAAGCCAAAAGTTAGTGCCATTCTGTCTCTCACCCCTCACTTTTATTCTTAACTTTTTATATGTACACATATAGATTAATAAAGACAGGGATTTATATATAAAATGTCACCGGAGTCCGTCGATCTTGGAGGATCTGAGCTGACCCTAGCTCTGCCCGGCGCTCCCATAAAGGCATCGGACGGTCAACAAAAGTCCGGAAACAAACGTAGGTTCATCGAGACCATTGACTTGAAACTCGGGTAAAGGACACGTGAACACTATTTATATCTCATGCAACACTTATACTTAGCACGGCAAGTTTAATTTGCATAGTTATAAACATGATAATATATATAGAATCTATATATATATATATATATGCATGTTTCACGTCTTTGTTGTGGTTTCAGTGGCCGATTGGTAGGGTGGCCGCCGGTGAAGACGGCGAGGCGGAGGAAACACGTGAAAGTGGCAGTGGATGGTGTGGCCTATCTCAGAAAAGTCGATCTAGGGATGTACGATTGCTACGGACAACTGTTCACCGCTCTAGAAAACATGTTTCAGGGGATATGTAAGTGATCGAGTAATTTAAATGATAATATGTTTTGTATGGACTGTACTCAAAGCAAGTAGAAGGTATTTTGGTCAAAGTAACTTACTTGGGGTGTGGTTTGTTTTGACGGTCGTAGTTAATGTGACCACAGCTTTGGAGAGGAACGGGGAGTTTATGGCAACTTACGAGGATAAGGACGGTGACTGGATGTTAGTCGGAGATGTGCCGTGGATGTGAGTTCCCGGAATTACTCTTGTGGATTAAATAACTTCAACTTACTTAAACTTCCCATTATAATCAAACTCAAAACAAGATAAATTTATTAATTGTTTATATGAGAGCTAGCTAGCGACTAATTTCTAATGGGGTTCATGACTCTTTTTGTGAACGTCGTCGTAGGATGTTTGTGGAATCGTGCAAACGTATGCGGTTGATGAAAACCGGTGATGCTATTGGGTTAGGCTCAGCCAAATAGGAATATCTCAAGAAGTTAGACCTGGTTCCTCTCTTTTCATTTTATTGATACAATTTGTGTTAAAGCAATTAAGGCAAGATCAAACTATGACTTACCTTATCGTACCGAGGATCTTTCATCTACGGACTTATAGTTCTCAAAAACATTTGCCAAAAGTTTTTCTCTGATCTTTCTTTCACATTCCTTAAAGATACTATACTGCAAGTAGAACATGTCCTCCATAACTAGCCCTACAGAACCATTAAAGATAATCAAACAAGTATATATCAAACTAAAATTTGATGAATCGAATCCAAGTCTTAAGACGTCATTAATTTTTTTAATTTTTTTTTTTAGTTTGCAAAAGAAGGGAGGATTTGCCTCCTCCCATCTCATACACATGCATTATATGAGTGAGATACATTCGATCAATGTGTTTGAATTGATAGATCTTGAACACCAAGAGAACTATAATATATACAAGGCAGTCTTAACTAAAGATCTTGATGAGCAACTTGGTATATCAAGTTATGAACCAAAAAACTCCAAAATTCTTCTGTTTATTTTTCCCTTCTTAAATGAACAGATGATATAACAAACCAAGTTGAAGTTTTAGAGGCATTTTGCTTTTGGGACATCTTTTTGTAGATAGATAAGATATATAGCGAATGCTTAACTGAATTTGAAATTGGCTAATACTTAAAAAGTTTTCTTATGCAGCGCCTACAATTGTTTTGTCGTATATGCAATAATTCTAGTTTGTTTCAAGAGAGAAATGTGTACTTTTAGTAAGAAGTGATTGTTTTTACCACCTTAAGCAGGCTCTAAAGGATTTGAGATTAGATGGAAGGCTGAGCTGAAACAAATTATGTATAGAACGCAGGGGTTATATATCTAATATATATATATTAATTGAAAGAGTTGTTCTACCATGACTTAGAAAATCTAAACTTTTTGCAAATACATATGATTACTAATTAAAGATATGTACACGCGGGAGTTCATATAGTTTAATTCAAAAAGTCGCTTAACCACCGCCTTTTTGACCACAGTGGATCCGAATATGATGACATCGACAAGACGGACAAGATTTTGCTGCTTCATTAGATTTATTTATTTATGAAACAGTAAATAATTAAAAAAAAAAATCATGGAAAAACATATGTGCATATGCAGCAATGTAACAAATAGCATGTCAAAGGATGGAAGGAAGAACACGTGTGATGTAGTGTTACTCTCTTTTTACATACAAAGAGAAATACGTTGAAAAAAACAGCTCATTAGTTTGCGAGAATCGGGTTCCTTTCTTCATCGATATCTATCGCAAGGACACGGTCTGGGTCCGAGCCGCTTGGTCCTTCCGCGTAAAGGGTCGGAAGATAGGCCTTGTATGCCGGCAGATACCGGGACACAAAGTCATTCACCTAATTAAACACAAAGATATATATCAACATTCATCGTTTTCATATCAACCACAAGAGTACTAATTATAGTAACACTGTCTAAGACTGTCATAACGTATCAATACCTCATCATCTGACATCCCGGCTTTGCCAGCCTGCCTCATGGCGATTTCCGCCTGCCCAAAACCAAAGCAAACATGATCGTGTTTGTATAAAAACGCAGCGAAAGCTGTTAGTTTTTGTTTGTTAACAGATATACAAACCTGAAGACGCCACCGGTAGACATAACTTGGGTCTTTGATTTTGATGACGACCCAAGCATTGATGTACTTGTCCCATGCGTCGTAATACGCTTCAAGGTTCTTATTCACAGTCTCCAGCTGTAGAAAGAGAACAGAGTTTTTTTTTTTTTTTTTCATTATAGGATGCAACATTTTGTATATATAAAAGGTTGTATTCACTACTCAATTGTTTTGAGTGAGTTAGGATAACCTGCGGATCCACTGCCTTAACGACTTCAGCCGGAAGAGATTTAAAACCAAGCATCCATCCCTCAAAGAGAATAACCTGGAGATATCGAACAAAGTTATTGGTCTTGTTTCATTTTAACTTTGAACCGAAACACTTTAAAGATTGAAATACCTTTAGAGGTCCTTCAACTTCAGGCCATGTTGTTGCATCGGCTCTGTCACCCCTCCCGCTATATGCAGACTGCAGCCAATTAGGAGTATGTTAAGACCTGTTTCCTCTGTTTTCATTCTGTGTTTTATGATACAAAGTGATAAAGGTAGAGTAGGTAAAATTCACCTTATCGTACCGAGGAACTTTCATCTTCATCCCTGTGTCAATGATCCAAAAATTCACAATGTAAAATAAGAAAATAACAGCCAAGAGTAAAACATGATTGATGAAACTAACCGTCCTTGGTCAGTTTAGTCAGGGCTTCTAGTGTTTCGACAGAGAATGGAAGATCATGGCTTCCTGCATTTCCACGATACTGAAAAACATATATATGGAACAATGACGATATCTTTAAAATAAAGAAAAGACAGACGGACAAAAGAAAGAAAAAATTGTTGAGAATATGAAGATGCGTTTACCTCTAGAAGTGCATTTCCTGGATTCTCTTCTCTCAATTTAGCCTGAGACAAAAAAAAAAAAAAAAGGAAGCTAGGAAATGGAGTCCAGACAAGAGAGGCTACAAGTAAAATCTTAAAATTTACCTGGCCTTGTGCAGTCAAGTAAAAGTCGTCTATAGATATTGTCGCCGACTTCCTGAGATATTGGTTAGTTAGTATAAGAACCACTGGACTTGCATGATGAAGTAAATAGCAGTGGACCAATGTACCTTTTTGTAGTTTTGAAAAGATAATCAAGTGCAAACACAAGTGTAGTCTTGCCACATCCTTGTGGCGCGCTAAATCCAATCTGCATTTTCCAATCACGTCTATCAATCAATAAATATTGAGATTATCAACCAAGAAAACGAAAACGATTAGTACCACTAATGGAGGCACATCGTCTCCATCTTGGAAGTTGGAGTTATGCAAAGCAATCTGATCATCACACCATACAAAGACGGGTATGTAGTAATGGTAAAGCCTAGCTTTCTGAGGAATGGTGAGCTTAAGCTCATTAAGCTGAAAGAGTCTGCAGAGTTGTGAGCCATAAAGTAACCATTTGTCAATGGACTGGCCAACTTTTTCAGGAGTAATGCCAATCTTGTCTACAAGAGGACCCGAGCATATGAATTCAAAAAGATCTGACACTGAAGAGACATCCACTGTTTTTGCTGGCAACGCCGAGCATCTTTTCCACGTCCCATTACTTGTAGCTGAATCATGAACCATTGAATTGTCCTGAATCCACGAGCATCCACACCCTATATCACGTTTTTCATCAAGTTTCGGTTACGATTTCAGAAATCAAAATAAATATGATTATATACACGTTTTTTCAAGGTCACTAAATTCATCAGTTAACCCTCAACACCAACAAGAGCTTCCAAAACAAATATGATTATATACAGATTATTAAAAATAAAAATACTCAAACAAATGGTGTGGAAATGATCGACCAATTTCTTCTAATAATTCACTGCAGCAAACAATTCACAGGGCAAAACTTGAACAACAAAAAAGAAAATTGAGAAAAAGGGTAGGCGTTTTACCAGAGATTGAGAAATGGGTTTCAATTGGAGAAAGCTTGGAGGAGGAAGAATCGGTAACGACATGGTCGTTAAATTTGGAAGAAGAAAGAATACGTCTTTTGAAATTAAAAGTATTGCAGATAGGATTAGAGTGACACGGAGACGGATGATCTTTGAGATAAAACCTATTATTATAATGCTGAAGAGTCGCTTGCCATGGCGATATCACACTTGAAGTTGCGACCGCCATTCTCTCTCTATCTCAAAGCATCAGCAATAAACAAGGAGAAGCAGATTTATGCTATTTTTATTTTTAAATCAACAAAACTATTTTATTTATTTAAAAAAAAAACAAATCTTTGCCACATAATATGTGAGTCATTCATATTCCTCCGCCCGCAGGATAACGTGTAATTAATGCTCTGTCTGTCATGAGAGTGTTTAATTAAACCAATATTATTAAGTAACTAATATAGGTCTTCCTGTTAATTAACTAAATTCTATAAGGAAGAACAAAATCTGTTAAGTCTATTAACTAAAACTTATTAATTAACTTAAAGTTAAATCTATAAGGAAGAACAAAATCTATAAAGTCTATTAAGTCTATTAACTAAAATCTATTAATTAAGTTTCTATTAATTAACTAAAATCTATTAGATTAAGTCTGTCCTATTAGATTAATTTTTACCAAAAAAAAATCTATTAGATTAAGTCTGTCCTGTTAATTAACTAAAATCTATAATGAAGACTTATATTAGAAAATATTACGAAATTAAAAACTTCTAATTTTCTAAATTTTCTAATATAGGTCTTCCTGTTAATTAACTAAAATCGATGTCAAAAACAAAAAAACAAAAAAAAAAACCCAAAATCTATAAGGAAGAACAAAATACTCTCTAACCAAATTACCAAACAAAGAACAAAATATTCCGTAGCAGAAAGTTAGAAATTGCCAGATTTAAAGAGAAAATAAATGTACATCCGACTTATACAACTAAAATAATATCGTGTCACCGGTCAGAACAAATCAGGTTTGGAAGAACCAAACAAGTCTACACTAAACCTGAGTAAACCGAATCCTTACGTAGTCCGGTTACTGGGAATGAGACCGTAGATTAACAGACTAATGAGAGACGAACCGGACCATCAGAAAAGTTACAGGATGTGTAACATCGGTTAGGAGATGGACCACTCGGTTTAGTCTGTAGCCTTTTCAGTTTTCACAGAATAGCATGTCAGGTAGCTTCGGAGAAGTGAAAACCGCCACGCATTTGAACTGTAAAACCCAAGTAGCCAAAAAAAAGCTGTTACATTCACGAACGATTTTAACCCAACGGTTTCACAAAACCAAACTGAAATTAACTTGTTTTACCTTCTCTTGCCTATATTTCATGCGTATAGAGTTTAATGGGCATCCTTTGGTGTTATGCTGCAGATCTTGCAAGGCGTGAGCAGATGCTTTGAGATCGGAGGCTTTGTACGTTGTGTAATGCTCAAGAGTTGGATTCTGGACCACAAAACAAACAAAAAAAGAGTGAGATTCAAGATTCGTGGAACAGAACAGAGGCGATTTGTGTAAGAGAACAGACCCAAGGGTGGCTTGATTGGTTCATTGTCCACTTGGCAAGAAAAACAGCCGAAGCAGCGATAACCGAAGGTAGGAACTTCAAGAACTGATAGTCTATTAACGTCAATTCTGTGAGATAATTCGCCAGTAACTCCATTTCCCGACTTGGATTCTGCAGACCATTAATCCATATACCAAAAAAGTTTCAATCTTTCTGCTAAATGTTGGATGAGCATAACAGATAGATTTGTATGAAAAACAAAAAAGAAGCAAATTACCACGTAAGAAGCTTGAGCTGCTCGGAGAAATCTCCTGCAAAAGTGGAAACTTTGAATCACTAAATACTACAAACAACAACATAGTATGAAGCATTTTCGCTGACTAGTGAGATTACCTGAGGAATGTTTTCGAAGTGGGAGCGTAAATTTGAAAGCTAGAATGCTTGAGTACTTGGCTCTCCATTTCTAGGACTTGATCTCTTGTGTAAGTGTTATCCGTGATGAAGCAGAACTCTTCAATGCGTGGTGCCAAGATTTCCTCATACTTTCTTTAACAAGTTTCAAGAAACACCATACTCTTTTAGATGCTGCCTTTTTGTGACAAGCATTGTTTGATAATTGGGAATAGACTGTTAATTAGGTTGATGAGCTTACGAAGCAATGAGCATACAAGTGATGCCGAGTAATTGAAGTCTTTGTCTTTCCATGTAGTTTCCATGTAGATACCAATCTATGAGATATATTGTGAGGTAGAGAGTGTCAGGTACAAGTGTGTATTCCTCTGAAACCTGCAAATGTTGACTTGTGAGAAGTAGATTAAAAGACTTGAAAAGTTAGCAACAAGAAAAAATGGATCTAACACTAACTTCTACAAGCCAATCAACCAGGATTCCCCGCATTGTTTGAGTCACATCTCTTTGTGTTCTTTTCATAAAATCAGGAAATGGTCTGCGTTTAAGCTGTTAAGTAGACCAGTCGTTAGAAATCAAATGCATTGTCCTCAGATATAAAAAATCCAAGGAGTTATTACCTCAGCAACACGCAGGTTGTAGTAGATTTCAGGTGCATAAAGGGTACAGAGTAGAGGATCCTTATCATCTGAATCAATGTCAACTAATTTCGGGATACTTGCCACAGTGGAACTTCCTCCAATAAAACTTTTCCCAACTGTCAACCATTTGCAAGAATAAAAATAAAAGCATCAGAAATGTGTTATTAATGACTCACACATCAATAATTTTTAACTGACCACTTGTAAAGTTCACCTGTATAAGTCGATCTCCCAAGGGGTCTTGGAGGCAACGTGGAACTCCGCTTCTCTATAGAGCTATAAGATGCTTCATCTGTGCCTAAGCTCGTGCTTGTACAACCAGACAAGCTTACTCCTACTGAGTTTGACAAGACTTCTACCTTTGCATCTGTAACCTCTGAAGTAGTAGAAGCTGATGCCACCTTGGAAGAACTTGCCTTTCCCTTCTTTATCTGCTTGATATTCTCCACCTAAATGGAAATAAACCATGATTTTTTAGTCCAAGAAAAAAAACATACTTCATGTCAATTTAAGCAGCAGCATTGTGCATGTAACAACCTGAATTTTAGCTGCATTGAAGCAACTTCTGTAAGAATTCTCGCAGGAAACATTTGTGATATCCTTAAGAACAGCTCGCTTCTTAAGTGCATTGGCTTTGTTCTCATCCAAGGCTGTTCTTTTACTCTTTGATCTCAGAACCCGACCCTGATTGATCTGTGTTGTAGCGGCCACTTCTGAGGATGTTATCAGTTTAGAAGAAGCACGCAGAGCAGACGCAAGGGCACGAGTTACAGGGCGACCGTTAAGTGGTATGGTGTTTCCAGAAACAACTTTCTCTTTTCCCATGACTGAATTCGAAGATCAATGGTAAGAGAATGTTAAGAAAGGTAGCAACAGAACAGAAAAGATCTATATATATGTCCAATGCATAAAAGATGTTGTTTAGACCAAAAAAAGGAAGATTATCAAATTATGAGACACGATGATCATTCATGATTTAACCCACTATTGGACCACATAATTGTTATAGAGATTATTTTTCTTGGCAAACTCTCAGATTCATGATTTAACTCTCAGATTATTTTTCTTGGCAAACTTTCTATAACAATCATGAATGGAAGATACATTCAACTTCCAAAGTTTCAAACTTTTCTAAACTCACTCAGATTCAGAAGTTATTTTAATTTCCTTGTTGAAAAATATCTAAACAGTAATGCAGAAAAACCCTCAGGGCCTCAACCTTTGATTTTTTTGTTAAAAAAAAAACATGGAAAAGAAAATGTCGCAGCAATTTTAGAGCAAACACAGAGCGACTACGCGCAGAATTTGGAGAAATAAAATTCGAAGAAAATATCAGGGAAATTAGTGTTGTTCGAAAATCTAAGTTTTCTCTCTTTCTTGTATGGGTTTCTATAAAATATCGATCAATTAGAAATCGAAAAAAAAAAAGGAAGAGTAAGAACTATTTCAAGCTTCTTCTCAGAAGCATCCATATTATTTTCTCAGGAAAAGGAATAGATAGACCCATGAGAAAACAAAGAGCTGCAAGATCTCCAAATTTATAAACGAAAAAGACCCTATCGATCCGTTCCTATAAACACCAAGGAGGAATCAACTCACGTTTTCTCTAATCCAAGAAAACAAACAGACCCATGAGAAAAATCCGAGTGACCCATAAAGCAAAAAAACTTCAAACCCTATAAAAAGATTCAAGAAACCCTCCATGGGAACTTCTTTCTATACAAACCCAACAACAACAACAACAACAAAAATGCAGGTGCGCGTACGAACAACATCACATTTAAAAATAAATAATTTTTATACAAAAAAAATCTAAAACGAAGAAGATGGAAGCAGGCTGCGATGGAACTTACTACGCTCCAGGAAAATTCTTCAAAAAAAAAACACCTTCTCTTTCTTTTGGCAGAAAAGAGCTCTTCGAAGAAAAGAAAAAAGAAAAGATGGGAGCTTGGGCAGATCGAGAGTAAATGTATAGTCAATTCGCTTTTATGCAAAGGCACTGTCTGTGGAAGTGAGCGGGATAAAGAAGGTTTAAAGATATTAATTAAATATAATTCATTTTAAAAATAGTAACTTTCTTATTCGAAAGAAATGTTTATTTTTATATATACTTCTAACGAAACTAGTTGACTGTTTGACCATGATATAAGGGAAAAGGAACAACTTACATAGTTTATTGGGAACAATTTTGATGAAGTATTTAGTGGGTTTTTTTTTCAAAGTGGTATGTGACTGAATTGAAAATAAAATTTTTTTTTTTCAAACTGGTATGTGATTGAATTGAACATAGAATTTTTTTTCAAAAAAGATTTTGGTAAATAATCATTCACATTTTTTCATCTTAATCACATTTGTTATTTTGGGTTCTGTGTCATTTTCACTTCTCTATCAACCACTTGTAAGTTGTAATCAATGAGGATTTTATGATGCAGATGTTGTTTTTTTTTGTTCGAATGTTATCTTATTTAGTATTTTTGTTCATTAAGTTAAATTAAAAATAAAACAATTAAAATATAGGAACGACAGATGAGTTACGTTTTCCAAGGACTGTATCATAATTTACCTATTTATTTACATCATTTAAATGCGCTGTTACTCATTTTTAAAATGCAGTGTTAACTTTAGACAGCGTGGCTATTCATCCAAAGGTAAATAAAAGTGAATGTTAGTAATCTTTTAAGTTGAATAAAATTTGATTAAATTGCAAACTGTGTTCAAATTTTATAGGTTTGAAGAAAGATTCCACCAGTTATATTATTTAATGGTAGAGTTTAAACTTTTGAAGTGTATACATATATAAAAAAATCACTAACTAGTTAAATAAAAACAAAGACCGAATGCACGTTTACCCCTGAATTAGTCTTCTTATTTTAACTCTTTTTTACGTTTCCATGATTCTTTCAATGTGTCTTGAAGCTTATTTGGACACCACATGCTAAAGATCCATCCATCCATCATTTCTAAATTATCCGCTTATAGAAGTTAATGAAGTTAATGAATCCGTTTTATTTCTATTGGATTTGTTCCGTTTTATAAGCGTACTTGGAGTCTTAGACTTTGTCATGTCTATGTATTCATTTGAAGATAACATTACGTGATGAAGAACTTCTAATTTATGGTTATCGTATTTTTAAAAACAGAAAAACTTTTAATATTGTCATGCTAAAACCTTATATATGATTTTCTCAACGGTTGCTTAAACCAAATCTGCATAAAATGGTTATTTAGGGGGAGATTTATCCATGATTAAACGTTCTATATACAAAAGATGTTTGCAATAACACGAATCATAAAACTTTGATAGATATCAAAGTCCTTGGACGCATAAGATAAGAACAAAAACCACACAATCATATAATATTATTTTGATGGTTAGATCCGCAGAAAATATACTTAGGGAGTGAATAATAAAAAGTATTGGAATCTGCATTTTTGTTATTATCCAAGACTTAATGCTCAGATGATTGATTTTCTCTTGGTATGCATTATTTTTAAAATGATGACTTATACATCTCTTTTATGAAAACTAATCATGCATCGTTAGATCTACCGTTTTTTGTAAATATGCACTTTCAATTAGGTATAGTATATATGTTTATCATTTGGGTTTTGAGAGATCTTCCTTAATCAATTTTAGCTGAATTATTGTTTAAAAAGCTATATCTAAACCCTAATAATCTACTGACTTGTACTAATGAATTAAAACTTTACATAACGCATCTTAAAAAAAATAAAGAAAAATAAGTTATAGATATATTTAGGATATTCTTTTGCTATTTTGTTTTCGACGAATTTGAATTCTTTTTTCTTAAGAATTTGGATTACGGGTATTTGAAAAAACTATCAGATCTAAAATGTAAACTGAGTCAAAATAAAGGTAAGATTTAAATTGTGTTTTTTTGAAAAGTAAGGTTCTGTGATCGATCTTTAACTGCAATCAAGTCAAATGATAATAAAGTAAAAAAATTCAAATGAAACTTTGATGTTAAGTGAATTTTTTCACTATTTCTTCAGTTATACTTTGATGTTAAATAGTGCAAACAAAAAGTAACTCAAAGAAGTATACACTTGAAATTACGCACAACACACGAGTAATTTTCAAAAGCTACAGCGAGGAGCTAGAACCAACAAGTTTTTCTTTACCAGTTACCACATCACATGGGAGTTATCAATCTTGGATTTCAAATTAAGAGAGATATAATTTTTTTTAATGTTTTTTTTAAAAGGCTAATGCGTTAAAGCTGTTAGTGTGAGAAGGACGTAACGAGAGGTCGTCGTGGACCTAAAATTAACTAACGTTTTACGGTTTTATCCAAAGACCAAAAAGTTAGATCTACGATTCAAACAGAAAAAGAAAGAGGGAATTCCAAACTCAGAAACAGAGATCTATAATCTTACAGACATTAATGTCATATGTTTGGTTGTTCCATTTTCCATTTTGTTTTTGAACCCCCAAGTTTCCCTCCATTCTCTCACCCATCTCACAGCATAATTAAATTCCAAATAATGTTCATGCAAGTTTTGGGTAATATGATCCAATCTACTCCTTTTTTAACAACAACAACACAAAATGGGGTCGGAGAATATATGCATATGCCTTTGTGTGAGTCTGGAAAAAGGGTTACGTGAAAGTGGATTGAAGGGCAAAAAGGGTTATGTGAACTATAAGGGTTTAATTATCAAATATGTGGAAACATCAAGGGCCTTTATGTGGTTTTAGGAAAATGACTCATACGGAAACGCGACGTGTGAGTCCTTTTCTCAGGCAGAACTTCTGGTTGATCACGCAAACATGTAGAAGTGGATTCAGTGTAACTGTGCGGATTGATATCAGCAGAATCCAATATTCAATATGGGATATTAAGGCTGGTTGATTTTTCTTTTGGGCGAGTCTGGGATAAAGAACGAAAACAGCCAAATTGGATCGAGTCGATGACAAAGGCGTTACTCTTTTTGTGTTTGTTTTAATACTGTAGATACATCTAGAGATCCATAAAGTTGATACCTTTTCTATAACCTTTTTTCTTTTTGTTTTATTTTGGAGTAAAAAAACTATTTTTTCCCCCTTTTTCATACACAAAAGACGAAAGTAAAATCCAGGGATTGGTGAAGAAGACGACGAAACCAAAGGCGTGCTTCACGCTCATACCTCTTTTAGGTTTTCGTCAACGATCCCCAGATTCCCTTTTGCTTTAGAATTATAACTCTGTTTTTTTTTTATATGTATATATATCAAACAATTCGACCCTAATTTCAAAATCTCTGAAAACTTGACCCATCAGGTCTCTCGATCAATTCCGTCTTCTTTGTTGGTTTGGAAAGAGGTATTCGAAATGGGTTCGCTCGGGATGCTTTCGAGGAGAACATTGGGCACGGATATGCCCGTCATGACTCAGGTTAACCTCCTCGTACTCCTCCGTTCGAATTGATTGTTTTTATTTTTATTTTTGGGGGTTGTGAGAAATTGTTGGATGGTGGGTTTTGCGTGCAGATCCGGAAATTAATGGCGGAATTGACTAACCCCATGTCTCTCGCTCAGGTCTGCCCTCTCTTTCTTTCTTTTGTATTTTGTTTGCCCCTAGAAGTGTGTGTATCAAAACCAAGCTTGTGCGTGTTTCTTTTGCTCACAAAAAGACTTTGGTTTTCGTGAGTGTTCAATTTAATTCAGTCCCTAATCATGCTTTGAGGATGGCCAGTTGTGCTGCTCCATGTTTGCTGCTTCATCGAAAGTATCACATAAACATGTTCATGTGATTGCAGGGAGTAGTGCATTGGCAGCCTCCTCAAAAGGCCTTAGATAAGGTCAAGGAGATTGTGTGGGATCCTACCACTAGTTCTTATGGACCCGATGAAGGTATTCCCGAGCTGAGAGAGGCTCTTCAGAAAAAGGTAATCAATCATACGAGGAAGAAAGATTTAGTTCTTTCTTTCCTTCTTGAATCCAATAAAGTGACCATCTTTTCATCTTTTCATTCTGAAGCTGCGTGAAGAAAACAAGCTATTTAAATCACACGTGATGGTTACTGCAGGTGCCAATCAGGTAAACCAAACAAAGTGCCTTGCAAGGTCTCTTCATTTTTGTTTCCTTCTAGTCTCATCCTCTGTTTCTGTATCAAATGCAGGCTTTTGTGAATCTTGTTCTTACACTATGTGATCATGGTGATTCGGTTGTCATGTTTGAGCCATACTACTTCAACGCCTACATGGCTTTTCAGATGACAGGAGTCACCAACATAATTGTTGGTCCTGGCCATCCTGAGACTCTCTATCCCGACGCAGGTACCTCCTTGACTTTGAATTGAATCACATTTACATGATTTACATAGATTTGAAGTTGTGACTCGTGAGTCTCTTTTCCCAGACTGGTTAGAGAGGACTCTCTCTGAGTCTAAACCGACCCCAAAAGTTGTAACTGTTGTGAATCCTGGTAACCCAAGCGGCACCTATGTCCCTGAACCTCTTCTCAAGAGGATTTCAGAGATATGCAAAGATGCAGGGTGTTGGCTGATTGTAGATAACACATACGAGTGAGTTTTCTCATTTGCAAAGTCACATGATGTCCGAATTGAATGTTTCTGGTCTTGTAAAATGGATTTGAATGAAAAACGCAGGTATTTCATGTATGATGGTTTAAAACATTCTTGCGTTGAGGGAGACCACATTGTTAACCTCTTCTCCTTCTCTAAAACCTACGGCATGATGGGTTGGAGGCTTGGATATGTGAGTGCTCGATCTTACTCTATTCCAAACATAGTTGATTTTGAATTATCTTTTTGGTAATGGAACGTTTTACGGAGCCGCAGATAGCTTACTCAGAGAGATTAGAAGGGTTTGCAACAGAGCTTGTGAAAATTCAAGACAACATCCCAATATGTGCGGCCATAATCTCTCAGCGCCTGGCTCTATACGCATTAGAGGAAGGTGCTGGGTGGGTTGTAGAACGTGTAAAGGGCCTGGTGAAGAACAGGGAGATTGTCAAAGAAGCCCTTGAGCCTCTGGGGAAGGAGAACGTTAAGGGAGGAGAAGGAGCGATTTACCTGTGGGCAAAACTACCGGAGGAACACAGAGATGATTTCAGGGTGGTGCGGTGGCTGGCTCACCGTCACGGTGTGGTGGTGATCCCGGGGTGTGCAAGTGGTAGCCCCGGCCATGTCCGGGTTTCCTTTGGTGGGTTGCAGGAGGAAGAGATGAGAGCCGCCGCAGAGAGGCTGAGGAAAGGATTAGAGGAGCTCGTTCACCGTGGAATGGTGGAGTGAAATCTTGTAAAACAAAAGAGAATCAAAGCATTGTTACTTGAACTTAGAGCTTCTAAAAATAAAAAAGAGTGTTTGTTTATTCAATACTAGATGATTCTTCTCTACAAAAGTACACAAAGTCAAATTGTATTGGGAAACTAATAATGGTGTTATGATCTGACCTATTCCTTTAGGTGTATCTGTATATACTCATTTTATTAACGCACCATTACCTTCTTGATTTGTAACCAAATCCAAAAGTAAATATTTTGGATTAGCTTTATTCGTTTTAAATCTTGGTTAGAATTCAAATGAAAAATTCGAGCATCAGAGGTGATAAATTTTGATAAACGTTAGAAGAAGAAGCTCAAGCCAGACGTTAATATTTTTTTTTTTTACTTTTTTGTTATAACCTTTATTTTGAAAATTGAATTCCTCGAACGTTAATCGATGATTTAGCTTTATTGGATTTAAAGGGGGCCGTAAATGGGCCCGGATCTAAATTTTGAATTGAACCGAACCCGAATAAAGAGAGACTGGATCACTTCGTTTCTACTACCATTTCAGGACGTGTCTTCCATCTTCTCTACTTTGTCGTCTTCCATCGCTCCAACTTCGCCGACGAGTCACATCTCGGAAATCAGAAGGAGGTAAAATTTGGGTGGGAGGTGCCCGAGATCGATTCTCTTGCTTCGGAACCCTAGATTTTGTATTGAAATCGGTTATTGTAGTAGAAAATAAAGGGGAGAGGAAGAAATGGTGGGTAGTAGTAATTCGTTGGCGGGTCTACAAGATCACTTGAAATTAGCGAGAGAATACGCACTAGAAGGATCGTATGACACTTCTGTCATCTTTTTCGATGGCGCCATTGCTCAGATCAACAAGTAAGTAGCTCCCCTTTTTTGAGTCTTGAATCTAGATTTCTCATCAATTGGCAAGCCCTAGCTAGCTAGTTTTCGACTTTTACTGCAATGGCCTTAGTTCCCACTACTTTCCTAGAAAGCTGTAGTTTTGCAATGTTTCTCGATTTGCTCATCCTTTAGAAACTGGTAATGAGCCATGTAGAGAAAGAAGCAGTCTTATGTGCAGGCAGCTCCGTTTATATCTGCAATAGCGATTCTGAAGCGGGTGCTAAACTGTCTTTTAGGCATTTGAACACCCTTGATGAGCCTTTGACGCGGACGAAATGGATGAACGTTAAAAAGGCCATAATGGAAGAGACGGAAGTTGTAAAGCAGTTGGATGCAGAGAGGAGAGCATTTAAAGAAGCTCCCACTGGGCGTCGTGCTGCTTCTCCGCCTATCAATACCAAATCATCCTTTGTCTTTCAGCCGTTGGATGAGTATCCAACTTCCTCCGGAGCTCCAATGGATGACCCTGATGTGTGGAGGCCTCCTACCCGTGATGTTACTAGTAGAAGACCCGCCAGGGCCGCTCAAAGTGGTATGAGAAAATCACCTCAAGATGGGGCTTGGGCTCGTGGCCCAACGACACGAACAGCTCCATCTTCCCGAGGTGGACGAGGTGGTGGCGCTACTGGCAAATCTACTGCAGGCGCCCGCTCTTCCACTTCCGGAAAGAAAGGAGCCACCTCTAAATCTACCAAGGCAGAGTCTACCGTAAGTTTTATATTCCTGCCTTTTGGTCTATGCCAGGTTTTTTTTTATGCATTGGTAGGACTATGTATTAAAAGATCATGAATTCTGTTGCTTCAATCCAGTTTAGAGACCTTAGATTGGTAATCTATTTTCTTATGCTGATGTTGAGTCAGTAGTTTCCACCACGTACTGCTAACAACTAATAAATCTTGTGGCTTCTGCATTGATATCAGAATGGCGATGCTGAAGACGGGAAGTCTAAAAGGGGATTGTATGAGGGACCTGACGAGGACCTGGCTGCTATGCTTGAAAGGGATGTGTTGGACTCAACTCCTGGTGTACGTTGGGATGATGTTGCAGGTTTGTCTGAAGCCAAAAGGCTGCTTGAGGAGGCAGTTGTGCTTCCTTTATGGATGCCTGAGTACTTTCAGGTACTTTGATTTTTGTTCCTTATGCTGCGAAATATGGATTTGTATATTACTATTTTTTAGACTCTGGAGCAACCATATAAGAAAGTGTCTGTTCATCTATTTTGTACTCTTTAATATTTATCTTCCAGTTGTGGAGGATGCTTAAATCGATTGTTTTTGTTTCCCTTCAGGGAATTCGGAGACCATGGAAAGGAGTTCTTATGTTTGGTCCTCCTGGGACAGGTAAAACTCTGCTGGCGAAAGCGGTTGCAACCGAGTGTGGTACCACCTTCTTCAACGTCTCTTCTGCTACATTAGCTTCAAAGTGGCGTGGAGAGAGTGAGCGGATGGTCAGATGCCTGTTTGATCTGGCTAGGGCATATGCTCCCAGCACAATTTTTATTGACGAGATCGACTCTCTTTGCAATTCTCGCGGGTAATTTAGTTCACGACACTGAGATTTCAATACCGAATTGAATGTATGTGTAACTGGTGAAAGTGTGTGATGCAGGGGTTCTGGAGAGCATGAATCATCAAGAAGGGTGAAATCAGAACTCCTAGTTCAAGTGGATGGAGTGAGCAATACAGCGACAAATGAAGACGGTAGTCGCAAAATAGTAATGGTATTAGCAGCTACCAACTTCCCATGGGACATAGATGAAGCTCTCAGGTTTCATATTCATTCTTCTTCTGTTATATGTTTTTTTTTTCTTCTTTTTTCCGGTTTAAAACGTAATGAAACCACTGCTGACTCTTGAGCTCATAATACTATGCAGGAGGAGGCTGGAAAAACGTATATACATTCCACTTCCGGATTTCGAGAGTCGCAAGGCTCTTATTAATATCAATCTGAGAACAGTTGAGGTTAGTGTGATGACTACTACAATGTTATAATAATCGCAAATCTCTCTGGTTTTATGCAGTGTAGCAATGGATAGGTTTGTGCGTGTGTTCACTGTTCAGGTGGCGAGTGATGTTAACATTGAAGATGTGGCTCGGAGAACGGAAGGGTACAGTGGAGACGATCTGACGAACGTGTGCAGGGACGCGTCAATGAACGGGATGAGGCGTAAGATAGCGGGTAAAACGAGGGATGAGATAAAGAACATGTCAAAGGACGATATCTCAAACGATCCTGTGGCCATGTGTGATTTCGAAGAGGCCATTAAGAAAGTGCAACCAAGTGTGTCTTCCTCGGATATCGAGAAACACGAGAAGTGGTTCTCTGAGTTTGGATCCGCTTAAACCCACTTTTCATTAGTCTCAGAAGATGTGTGCTTGTTTATAACTTTATATATCGTTATTATTTGCCATTTATTTTAATCAGATACTGTATTCTTCTTATGTTTCTAAATTCCAACTAAAAGTAAAAAGAGATTGTTGTATGATATTGTTCTTTTTTCCGATTTTTTGGGTTCAGAGTTCAGACTTAAAGGCAGTGGAGAAGAGAGAAAGATTGTATGATATTGATTTTATCGTTGACAAAAAGATAATATTATTTGTTGCAGATGAATAATATGTAAAGAGACAAGACTGCACCGTTTATCATCAAACCAGTTTCTCGAGTGTTCCTCCTCTCCATATCATTGTGCGGCCTCCTCGCTCTCGCTGCTCTGCTCATATTTCGTTTACGTGATTATATCATCCGCAAAGTATATAATAAATATAAAATTATATCATCTCACGATCATCTATGTTGTTTTTAATTAAGTTGTCAAGGTGGATTATTATCTCTATATATATATAAAGACTACGTATAAAGTTATCACATGACATATTTTACAGTAAAAACTCTATAAATTAATTTTTATTAATTTATAGAGTTATTAATTTATAGATTTTAACAAAAAAATATTTTTTACTTTTTATTTATTTTAAAAGAATTTTTTTTAAAAAAGATTATATACTTTAAAACATTCTTTCTAAACTTAAAGATGAATTTAAAAAAAAATTAATTTAAAATAACTAAATTTTTTATTAAATTCATATTTTAATAAATTATCTTACTTATATATTTATATTAAATTTTATTTATAATAATTATTTATTTATGATATTAATAAAACCATATATTTACATAAAAAAAAATTTTTATTTTATCGAATTATATTATGAACCAGTTTAACTCGGAATCATAAAAAATTAATCAGGCCACGATCAGGAACTTGGTCACGTGGGCGACAATCAATCAGCAACTACCTTCTCACGAGCAACTATTTTCTTTAAGTAAGGAAGACAAGATCCATCTGAATATGTGGATGAAATCAAGAAATGACTACCGGTAGACTGCTAACTTATATATATAATTGTGTCGATTGGTTTCTATGCATGCAATTTGTGTCGGTTTCATGTGTCTTTTGTTTTGGAGACTTACATTTTTTTTTGCTCAACAATCAATATATCATTACCACAAACTTAATACAAATATATAAAGTCAATCCAACACATTTTGATCTTCCTCCACAAACGAAATGATCTAATTAGACAATACATAATACAACTTAAGGACATTGAAACTTATTCAAGAAAGAAAAAGTCTCCTGAGCTATTCTGTCAGAAAAAAATGTAATTAGACTTTTAAGATTGAAAAGGAATTCTTTCCCAGTGACATCTACTCCATATTAAAACAAAACAAATATCTAATCCATATGAGCATAAACAATCGACTTTAATAATTTTTTCATTATCTTGATTTTTTTTGTATTGCTCGCGCGGACGTTTCAAATCTTAATAATCAGATTTATCCATTGACTTATTAGTGGATGAAGTCCGACATATATTTTTAAAAAATAATAAAACCCTAATAAGTCGAAAGGATATGAAAGATAGGCGTTATTTCAACGTGGACCATTATCAACCATGTCAAAAACGCATTTCAACTCCTGGCTGTGTTGTTATTAATCTCATATGTGTTCGATATTGGAATTGACACAAGAGAAAGAAAAAAAACGCATAAAGTTATACGATTCCGATTGTCAATGCATGTATCATATATATTCAGATGTAATATGTATAGGATATGAATATAAATACAAAATAAAATTATAGTTATGTTGTTCCTGAGTTGTCAAAAAAACAAAAGTTATGGTATACGTGAATCGTGACAATCTAGAAATAGATGTGGAAAGCATGATCATGTGAGGAACACGTGCACATGAATTGCAAGTGATGATGGGCATGTCCATGTGTGTGTGTTTTTTTTTTCCTAATGAACTTTTTCTGATGTTATTCCTTACATTTTATAAATTGATTTTGTTGTTGTTTTGTACAAAGTTTTAGTTTGTGTTCTTGCATATCCATTATTAGTTAGATTATAAATTTATAAGAGAAATATTTAATTTCTGATGTAATTAAAACAACTACAGTTAAATTACATGTTTTATTAAAAAAAATCTTATATATAATGAAACATGATGGAGTACTTGCGAATAATTAAGGGGCCACGAGAATCAAGATTTCAAAATCTCTTTCGAATTTTTTCGTGTTTCTTCTTAATATACTAGTGAGAGCCAAGTGGGACGTAAAATTAAAATTAAAATGATATTATTGCTGATTCTGACTTTTTTTTTTTGTAAACGAGGATATCTGTTTTACCAACTTTTGATTAAAAATCCGAAGTGGAAATTGTAGAGAAAGGGCCTCGATCTATGACGTATCCTTGATGTCAGACAATTCCTCTTTAGTTTCTGGTAGTATGCGAAAAATGCCCTTTAGTTGTGACGAGTTCTTCGTTTATAGTTATGTTGTGTTTAAAGGCTAAATGGGACATTATTAATCCCTTTTCGATTTAGATAATAAAGGGAAGCATTCTTTTCTGTAAACATAAAGTTGGTTTGACGACTAATTGTTTTGAGTTGCGAATATGCGATTAAGAACGTGCTTTAGCAAATATTAGGGTTTATAGAAAATTAGGATACAGAGTTAACGTAATATATAAACTTTGGGTTAATATTTCTATTTAAGCTTGACAGTATATATATAGATCTGACTTTTTTTTTTTGAAGTCTAATTAATATTCAGAAACAAAAAAAAACCTTTAAACCTTTCTTAAATTTCATCTTTAGTGGCTATTAAATTTCCTTGTTTAAACTTTTTATATAAGTACTACATAGCCACATAGGTTTCAAACTTTCAGTAAAAACTAAATGAAGAGGAAAAAATGTAGGCTCGCTAGATTTAATTTTTGTTTTCTTGTAAAACTACAACGAATTAGTCTTTTAAAGTTATCTATAGCAAAAATTACTAAAACTGTATAATTAATTAATACTTCTATAGTTTGGGATCTGAATTACAAAAAGTGAATTATTAATTACAGATGAATGGAAATATGTTTATAACAATCCATTTGGCGTGGTTTAGCATCGTGCATGCAGAATCGTTCATTATATATAGTCTCCTGTGTGACTGGTAAAGTATTTCATCGCAAGAACGATGTATGTTGAATCGTTCTATATATTGTAGATTTTTGTGATGCAACTAAAAACTATAGATGTAGAGTTGTTCATTGTATTTTCAAGTGTTGAATGAGATTAGATTGAACTGTAGTGAATAAAAGCTTATATAATTGTATTAGTTTTAAAAATCAAGATTTTTTTAACAGTGTAAGGAACGTTAACAGAAGAAATGATCGTGATAGTAGGCATATTGTGATGGGTTAAAACTGTATGATGTTAAATTGCTAATCTTACTATTACTGTTGTTGTTGTTGAAGATTTTTTTTTTTTTTCCTTTTTAATTTCATGGGCTCATGGCAAGTCGAAGCTGAAGAAGGAAACTAATAAGTGACACTCAAAATCGCTAAAGTAGTTGAAAACAAAATTATTAATAGATATTGATAAACCAATAAGAAAGGAGCAAAAGAAGCTTTTCAAAATTCTCTCAGTCACTCCACACACTTACTACTATTCAGTCTTCGCTACTATAAATACACTCCGACTCCTACTCCTCTTCCCCACCAAACATAATATATCATACCAAAAAGGAAATAGCTAAAAAAAGATATTAACATTCTAAAAAGATATTACCGTATGATGATGAACTCATCAACGACCTTAAGCGATGTGTTTAGATCGCATCCTATTCGCATCCCACTCTCAAACTTAGCCGACTTCCGTCACCTCCCGGATTCTTACACGTGGACCCCCGAAGACGATCTCCTCTTCTCCGCATCCGACTCCGACGAATCTTTACCGTTCATCGACCTCGCCGATCCCCACGTGGCCGCTCGTGTGGGCCATGCTTGTACCGCTTGGGGGGCATTCCGGATCACTAACCACGGCGTGCCCTCACGACTTCTCGACGACATTGAGTTCCTCACAGGAAGTCTTTTTCGGCTTCCCGTCCATCGTAAGCTCAAGGCGGCTCGGTCGGAGAATGGCATCTCCGGCTACGGCGTTGCTCGTATTGCTTCCTTCTTTAACAAGCAAATGTGGTCCGAAGGTTTTACAGTAATTGGCTCCCCTCTTGACGATTTCCATAAACTCTGGCCCATGCATCACCTCAAATACTGGTATATATATATACACTTATTATATCTTTGATTATAATATTCCGCTTTCTTATAATTGTAGATCGAACAATAACATAACATATATATCTACTTAACATATCTACATATTCATATGTGCTTTTTTTTTCTTCTTCTAAATGAAATAATAAGTATAGTATAGAGTAACTATAGACTCGATCAAAATTAAGATCTGTGGACGTTAGCACATGACTTTACAGTTGACTATTCGATTTTTGTTTTAATGGATTCGGCTAGGAATAGTCCCAAAAAAAAGGAAAAGTGTATATATTGCCATGTCGACGTTTAGATAGTAAAAACTAAAAAGCACACTGAAAGCTGATAGACCCACCAAAAGATTATATCTGTCTCAAATATGAGAGAATATATTATGTCATTTATGGTAGGAAAACAATATGATAACCAACAGGCAACAGCATGTATTATTATTACTATTTATATGACGATTTAATTTGTATACATTTCAAGATTTCATTAATTATTTTGACATCGATTCAACAGTGAAATAATCACAGAGTATGAAGAACATATGCAAAAGTTGGCAGCAAGGCTCATGTGGTTGGCACTAGGTTCACTGGGAGTCGACGAAAAAGACATTAACTGGGCCGGGCTAAGTTCAGACTTCCAAGGAGCCCAAGCAGCTATCCAACTAAACCATTATCCTATATGCCCAGAGCCAGACCGAGCCATGGGCCTGGCGGCACATACCGACTCAACTCTCATGACCATACTGTACCAGAACAACACCATCGGTCTCCAGGTTTTCCGGGATGACGTAGGCTGGGTCACCGTGCCACCTGTCCCTGGCTCACTTGTGGTCAACGTTGGCGACTTGCTCCACATTTTGACCAACGGTATCTTCCCGAGCGTGCTTCACCGAGCCAGGGTCAACCACGTCCGATCTCGCTTCTCCATTGCTTACCTGTGGGGTCCTCCCTCCGATCTAATGATCTCTCCACTTCCGAAACTCGTTAATCCTCTCCACTCTCCCCTTTACCCATCTCTCACTTGGAAACAGTACCTTGCAACCAAAGCTACTCATTTTAACCAGTCTCTTTCCTTTATCAGAAACTATCATCTGTCTTCAGACCAAATCTCTTGACGTTTACCTTTTTTTTTATCTTTCTTTTTCTTTTTGGTACATGTTTATCTGTGTAATATGAGTGGTTCCTCGTTTTAACAACACGAGTCACTTTATCTAGATAGGATACATGAAAGGTATACTTCTTTAATTTCTTTTTTTTTTTTTTCCAAATTTTCTAAAAATATGAAATCTTGCTAAACTTTGATGTTTAAGATTAACTATTAGCAACTTATATTGTAATCTCTCTACAGGAATCAAAAATCTGAGGTCATTAAAAGCTCTCTGACTATAAAGTAATAATGACAAAAAACAATTGTAACTCATACCATGCATGAACACACTTGTTTTAATTGTATCATTAATACGTGAATCCAATCAAATTGCTATTTTTCATTGAACAATGGCATTTGTACCAATCGTAGATAATGAATATATAGAAACCAATATTTGCTAATTTAACCACGCACTATAAGCTATAATGTTAATACGTGGATCCAATCAAATTGCTTAGGTTTGATTGGAAAGTGGAATTTTACCAACTATAGCTGAACTTGATAATTATTTCCAAAAACTATGAATTTACGTGGATATATCTCAACCACTGTATGTATTTTGCCAATAAAACCACTTCGGTTTATGTATAGCTAGCTCCAGAAAAGGACAAGAGTTACAAAAAAAAGATGTTTTTATCCTCATCATATCTGCATGTAATAATCTTGTTGTGATCTACATATATTCATAACATATGTGTGCATAGTGTATATATATATATATATATCCTAGTAATTGTATATATCATGACTCGTAAGCATTCCCACTATTTCACAAGCCATGCCTTCGATAACAGAAGAGGTATCTATCGGAGACTTAGGCAGTCTCCAAACACTTCCGGAATCATTCACCTGGAAACTCACCGGAGCTGACTCCGTTCTCTCTCCCTCCTCTGAAACAGTGGAAGAGTCCATTCCGCTCATCGACCTCTCCGATCCTGACGTTACCACTCTGTTAGGAAATGCGTGCAAGACATGGGGAGCGTTTCAGATAGCTAACCATGGCATTTCTCAGAAGCTCCTTGACGATATCGAGTCTCTCTCCAAAACCTTTTTCGATATGCCGTCAGAGAAGAAGCTCGAGGCGGCTTCCTCCGATAAAGGAGTTAGTGGCTACGGGGAACCTCGAATCTCTCTTTTCTTCAAGAAGAAAATGTGGTCCGAAGGATTCACTATCGCCGATGGCTCCTACCGCAACCATTTCCTTTCTCTTTGGCCGCACGATTTCACCAAATACTGGTATCGTCTGTTACACTAGCACGCACACTATATAAAAAAATATCAAATTTATTGCTTTACAAGTGGAAAAATGATGGAAAAGGAAGCTAACACCTTGTTTTTTCTTAAAAAAAAATGGAAAAACAGAGCCTTTTGGCCAAAACTAACGAAAACAGAACTTCTATTACTGTTTATGAGATTCCACATGCAATATAAGCTTGAAATTTTCTTTGCAAATTGTAGAAAGAGTTCTATATTTATTATGGAGTAATCCAGAGCACACGTATTATGTATACGCGTATACGGTTAGGTCTATACTCTATATGAAATGTTAGAATTTGGCTTTGTTTCACTTTTACTCCACGGTGATTATAGGGGTCTTAATATATATTACCTGAACATTAAGGCCTTTCTGTAATTATTTGTTGTTGCTTTTCCTTTTCGGTGCTGTGCAGCGGAATAATCGAAGAATACGAGGGCGAAATGGAAAAGTTAGCGAGCAGACTTCTGTGTTGCATATTGGGCTCACTTGGTGTCACCGTGGACGACATTGAATGGGCTTACAAGGCCAAGAACTCTGGATCAAAAGTGGGTCGACGTGCCATACGACTAAACCATTACCCGGTTTGTCCAGAACCAGAAAGAGCCATAGGTCTAGCCGCTCATACCGACTCCACTATCCTAACCATTCTGCACCAGAGCAACATGGGAGGGCTACAAGTGTTTAGAGAAGAGTGCGGTTGGGTTACAGTAGAGCCGGTTCCCGGTGCTCTCGTGGTCAACATTGGTGACCTCTTTCACATTTTATCGAACGGGAAAATCCCGAGTGTGATTCACCGAGCGAGAGTTAACCATAACCGGTCAAGAATTTCGATAGCGTATCTGTGGGGTGGTCCAGCTGGTGATGTGGAGATAAGACCTATATCCAAGATAGTTGGTCCGGTTGGACCGTCTCTATACCGGCCAATTACTTGGAATGAATATCTCCGAATCAAATATCAGGTTTTCGACAAGGCATTGGACGCAATTAGGGTCGTTAATCCCACCAATTGAATCTCGTTTTCCAAATTTCCTTGAATAAAATAAAGTTGTCTCCCGATCATATAAAAAAAAACAAAGAGTTGTGTTATTAAGCGAATTTTCATTTTCAAAGAGTCATTTTGATATGATCTCAACACTATAGATAATATAATTGTGGAGACATTGCTGATCGCTTCAGCGATCAGTTCAGGGATTGAGCGACGCCGCAGAAGATGTGAAGAAGATCTTCGCTGGATTTCTTCAAGGAATTGAGGTAAGACTCGTAGAAGCGTAAGAGGCCGTCGTGCTCGAAAGGATTGTAGCGGAGGGGATGTTGGGCATCGACGAGCTCCTCCGGCGTACGGATCGTCCCTTTGTTGAAGGAGAAAAACCCTAAAGAGTATCGAATCTCCTCTGCGCTCATCACTACCCTGTGGTAACACGGCTTTATCCTATCGTTACTCCACGCCTTCATCACAAAAAATATATCAATTGCTTAAGGTTATATACAGTATATCGAGTCCTTAGACTATATATTGTGAAATTGGAATCGTATAATAGCTGGATTTGGACTCACCGTGAGACCCATGCCGGAGAGAACGACGAATCTTGTCGGCGACGGGTTAAACCCGACCCACTGATCAGTCATGGTTTTCAGCTGAAGACCTCCGACGTGGTTCTGGTGGAGGATACTCATGAAGCTCTTATCAGTATGCGACACAAATCCCGTGTTTGCTTCACCGTTTCGCTGTCTCCGGTAACTCAGCAGCCTCAAAAGGTATCGACTTGACTCGGAGTGAATCGCCGAGTGCTTCTTCTCGTCCATGCCATAGCTCTCGTACAACATCCTCATCACCGTCTGGTCTAGCCCCGCTAGTGCCGTTGCGTACATATGTGTGCTTTGACTGCAAAAATCATAACTTTTGATCTGACATGTATGATCCATATGGTTTGGAATGAAAAAGTTGTGATTTTTTACCAGAAGGGATCGTTTCCTTGTGGCCAGAGTAGTTTAGAGAAATCTTTGCAAGCTTGGTGCTCGGTTGCGTAATCGATCCCCAAACTTTCGTGGATCTGGTAATCGTCAACCACCATAGACATGTAGCCATGGGAGGCCTTGTGGTTCTCGTTCTTGATCTTGACCTCGTACGGCAGATCATACATCTCCTTCATGCCGGCGAGCAAGTCCTCCCTGAGCTCTGATGAGACGCCATTGAACTCTGCCACAAACCAACCCTGCTCCTCCATGGCTTTTCGAACCTTGTATCTGGTCGCAATCCAGTGACTCGTGCCTGGCATTAGTTTATTGCGCGAGAAGTCGAGGATTGGTATGCTTTGCTCTTCGTGTGAGTCCATTGGAGTGGATATATTGCCTAAAGGTTCGTTGGTGATACATTTAGAGATAACACCATCGCTCTCTATTTATAAAAATAGGTCACCACAGTGTATAATTATTTCATACGATCCTTTATAGAAGGGACGATAGTTCAGAGAGATCCGGTTTTGGCTCTTTTATGCGTCATCGTTATGATTTTGTTGCTTTCTATAAATTAAAGGCCCTCTAGCTACAGTAGTATACACATTATTATAATTATGAAGCACACAAAGTCTGGTTAGTGGTTTCGCATCTTTATCCAACCGGAACAATACTCCTTGAAAATAAGTCTAACCCGATTGGTATGTAACACAAGCCCGAGCCAGGAACTGAGACAAATAATCGGTTCACGACCATTTCTGGAAATCGGGTTTGGTTAAGGCTTCGGCCACAAGTACCACATCACCAAGCAATTTTGGTAAATCGAAAATCAGAGATAGGAGTACATAACTTAGACCACACGAGGAGCAGCTTCGGAATCGACCTGCGATCCATCACTGGACGGGGGAAACAGAGTAACCGAAGAACAGTCTAAGGTTCGTAGCTTCAGTAACAAGTAAAGAGCAACTCCACACCCAAACCCTAGAGCGGCGCTCGAGCCAGTCATTGACACTGCGGCGCAGACCAGCATGATGAAGGACTCTTCTTTTGTGTTCATGTCTTTCGAAGCCATTGCTAATTCGATCCCCGCGAATAGCAAGAGCACCCCAAGTATTCCAATCGGAAACTGGCCAAGAATCCTTACGAACGAGTTTCCAAATACCAGACCAACAATCAGCTTACCGACCCCGAGAAACATAACCGAAAAACCACTCCTTGCACCAAACCGGTACTGCCCGGCTAACCCGCCAGCACCGTGACAAACCGGCATTGCGCCGAACCAGCACCCGATTAAGTTCATCACCCCAACGCTAACAGAGACTGTAGTCGCCGAGAGCTCCTTGTCGAACAAGTCAATGGATAATTTGCAGACGGCGATCACTGAGTTTAACACAGACAGTGGAATCTGAGGAATCGCCGCCCTTACAAACCCGATTTTCCAGTCATCCCAAGTGATATTGAGAATCTTGAACTTAGATGGACCAAATTTAAGGTCCTTGAGAATCGACGGATCGCGTATGAAACAGAGCACTAACCCGATCACGAACACGATTAGCGCAGATGGGATCGAAGAAAGAAGACGCAGCCTCCTCCGGCGAGACCGGCTTTCGTCGCCGTTGGAACTATCGGAAAATTCTCCGTGATCGGTATCCCTGTCGTTGCCGGAGCCGGTGGACAAAATGATGAAGAGCAGAGCAGAAAGAGCCAAGATAAGGCCATCGAGGCCGAGCCAGGAACGGGGAGAAGAAGAGGGCTTGAGAGTGGCAGTGTCGTAATTAAAGCGGACGTATTTGATGGCGGTGAAGGCGAACTGGAGGCCCTGAGAAAGCTGGACGCCTCGGACGACAGGGAGAGGGATGAGGTTGTAGAGGAAAGACATGGCACCGGTGGCGCCGAGGAGGAGGAGAGTGGCGGCAGTGGAAGCTCCGGCGGCGGCGATCTGGGAAGGAGTGAGATGTGGGGACTCGGAGACAGCGACGGCTGCGATGGATTTCATGGGCTGGACGGGCATAGGGATGTCGAAGAGGAGGCCTGTGGCGATGTTGTAGAATCCAGTGAAGATGAGAGTGGCCGAGAGATCGAGATTGGAGACTAGAGTCAGGGTCAGGACGATGGGGATAAAGGTGCCCAGATCACCGACGGCTCCGGAGAGTTCAGAAGAAAGAGGGTTTTTGAGGCGGAGACGACGCCGGAGCCACCCGCATCGGTCGCGATGATCACCCGTCAACAGAGGAGTACTGGTCGTTGTCTCCATGATTGGTTCGATTCTATCTATGTGTTGACAAATTGTTTATTTTTACATATAAAATGATGATGATTTACAATTTCAAGAGAGAAAATAAAGTAGTCCCCGGAGAAGTTGGATTAAAAAAGACGGCTTTTCAGACAGTCGACGAGTCGGTGGTGTTGTTTGTTTCTAACGACGACGTGCGACTTTTATAACCATAAAAATATGATTTGCATCTTTAGTCCCTCTAGAATAAAAATATGATTTGCATCTTTAAGTTTTTGTTGTAGTAATGAACAATATGTTGATCAGAATCGATGGCTTTCTCTCACTATGCCCACAAAATCTCAGTCAGTCTCATCCATGGAACTGTAATATCTTGAATAAGAACATACCCAACTTCACGCTTTCTTACTATACACAAGACAAGACAAGTTTATCAAGGAAGAAACTTAGAACGTAAAACCAAATTGAACTGAAAATAATGTTCAAAAAGCTACAGACTAAAGAGTGGTGGTGCTAAACAGCCAATGTTTTGAGAGATTTTTGTCTTTCTCACTCTCAAAATCTTATTTTTGATTTCTTCCTCCTTTGCATTGCCCCCTGAAACCCAAAATATCCAAAAACAATTTCCTATATGTTGGTGGGAGAAGATTTCTCCGGCGAACTGCTAGAAGATTCTCCAATGGAACCGTTGCCGCCTTCGTCTTGAGACACAACAGGAATCTTGACAGCTGTAGCTCTCTCCAATTCCTTCTCGAGCTCTTCTTCAGACCGCAAGGCGTTGAACTGTCCCTCCAGCGACTTAGCTGCAGCTAACCACGCAGTGACAATGACCAACAAGATAATCCCTAAATACGGCGTCGAATTCGCAAGTGATCCAAAGGATAAGATCATGAACTGCTGTATCAGAGCTCCGCCTGATTTCCCCAGCGGGTTGCAAACCACATCAATTGCAGCTTTGCCTTTAACCTGTGTCAACATCACAATCGCACAAAAAAACCAAGCTATAAAGCACCAAACTTTCATGCCATATAGCAGAATTCTTTTAGATAGAGAGAATCAAATCATAGTAGCAAACCTTGGTGTCCTCATCCAAGGGAATATAGGCCATTTCCTTGCAAGGATCGAACAAGCTGTACTTGGCGCTCTTGCTGAAGATATTCTGGAGGGCGCCGACATAGACAGCTGCGAGTAGCGGCGTCATACCAAGCTTGGCAACAAGTGGTGCGAATGGGCCGCCAAACAATATCAGAGAGAAGAACGCAACACCGGTCAATAGCAGAACAGTTGGGGTGATCTTTGCAGCTACTCCCCATCCATACTTATCGAATACGTATTGACTGAGAAGCATCATTGTGAATGTTGCAATACCCGTGCAGGTTGAGAAGTCTCCCATAAATGCCGAGTACTCGTTCGGACTAGGGAACTGCAGCCAACAGGAAGGAAATTAGAAAAGCTAAAAAGAAATGTAAGCATTAGAGGGTGAAATGGACGAGGAGCTGTATGTACCTGAGCTTTAAGCTTTGATTTCCATGTGACTTCTACAAGGTTGATACTTATACCATATGCGACCACTAAAGTAGCAAGATCCCTAATGTATGGTGATGACACCAAGAATTTCAAGCTCTCCATTGTTCCCATCTTCGGTTTGCTCTGTAAAAAAAAAAGTTACAAAGAGAAAACATATATCAGAAGAGTCCTCATAGGCTGCAAAAAACAGACCAAGAACTTCTGCAGACCATTACCTTCTTCTTCTGGCTACGGGTAGGAAGAGGAACGTATCTATTGACCCACCAATAGAGGAAACAGATGGCAAGTCCCATTCCCACCACTATGCTCATCATGGCTTTCAATGAAACTGCCCAACCGTCAACTCCAGGACCAAGATTCTTTCTCAAGTTAGAGAAGTATTTCACGGTTCTTCCTGAGAAAATCAGCGCAACATTGGCTCCAAGTCCAAACAAAGGATAGAATTTCTTGGCTTCATCAACGGTTGTGATCTGCAAAGAGATTGAAGCAATGCTATATGAAACTCACAAGACACTGACTTGTAATGCATATGTGCTGCATGATTACACACCAACAAACTCGGCCGCAATCAAAGACTATTACGACAATCAAACATATGATCAAACGATAAACACACCAGCCTGTTACTAAGAAATGAACCGGAGAAGCACGACAAACATCCATCGTCAACGCCAAGAAGATCACAAAACTTCAATTCTATAGAGCAGTTCAATCACCTGATTAGCAAATCCCCAGAAGAGAACTGAAATCACCACACTACCCCAGAGCTCAGCCATGACATAAAACAAACAGAAGCTCCAAATCCGCAAGATTGCAAGAGGACCCATGAATCTTGGGCCGAGGGTTGCAAGGAGCTTATCTGCGAGAGCTTCCGGGTGAATATAGTTGCTGAGAGGATACATCACGAAACCGAAGGCCCCAAAGTAGACGATGAATGGGACGATAACGGTGTAAAATAGAGCCTTTTTGGAGAGAACATTGGAGAGTTTGGTGTAGAGGAGCATGAACCCAATGGCCATGGGAAGATTGACCCATGTCTTCAAGAAAGGTATAATCTCAGCAGAACTTCCTTTCGCCGTCACCACCAAGACGTCCTTTGTGTCCCTTAGGATTGTGTAATTGAAAAGAATGCAAAAGAACATCAAACCCAAAGGGATAATCTTTTTCAAGGTTGTAACCTCCACACCGAAAATCTTGGGCGACGCAACAACTGCTGCCGAGTCGCCTTCGTCGAACACAGCTCCGTCGCCGGCGGCCGCTGCCTCCGCTTTGCATATGAACTCGGTGCTTCTCTCCTTGTGCGAAATAGAAATCCCGTGTAGGATCGGCTCAAAGGCTTGAAATTTCTTGTGCCCTTTAAAGGATAGAGACAGCCCAGGTAGATTTCTCGGCTTGGCGGCGAAAAGTCTCTGCTTTAAGCCGTGGGATGGCTGAAGAAAGCTTCTTGCTCCGATGGGTTTGGCGGGTAAGGAAAGAATTCCTCTGGTTTGTACCGCAGCTTCCATCTCTCTATCTCTTTCTCTCCAGCAAGTACACAGAAATACCGGAGAGAAATGGAGGAGGAGGATATGAGATAGAGAGATGATGAAAGGTGACTGGGTAGTGCGAAGAAAGAATATAGTTTTTGCCAATGAGATATTAACAAATGTGGTAAACTATATATATATATATATATATATCGGGAAAGGATGGATTTTTGCACCTGTAAATGTAATAAATAAAAAGAGAGGAGAAATTGCTCCCTAAAGCTCACTGTCTTAATGCTCGATAAGCTAATCTTTCGGATTAAGCGAAATAAAATTTTGATACCGGGAAAGATAAATTTGCGGTGGTGTTTGTTGAACCATGTGAGCTTTTTCACGGTAGCGAACCTAGAAAAAGTCTCGAGGGTGATCATTTGGAATGCCTGATTTGCCCTTCCATTTCATACGTTAATGACCGTAAAGACCTTTTGGGTGTAATTACTTGTTGTTTTTTCTTCTTCTTTTCCATGTTTTGTAGTTGGTGGCTATAACTTTTTTTCTTTGAGTTGGTGGCTAATGGCTATTACAATACCTAGATTAAATCACGTGTCTTTTAAATTTTTTTTATTATATATATGTAAATTTTTTTATCAAATATATATATATATATATGTGTAAATGTTCAATGGCAACGCTTTTGATGGCATTTTTTAGTTTCAAGTATTTTTGTGCTATCAATGTACTCTAAATTTACAGAACTAGAATGCAAAAAAAAAAAAAATAGCACTGAAAAATGATATACAAGGCATGATCAAAAACAAAATAGATTTCGATTTATCATCTTCTTATTGGTAGATGATCAATTAGACAATTAGTCATCTACACTCAATAGTTTAGATGTCAATTTTTCCAAACGTAAAAGAATTTGCATCCTCCTTCAAGTTGACCGCTGATTTCTGACGGCAGCCCAAAATTAGGACGTCAAACGAAATAAGATGACCAAACTCTCTTATACATTCATTCTAGTGGACTATTCTGTTCTGTTCAGAATTTTTTTCCTTGCTCACACCTTTAACACGCATAATTCTATTCCTGGGACCAATTACAAAAACATATGTTCGTTTTTTAACAAAAGGTGTGGAGGTAGTTTCAAATTTAAAGAAAGACGCATCTAGGTGATGTATCGTGCTTCGATTATGAAAGGGGAATTATTTTGACAACTTATTTTTATAAAACGACTAGAAAGAAAATGGCAGTTATATATTATTTATTTAGCACAAAGCCACCCACCACGAACTCAATTTGAATGGTATCGGGCGGCATCATTAGTAATTTGATAATGGAGTACTTGTATAGAACCCATGATTATTAGATTCACAAAATAATACAAATAGTGTTAAAACACATTAGTATTTACTTGTAAGTGAACAATTGTAATGCAAATTCGATACTTTTGATGGAGAGGATAATTTACAGCCGCAGGATGAGAGCGATGGCTCCGATTGTCAGAGTTCCAACTTGCAAAAGAAACATCCAAGGGAAAGGTGTAATAAGGCATGGACCCTGTTTGCAGCCATCCTTAATTCTCAAACATGAACTTGTAAAGTGGGACCCAATAATTTCACGAGAAATCACCTTTTTTGCAACCCAACGGTATTGAGATCTTCCACGTGGCCAACTTGTAACGGTTCTTGATATACACGCAAGAAGGCACTTTACCTAGACACACATAACATGATTGGGATTATTACACAAGTACATAAACATTAGTATATCATAACATAGAATTCGAAACAACGGTGTCTCATGGAGACACGTCACTACTTTCCTTTACCTGTGGCCTTGACAGCTTGCTCTTTCCGGCCAAAGATATTTCTCTCTTTCGTCTTGTATACCCCTTCTTATTATTATACGAAAAAAAGAAAGAAAAATCAAAACAAAAATCCCAAACCGAAGGCTCCTTATTTTGCCATATTAAATCTTTGTAAAGAAATGATGAGTAAATTCTCGTACTATTGATACTAGGTACAGTTTTTTTACCATTTCATCGGATATATACTAGTAATATATAGAAAAATGAGTACACTGCATTTTATGTATTGCTAATTTGCTATATAATAGTATCTACATACATATATGTATTTTTTTTCTGAAAAATAACCGTTCTAGGTATATGGATCCCCGGACAACGAGCGCGAAAACACGAGACGCGTAAGTCGTAACAACGAGCAGGATCCAGATATAGAACCCGTTCACAGCAAATTTTTCACTCCCATTATCAGCCACGATTCAAGTGTAGATCTTTTACCCTTTACACGAGCTGAACAGTATAGAACAGAGGCCTATTATAAGCAGTGAGAGAGAAAATTACCTCGGAAAAAGTACTGGTGGTGTTCCGACATCGGAGTCTCTCGACGGAGAGGCTTGGACTTCCGATTGGACCATCACCATTTTTTATTAAATTCCCGTCGGTGATCCTAAAATTAAATGGGCTTTCATTTCCAAAGGCCCTTACAAGAATGTAATTAAGCTCAATGGAGTAATGAAAATGAAACGAAGCCCATATGTCTTTGGATGAGAGATTGACTAGTCGATTGGGTAGGTAGGAGATGGAATATATATAATAAACATTTAACTAACAAAACGGGTGAGTGTCTAGTTGGTTATAAGCCAGCGCACTTATACCCGACAAGACATGTGTGTCATATCACACAATGACAAAGCACAAAAACAAGTTGGTCTTATTATTTTAAGCAAAGTCATAGGTACATTAATTAATTAATTATAGGTAAATTAGTTTCCACATTCCAATAAACAAACATACTATAATCTAATATTAAGAAGTCAAGTGAGAGAATTCTCTGCCTCGGATCCTGTTGTAGATACTAACGAAAACAACAAAAAAAATATGAAATAAACTGAGAGCTACTTAGTTAACCTTTTTGCCGAAAAGAGATAGAGAAAGATCTATAGTTGAATTATTTGTTAGATAGCTCAAATGGTAAAAAGAAAAAACAGAGAAGAAGAAGAGGAAATGGGAAAATTGGAGGGTGGATGCATGAAAGAAAGATGGTGTGGGGGAAGGGGTTTGTACATCGGGCAGCTTTAGATGCGGCAGCAGGTAAGGCCCACATGAGCTGCTCAAAATGTGAAAGTTGAGAGCGCTTTGAATTTTTGGAATTTTTGGATATGATGATATCGATGAGCTAAAAGCAAAGAAAAATAAACGATTTTGGATATGGATTTTGGGACCCCATACACGTGATCTTTGCTCTTTTCACTTCTTATAGTTTGCCTTTATGCAATCTGTCTATATTTTTATATATTGTACATGTAGCATTATATAGTTTTGTGTTTCATCCATTGGGGTTGTCTCTATGTGGTTAACAGACCTAAAGCACCTGTATATCTTTTGGTTTATGTCTTGAATTAAGTGAATTATCTATGCAATCTTAGTCGGATTGCACTAATTTCTAGTTACAATTAGATAGTTCATTTTAATTCTGCATACTATTATTAAGTCAAAATTTTACAAGCGATGATATATAATATTTATATAGTCTACTACCATAGTCATAGTCTACTCCCTCCTATTGTTTGATTAAGCTACTACTACATATAGTGCACTGATTGGGGAGATGAGTAAAATTGGAGGGACTGTTTGTGTAAATTAAATGGTCCCCGACAAGAATCTTCAAAATCACACGAAATCCAAGTTTGAAAGTTAACGGTCACAAAATAAAATAATAAAGGGGAAAATAAAAGAAGAATAAAAACAGCCTCGTTCCTCCCGCTATCCGTTGTTTTCTGAGCCACACTGTTACAGTACTTTCTCTATAGGGGCATAACAGTCACCAAACTTGCAAATGTTGTTTATCAAATTTGCAATGCTTCGGATTAATTAGAAAGATTGGTGATTTGATTTCCTTTTATTTATTTAAAATTTATAGTTTAGTGGAAAAGCATATTAATAATAAAAAACACGCCTTTTTTTTAAAAAAGTTCATAACCTCTCAATTTTGAAGATATAATACAGCTAAATAATAGTCGCAAATTCTCTTCATTTTTTTCGATAATAGTATTTCTTTATACAGCTAGAAAATTAAACTTGAATTATTCTTTTCTTTTTCAGATGTCGAGGCTTAAATAGTCCCTTAAAGACCTCTGCGTAGTGATTGGTCCGAGCAGAGTCGTGCTGTTAATCAAAGAAATTAATAATTTAATAAAAAATACTAGAAAAAATTATAGTACTATATCATTATAATAGAAGATTATTATCTTATAAATAAATAGTATGTTTTATTTCTTCAAAAAGAAACGTTGTAGAAAAAATAGGAGCAGAAGAAAACGGAGGTTTTTCTTTTTCCGGATCATCCAAAAGTTTCTCCTTTTTTTCTCTCCCCATTCTCTCTTTCGCCGTTCCTGCGATTCTGCAATTCCTAAGCTTTTCATATTCTTTCAGAATCGTAGCAATGGCGCTCCCTCGTGGTTTTTGATTTTATTTTTTCTTCTTTTCTTTCTTTTCTCATTGCGAGAAAGGGGTTGTTGTTTTTCTCTCTTCATCCTCGCCGCCGATTCGTCGCCGGCAGATGGCCAACTCGCCACCATCGTCTCCAAATCCTCCGAAGTTGGTGGATTGTTGGTCGCTTCTGTTTTTTTCTCGCTAGGGTCTCAACTCCTCCCACATATATTAAGGAGAGAAAGGAGGATCTGATTCAGATTGATCGCGAACGATCTCCAATTATCTACGCATTGGGGTTTGAATTTGGGGATTCACATTGGGAAGAAATGGGGAAAGGTTGGTTTCTCGTAGAGAAAGCGAGAAGATGCTTAAGGACGGTGTTCTTCATGTTTGCGATGTTGGTGTCGCTGTTAGTCTCGTCGTTGCCTGTGCTTGTAGCCATCGGCGACGTTTTGGTGCCGACTTTTCTGCTCTCGAGCTTTACTTGTTTGACGTGCTATGGATTCAAGGAGCATCTGAGTCGATACGCTTTCAAGAGCTCTTTGACTGAGATTCCTCTCGTCTCCCTCGTCAGATCTTTCCTCGTCATCTGTACGTTTCTGACTTTCGCTTTTACTTTCGATCTAAAGAGGGCATTACTAATTTTACCGATCTCAAGTTGTTTGTTCTTCTTCTATTTGATGAGCAGGTGTGTATTCACTATCCGATGGCCCTGCACTCTCCCACGGTCCTTACCTTGGAACTGTGTCTCTCTGCTCTCTTGTTTCAATTATTCTTCTTTCAGTAAAAGCTTGCGTTTTCACTGCTAATTCTCAACTTAACGCGGAAGCCTCGTCCTCTCCGTCAAGGCAACGACTCCATCTGAACAAGTCTTGGGGAATGCCGGTTTTGTTCCTTTCGTCTGTGGTTTTTGCTCTTGGCCATACGATTGTTGCTTATAGAACAAGCTGCAGAGCAAGGAGGAAACTTTTGTACCACATTGTCGACCCTGAAGCAGTGAGTTTACTTCTATGCTTTCCTTCTAAAGCTTTGTTTTCTAGTTTAACTCAGGATCTCATTTGACTGTATTTGCAGCTTCTCTCGTGCAAAAGTGTCTTCTCCAGCTACCAGAAAGTCCCACGTTCTCCCATTCCTTTGCTAGGAAAGTCCTCCAAGATGATTGATGCCGAGGCCAGACGTAAGTTGCCTTCGTCAACATCCCACGATGAAGGAGAGCTTCCAGTGAGATTGCTTGCTGATCTTGACAGCTTATTTGTTACAGTCCGAGGGCTCACTGTGCATTACAAGATTTGCACACCTGCTTCTCCTCGCCAGTCTGTCTCCTCAACTCTTTCTCTTGAAGCTAATTCTATGCTCAATATGCCAGAGGCAATGGCAGGTCGGTTGAAGCTTGACAGGAAAATATTGAGCATGGCCACGAGAAACAAGCTCAATCACCACCACCATAGGAGCTACAACAGTCTGCTCAACGATTCTTCTTCGCTGCACGACCCTCTCCTAGATGGTTCTCCTACTTCTCCTCCTCTTTTCAAAGATATGCAGGAAGAAGCCTGTCGAGAGGATGACATGAATGTGTGCAATTTTGGTGCCACGGAGCAGCAAGGTGCGGATGGAAGCCGTCAATTTGGTGTAGTGCTGGTTCATGGATTTGGCGGAGGAGTGTTTTCTTGGAGACATGTGATGGGTTCTCTCGCCCATCAGCTTGGTTGTGTTGTCACTGCATTTGATAGGCCTGGTTGGGGGTTAACCGCAAGGCCTCATAAAAAGGATTTGGAAGCAAGAGAATTGCCAAACCCTTACACTCTGGAAAGTCAGGTACTATATATAACTCAAAGGAAGCTTTGTCTTTGAATTTGGGTAGAAATGTTAAAAAAAACTTCAATGATCTGTTGATGTTTCCCAGGTAGACATGCTTCTTGCTTTTTGCCACGAAATGGGATTTGCTTCGGTAGTATTGGTTGGCCATGATGATGGAGGTTTGCTTGCGCTCAAGGCTGCACAAAGACTGATAGCATCGAAAGGTCCCGTCAAAGTGAAAGGATTGATTTTGCTTAATGTAAGCTTGACGAGGGAAGTAGTTCCAGCATTTGCAAGAATACTTCTGCACACATCACTAGGAAAGAAACACCTTGTGCACCCGCTTTTACGCACTGAGATAGCTCAGGTGGTGAATCGTCGCGCTTGGTATGATCCTACCAAGATGACAACAGATGTCTTAAGGCTATACAAGGCACCTCTTCATGTGAAAGGCTGGGACGAGGCACTTCACGAGATAGGTAGACTCTCATCGGAAATGGTGCTTCCAACTCAAAATGCACTGTCACTTCTCAAAGCAGTTGAAAACGTACCAGTATTAGTCGTTGCTGGAGCAGAAGACGCACTTGTTTCCCTCAAGTCCTCCCAAATCATGGCTTCAAAACTCGTAAACTCTGTAAGTCCTCCATATATCTAATCAAACACATAACTCCTTTTGTCTCAGCAACTAACATTATACATGTCAACAAACAGAGGCTAGTAGCAATCTCAGGATGCGGGCATTTGCCACATGAGGAGTGTCCCAAGGCGCTTCTTGCAGCCATGTCCCCATTCATCAGCAGACTTGTACTTAGTGACTGAGTGATCACTTCTTGTTGTCTTCTTAGCTCACAATCGATTAGTGTTTGTGTGTTTTTTTAGTCTGCCCCAAATGGAAAGAAGGTGGGGTGACTGTTGTCTTAGCAGTTGTGTATTCATCATAACCAGAGTTATTGTAGCCCTTCTCTGTTTTTCTCATCTGGTTTTTTTTTGTTTTGTTTTGGAGTTTGTATTTATTTGTCTATTGAAAGATGAGTGGCTGAGCTGATGATTCTCTGTAAAATTTTCCGGTTTTAAATGCGCATAGCATCAATGTCATTCCATCTCTTTGTTGTGCAGTGCTCCTAAAACTAAACAAGGTATAGCCCTTCTCTGTTTTTCTCATCTGGTTTTTTTTTTGTTTTGTTTTGGAGTTTGTATTTATTTGTCTATTGAAAGATGAGTGGCTGAGCTGATGATTCTCTGTAAAATTTTCCGGTTTTAAATGCGCATAGCATCAATGTCATTCCATCTCTTTGTTGTGCAGTGCTCCTAAAACTAAACAAGGTATAAAAGTAACAATTTTTATTAAAAAAGGGCCATGACGCATGAAGGTCTCTGAAGTGGATGGATCACCAAAGAACCCAACAAAAACATCAAAAAAAAAAAAAGAATACAAGAAACTGAGTAAACTCTCAAACTAAACGTTAGGAAGACAAATGAGATACTTTTAGCAAGCATAAAGAAGAAAGGTGTAGCAAAAAGTCTACTTAATCCAGAATATCAGAGAAAGCTGTCTTCTTAAATGGATTACCTTGAGCCAACAGTGCAGCCATCGATTTGTTTGGAAAGATATTATCAGCCTTCATTCTATCTCGCATTCCATATGCAGGGGTTTTGGCGTTAATGTAAGCCTGCATGAGGGCTTGGAACTGCCTAAGCCGAGATGTATACCCAGCTTCCCTCATTTTTTGGAAAATCTTCTCCGTGTTATGAATATCTCCCCGTTTTGCGTACTCGTCCATGATGTACATGAAGGAGTTCATCATCAGTTTTGTATGGCTCTGTTTGGATGCCTTGTTCAGCAAAGAATCAGCCTTTTCAACTTCCCCAGCTTCCACGTAGAGCCTGATGAGTGCATCCCATGTCGATGCCTCAATCCTGCAACCACTCTCTGCCATTCGTTTGACCAGATCCTTACCCTTTGAGAGCATCTTGTGATCTACGTAAACCCTCAAGAGAGTGGAGTAAGTATTCGAAGAAGCTCTCCTGTCCATCTTCACAATCTTCTCAAAAATAGCCTCTGCTTCTTTCACTTTATTGAGCTTTCCAAAAGCGTGGATTGCAGCAAGGGATTCTTCAAAGCGGGGCTTGGATTCACACATCTTCCATATTCTCATCACTTCATCTTCTCTCCCAAGAGAGGCATAGATGGAGAGCAAATCTTTGAATGCTCGGCGGTTTGCCTCTAGGCTTTCACCTTCCATCTCTTTCAAGACTTTCTCGGCTTTCTCTTTAAGCCCAGCTCCTGAATAGTGTCTAGCAGTGATAGCTTGTGTATGGAAGTCTGGTTCAACACCTTCGTCTTTCATCGTCTCCACAATCTGCTCCATCCCATTGATGTCATTTGATGACCCTTTGACGTCAATCAGGATCTTGTAAGTGAGAAGACTCGGCTTGACATTTTCTTTCTCCATGAGCAAAAGCACATCAGCGATTTTCTTTCTGTCGACCCTCTTGTAGAGCAGAAGCATCTGATCACATGTAAAACCAGACCGAGGGAATCCCAGGTCCTTCATTCTGTTGAACACAGCTTCAGATTTCTTCACATTACAAGCAACCACACAATTCGCCAGGAGGGTACGGTATATCACTTCTCCTTTGAATGATTTCGGGATCTTGTCCATATAAGCTTCTCCCTTTTCTAAGCCGCGTGTTTTAAATATAAGATCTAGCCGAGAAGCATAATCTCTCTCATTCATCTCAATTTTCTTATTTGCTTCCAACCATTCTGACATCTATACAAACAGATGAAAAGGAACAAACGTAAGCACTTGAGAGCAAATACGTATACATAAATCAGATATATACTCAACAAGTCGATTTACCTGTAATGCTCTTCCATACATACGACGTCTACGTAGCTGAAGCAACGCCTTAGCAACCTCAATTCGGTTGATCTCATTTCCTTCTTCCACCCATTTATCAAGTGCACTGCCTACAGACAGACCTGCTGCAGAAACAATGGTCTTAAATAGCTCGGACGGCTTCTTTTCTACCGTTTTTCTACTATTTTCGGTTTCAATGAGGTCTAGTTCCACCTCTTCTTCTTCTTCTTCTTCTTCATCATCAGCAGAGAGCTTTCCCTCATCATCATCCTCACTACTAGTCTCTTGCCCTGACTTTGAATTTTCCAGCTCTGAGAACCCGTCTTCGAGCTCATCTTCTTCCTCTTGATCACTTTTAGTGCCAGCATTCGAGGAAAGTGCACGTTTACTCACACAAGACAGCTCGTAGAATCTTGAAACAGCTTCACGTTTATCATCATATACATTCGAGTTGGACTCGAGAGTGAAGAATCTCCTTTCTCCTGATTTTATCTCTTTTGAATAAACAGCATTACAAACTCCTCCGATTCGGAGTCTCTGGGTTCTGCAAAATTTACAAATTAGTACAAGTTGTTTGGTTGCCAAAATTGCAACAAAAAAAAACCATTTTCTTTAGATTGAAAATCGAAAGCTTAAATAAAATCCAACTTTACTCAATCTGTTTCTACAAACAGCGATATCTTTCAAACAAAAAAAAAATTGATCACAGCGAGACTAAGTTTCTAACCTCCGCAAAACCTTGGAAAGAGCGAACATGCTTGCTTGTTCCGTCGAAATGATCACTGAAAAAAAACACGCACACACGACAAAAATCAGATTAAAGAGGGAAAGGAGAGGCTTTTGCAACAAGAAGCAATAGATCAGATTCCAAAGAAGTCGAGCATATCGAATTTGAGAAGGGAAACAGAAGAAGCTTAGAAGATTACCGTCGTGTAAACTGTGAGAGAGAGAGCGAGTCGATGAAGAAATGAGAACAGAAAAAAGTGTTGAGAGGGGTTTATGAAATGAGAGAATTGTAAAATTGAAATGAATGTTTAGGGTTTTACGATCTTTTCCGGTTTGACCATTTTGTCCTCCGATAAGCCAAATTTGTTATCATTTTCCGTTTTGACCAGATGGATTCTCGAAATAAGCCGAAACCTTCATTTTCAATTATGTGATTTTCTTCTTCTATCCCCTTTTTCTTTCGTTCAACACCTTTTATACATGTTTTTGAGTTTCAATCAGGACAGGTACACTAACATCTACAAACTGGAAATGTTTAGAGCTAATTTGCATTTACATAAATGCACACATCTTACAAAATCTAATGAAAAACAGTGACCAGGCTGCTTGAGGCTTTGAAAGCTACTATGAAAGAGCTCAAGGAAAGCCTAAAGAACGGCTCGTGTTTTTTTTTGGACGGTGGTATGTGTAATTTTGGTCGATTCAGACATCAGATTTGGCATTCCAGGTTCTGGAAGAGTTGGTGTCTGCTCCAGAAACAGTCATCAAGCTTCCAGTGTCAGACATGTAGTGATAATTGTAATTGATTCTGGTCACTAAATCAGCCAAATGAGGGAAGTGTCCCACATTCAGCTTCGAAGACAATACCTGCAAGTTCAATTTCACATAACCACTTTATCAACTAGGAGTTCAAACTACAAGAACAAATTATACAGGGTTTTAGATAAAATGGCCTTACTCTAAGGAGGAAAGCAATGCAGTCTTCAAATTGCTTCTCAATGCGGTCAATTTCCATTTCGCATCTAGCCTTGATCGCTGAAACTGCTCCACCGCTGCTCAGTGTTTGTTGTATTGAGTAGAATTCTAGAGCTAAACCAAGAATCATGTTGATCCGACTTGCGATGATTGCCCACTATACAGAAACCACAAAATTGGTTTTATAGCTACAAATTCAAATATATATATACACTCCAATTAAAGAGATCACCATTACCAGCTTTTCTTGAACCACAAAGCATTGCCTCTGAATCGATATCAAGTAGGTCTCATGTACATATATGACCTCGTCCAGAGACCCTGCTTTCACCATAGCTTCGCACAGTTCACGCCATGCGGTATGATATACCTGTCTTTACAGAATCCAGTTAAGCCTGATAAGAGCTTTTCATATTATTGAAGCCGTATGATCAACTTTCAATTTTACCACAACTCTTGCATATACTTATATATTACTCCCAACAATAAATAATACCGTAATTATAACCAATTATTCAGCATCGGACTTTACCCTGTCCATTACGTATTGATGAAAAGCATCCACAAAATTGAGGAGCTTTTGTTCCAGTAACCAGTGGTGCTTGCGGATTTTTGTTGCAGAGCCTTTACCCTATGATACACAAACACCAAGTCACTAAGTTTATAAAACTATATCATATTATTATTTATTATTACTCTTTATATTTATCCGTATTGATCAAAAGACTGATTAAGCTCTTTGTAATTGGATTTGGATGCCACATGAGTTCGAGAGTTATCAAAGACCTTCCACATCCACCTTCGTGCTTTATCAAGCACAAATTTTGCTCGCTTGACCTTCAACAAAAATCCCATCACCTGTTTTGCATTTAAATAATTAACACACAGAACAAAAGACTGTTTCCCCCAAAAGTAGCTGGATGAGAAAGGGTTACCTGGTTATACTTCTTAATGGCCTCACTATTGGCAATAAGCTCAAGCGGCCATGGCACCTTAGAAAACAAAATAGTTCAGATCGATAAATACACATAGATATAGCCATGTTTTATGCCAATACGCTGCAATTGGTTGGAAGAGTAAAATGTCTTTCTCTAGACCTTGTATGTGAATTTGAGAGACTCGAGACAATCTATCCCAAAGTTGTTAACGCGGCTTTTACGAGATGAAGAAAGGGGTATTACGTAACCCTTGTCATCTTTGTCTTTGTCTAAACAACCTTCTCTGGAAATAGATACCACCAACGAATCAGGACTGCTAAACAGCATGGCATCAGCTGAATTTCTAATTGATTCCTGTAGATAACCATTACAATTTGGAATTAATTTGTCTGTATGCGGCGATAGAACAGGGACACATAAGCACACAATTAACAAGCAGAATCTTTTTAGAAGTGATAACTATAAATATGAGTTCAGTGTTTCTAGAAGTTCACCAAACATGGTTACCTGAAGGATTATGTTCAAATCAAAATCATCGTTTGATGACTCTCCCTTCCCCAGCCTATTGAATATCACAGTCAGAAAATGCTGCAGAAGGTCCCCTGAGAATTTTAAGGTTTCATTAAGATCCCAGAAACGACTCTATTGCCAAAGATGTTGAAGCACATAAAACGTACCTGAACCTAACAAGAAAATGGCACGCAACACCGCGAGTTCGTGCATCAATTTCCAATCATGCATTAGTTTTGACAAAATTACTTTGCCAATGTAGTCCACCTACAACACGCACAACTTTCATAAGGTAACAGAAGTATGCATGCCGTAGGAACAAGCGGCAATGCAAACCTTACATCACCGTACCTGCCTCCTTATGTAGATTGAGAAGCATTCTTGCATTATTACAACAGGAAGTGGAGTATCCCTTGGCTCTGCCTTTAGCATCCAGCTGAGAACTCTTGAAGGAAGTGTACTATTCTTTTGGAAAGGTAGAAATTCGGACATATGGAGCTTCGGCTTTTTTTGTTATTGTTGATCACACAGATTCCAAAAAGCTATCAGAAACTATTGCACATGGTAGAAAAGTGAAGAAATGGATGGAATTGATCAAAACATCAGTATCAAGTACCTGGAATGACGGAAGCAACGTGGGAAAGGGAAACAACGTTTCTAGAATTTTTGTGTCATCCTGAGAAGAAAGATATTCAGATCTACCAAATTGGAATCCAAATTTGTAGTTTGTGCCGCTCAATCCAGCATCTGCCACGCCAGATCCCTCAAAAACAGCACTCAACAAACTCTCATCATTTAAAGAGGGTAGACAATAGTTGTGTGATAAGTTTAAGACATTCAAAGCATTTTTATTCCTCTGAAGATCCATTTTAGATACTGAAACAACAAGGTTTTCATGACAGAATAAACCCTGCAACGCCTTTTTGACAGTGAGACCGTTGTTTTCGTCATTAACACCAGAAACACCACATGCACTCTGGTGTTCTGATTTGGCCTCCATAGCTAGTTTTTCTTCCACAACACCGACCAACAACTTATACCACATTCGTTCCGAGCACGTGCGAACTGGAAGATCTTTATCATCCATGCCATTTTCCAGCTCTCCACTTACATATGATGCTAAAGTTGGAGAAATCTCCCACTCACCCGCTTCATCTTTCCACAGATATCTAGAGACATGATCCCCATGGCCTATAAGGCCGGCAAGTGTTAGACAAAAGATTTCAGACAAGGATAAGTCTGCAGTGCTCCTAAAGTTGTTCTTTTCAGCCAGTAGTCCACAGCCAGAATTCCCAAAACCATTTCTCCCATGGTACTGAATCTTTCCAGAGGTTCCGGAAGACGTCGAAGGAATATGCTGCACCAGCTGCAGTGACTTTCCAGCAGAAACAATCGACTTACATATGTCTTTTATGAATAATGGGCATAACACCGGATTATTCTGCTGTCGGTCTTTGTCAGAAACTAAATTGGAGTCATTTCCACTCAGTCCTTTCTTTTCATTTAGCGAAGCTACATTTGATTTATGGCCGGCAACCCTCATCAACATATAGCTTTTCTCCCAAAACTCTGCATCGTTAACGGAGACCGCTTGGTTGGCTGTAAAAAACAACTGCGAAGAAGAAAAGTGAATATTCATTTCAACCAAAGATTCATCATCATCAAAATTTTGTAAGGAAATATTTTATGTTGAAGCATAAACTGCTAGAAGAAAATCGTTGAACACCCATAGAAGATAATTACGATTCCAAGAACACCTACCTCTCCAAAAGGATCATCAAGAGTTCCCTCAAACAACCATGAATCCAAACCCTCTACGTATGGCAATAAACTTCCAGCAAAGATTTGCAGCAGCATGTGAAATCCTTCCACCTGGTCCAGATATTATCAATATACGAATTAGGGAAGTGACCAAGAACAAAGGAAAAAAAACACAAAAAATCAAGAAAACGGTTACAACCTCACCACCTTCAACAAGGCATACTTCATCCAGCCTCTTGTAAAGGTAATCAAGAAGGTGGACAGCGATTTCAGCTGTCGAAATAGTAGAACTTGACTCAAAATACGCATGAGGGATTGCACCTCGTACAACTTGTAAAAGATATTCAGCACCTGAACACAGACTAGCAAATGGAAAGAAAACAATGCATTTAAGTAAAAGTGCGAGCAGAGAGTTCTCTGTTGAACTGAGGAGATAGCACTCGATATCATAAAAATTAAAAATATAAGGTTACATACACACCTAGATAAAGAACTAGTTAATCCCAAGAGGGTTGGAGTGACACTAAGATTAGAATTGTTGATGGTGACTTCCTCGTTCAAAGCAATATCTCTGAGTCTCTGTTCCAATTCCAATTGTAGATCAGTGTCAGCAAAACAGATGAGCAAAAGGAGGCTAGAAAATTCTAAAGAAGCTGTGTGAGTGCTTGCCTCAAGCCAAGCAGAGACAGAGTTAGAAAATGCCATTAAGGTAGGAGGAGAGGTCAGAGAGGTATGTATTCGAGCAACGATAGACTCCACAAGCTTCAAACATGTAGCGGCATACAAAAAACCAGAGAGAAGGACATGAAGGCTTGAGTGAGACAAATGAGAGACGCGAATCTCAGTTTTAGCGCGGAAAGTCTGTGCAACATTGTCCCAGAAAATGAAGGGACTAGACAGACCTTGCAAAGCTTGTAAGAGGCCTCTCACCTTTTCAACATCACGAGAAGAAGAAACAAGTGTTAAGAAAGTTGTTTGCCGATGAGAAACCGAAGATTAGTGTTTTGCGGCAAAAATTACCAGATCCAATTCATTCACGCTCACTGAGGGAGGGGCCAGCTCTGAGTGTGTCCAAGCTCTGCGACTGCACATCGCCCCCGGATTTAAGGATTCTAAGCCAGTACGATCAACTCCAATCAACGATTCCATTATTGTCTTCCCCTAGCTAGACATCGCCGTGAATTTCCATTGATCCTACGAGGGAAATCGAAGAAGCTTGATTTGATTTGAGGGAGGGAGAGAGAGATAGAGAGAGAGTGACTCAGGCCCAAAACTACTTGTCCAGTTAACACCAAAGTACAGTAAATATTGTATAAGCCCGTCGCAGTTGTTTGGAATTATCATAATACCCTTCATCAAAAGTACTTTTTCTTTTACATCCTAAGGACTTATTCTCGGTGCTAATCACGAGATAGCCCCACTCTTTTAAAATAGTTTAAAGATAACCCTGAGAACGGAAACCATCATTTTTAAGTTTTTAACATTTAAAACACCAATGCGAGAGTACTCAAACCAAGCAACTTTTGATATGAAATCAACTAATCATGCCTTAAATATAAAGGGACGATATACAACTTTTCTAAATATACCCCAGACACCACAAAGTAGAGCCTTTTTTTTTGGGCTAATCATGCTATATCACTATTCAAGGTAAGCTCAACGAAGCCATCCTCAATTAACCTGGACCGTTGAGTCCACCATGTCTCTGTAACATCAAGCACTTTGACAGAGAGACCAGAGAAATAGGATCAGTGGCCATGCTGGTCGATTTTTCGTCAAATCCATCTTGTGTGCTCCCTCTGATAAGCATCCTGATTTCTTCCACTCAATGTTAACAGTCAAATTTCCCCAAAACAGAAGCGAGTTCTAAAACGCATCCTTCAAACACGAAAGGAATGCAAAACAAATCTAGTTGGCAGGCAACTAAGGTAGATCCAATTTGTGATTAGATTACCAACCAACCTTTTCCGATATTTCCTTGTTGAATTGATCGGTCTTTTTGATGTTCTTTTTGATCTTGCAGATTTCAGTCAGAACCTACTCAATGTCTATAGTATCATCGACATGAGTTTTCAACAAATTGCAGTTATCCAAAAACTTCAGTTGATGAACAGCACTTGGGGCAAGGGAAGTATCAACTTGTACCCTTTTTCTTACATACTCCATTAGCACAAGCCCTGCAATATACCATACTTGTCGGTAAAAGATAAAATAAAGAAGAAGAAAAGAAAATATATGATTGTGCAACATTTACAAGACATACCGTGAGCTCGGAGCATCTTAAAATCAAGATGCCCAGCTAGTTCTTCGTGATCACTTATTTTGACTCTTTGAATGGCTAACTTCTTTAAGCTAATGAGCAAATCCTGCAAAACAAATTTTAGTGGAAATAGATAACATTAATTAAACAATTAATGACGAGAGCAGGGAAGTCAATGGGTTCATCGAAATTTACCAGTTCAGATTCCGAGAGAGAGCAAAACCAAGCAATATCTTCTGTCCTATTGTTCTTCAAGATTCCGGTGAGTTCCTCCATCTCAAGTTTTTAGCATCTCCTAAGAGAAGGGTCCGCATGATTCCAAGATTTAGGCATAGAAGATGAACCCAAGGCAACAGCACAATCCTAAACCCACCTGCAATACTAGATTAATGTCTTTAGCTAACAAATGCATACATCAGTGTAAACAAAGGCTTTGGTTATCTAAAATTGATCGGGTCGCTCACCTCAACCGAATTAAGCTAAACAGACTTCGACTGAGAAAGCAGCAGACGAAATTGAGCAATATATATCATTTATTAATTAAGGGCTTAAAAGAAGGGATCCGGCGCCTCGAACCGGCGACGACGTAGCTCAGATAGTGGCAAATTGAGTCAGAGACGAAGAAGACTGTGAGGGAATACCAAAGAGCAAGGAGACGAAAGTGAGAGAATCTCAAAGGACAATGTTACGACGCCGGAAGACTCCAAGTCGGAATATCAAAGAGAAAGGAGACGCGAACAATAAACCCTAATTTGTCTCGCCGGAATATTAGACGTGGACGAGAGAGATTTCAATTCAAAATCTAGTTATGTGTTTAATTAGATAAAGTTAATCACCAAGGATCCGTGGCGCAATGGTAGCGCGTCTGACTCCAGATCAGAAGGTTGCGTGTTCGATTCACGTCGGGTTCAATACTCCCGAATTTAAGATCCTATCCCTTTTCTTTTAATTTTCTTTTCTACCCCTTGAACCTTTCTGGTACTATTTATTTACTACCAGCTATTTGGTACCTTTTATGTAATGTAGACGTTAAGAACAGTTATCGACGATGAAGATGATGAGAGCTTCGCTTTGTAATTACGACAAGTCAAACTCTCTAGCCTCCTTGCACGTGCTCGCTCTCCTTCAACTCTTGTCGTAATATGTTTATGCGACGTATAATTTAAGATCTTCATGTTCCCTACCTACTCAAACTTTTTATACAACAATATCATTCGCATATTTTGCTGTTGTATCGTATAATCAATCCTCAAAGCTCTAACATCAAAACATAGTTTATTTTACCCAAAATATAATTTACAGCTGAAAAAACAGAGGATAAGGTTTATATATATTTTTGTAATTTGCAGATGCTTTTTCCATTATAAAAAAGTTTTAATTTTAACAACAGTTATGATATTAATTAGTGTGAATCTCAAAAATTTATACGTGTTAATATAGCTAATTTTATTGAAGATGTAGTGTATTTTCCCCGTCGTTGGGGGTGAGTATGGATTATAACAATGTCCAGCCTGTATGGGACGTCTCGAACATCGATGGAAGCTTCTGATGCGGTAAAGTCGGCAGTCATGCCTACACTAGATAACAAGTTATCCCTTCACGTGTTCATCCAAATGTGATTAATATTTTACATTTATCGTTACCTTTGATTCATTCTGACTTCAACTTTTAGTTTGTTTTATTCCAAAACAGCACATACATATTTCTGGCAACATTTTATGGCTGTCGCATTATTATAATCCATAGCGTTTGAATGATCAATCTTTGAGGCATCTCAAAGATACATTATTTCAATCATTTTCTATGACGTTATAGCTTAGAGTTGGATCAAAAAAAAAAAGAAAGAAAAAAGGGTTTTGTATGTCTATAATTATTTGAACACAAATCGAGATCTTAATATTACAATAATCATTACAGCAAAACTAAACAAATCATTGAAGAAACCGAATTCCTAATCATGAAGTCAATGTTTCATGAGTTGTGGGTGTGTGTGTGTGTCTGTAGCATCCGACACACAGAACCCAGGAGGATGCTTCCAGTGGCATTCTCGTGGTTTTAATCAAAACCTGTGTTCTTCTTCTAAACACAAACTTATAAAACCCGAGTCTTTATAGTTTCTTCTCTGGCACCATCTCTCTAGCTATCTCTTCAATCCTCATCTCTCACAGAAGGAAGTCGCAATGTATCAAGAAGCCGCACTTCTCCTAGCTCTCCTATGTGTCTCTTCTAATAATGTTAACATCGTCGTAGCGGCCCCAATCCGCGATGGTATTGTAACTCTAATTAAGCTCATCTAATTAATTAACACAAAATTCTATTAAACACACAGTATGTAGTAAGTACTCTTTGACTGAGATGAACTTTCAATGGTTGGTGGTTTCAGGATTACTACCAAACGGTAATTTCGAGAAGGGTCCTAAACCGTCCCAATTGAAAGGATCGGTTGTTAAGGAACGATCAGCCGTACCCAACTGGGACATGACCGGTTTGGTGGAGTACATCAAAGCTGGTCAGAAACAAGACGACATGGTCCTGGTCGTACCGGAAGGCTCCTCCGCCGTCCGATTAGGCAACGAGGCCTCAATCTCCCAGAAAATCTCAGTCCGATCGGGCCGTCTATACTCTATCACGTTCAGCGCCGCTCGAACCTGCGCTCAGGACGAGCGGCTCAACATCTCCGTCACGCACGAGTCCGGTGTGATCCCTATCCAGACCTTGTACGGCAGCGACGGTTGGGACTCGTACTCCTGGGCTTTTAAAGCTGGTGGGCCCGAAATAGAGATCCGGATCCACAACCCGGGTCATGAGGAGCACCCGGCTTGTGGACCTTTGATCGACGCCGTCGCTATCAAGGCTTTGTTCCCTCCCAGATTCTCTAGATGTAAATAAACCCGAAAACCCGGTCATATCTTAGAGTAAACCAAATCGATGTTGATTTTTGTTTGTTTTGTTTTGCAGATAATCTGATTAAGAACGGGAAGTTCGAGGAAGGACCTTACGTGTTCCCCAAGGCAAAGTGGGGAGTATTGATCCCACCGTTCATAGAAGACGAAAACAGCCCATTGCCCGGTTGGATGATCGAGTCACTCAAGGCCGTAAAATACGTCGACAAGGCACACTTCTTCGTCCCAGAAGGACACCGAGCCATCGAGCTTGTTGGAGGCAAAGAGAGCGCTCTTTCTCAGATCGTGAGGACGTCACTGAACAAATTCTACGCTCTCACTTTCAACGTTGGAGACGCCAGAGACGCTTGCGAGGGACCGATGGCAGTGGAGGCCTTCGCTGGACGGAGCAAGGTCATGGTGGAATACGCGTCTAAGGGGAGAGGCGGTTTTAGACGGGGAAGGCTTGTGTTCAAGGCGGTGTCGCCGAGGACACGTGTCACTTTCATCAGCACGTTTTACCACACGAAGAGCGACCACTCTGGCTCGCTATGTGGCCCGATCATCGATGACGTCAGGTTGGTGGCGGTTCGTACACTCCGAGGGTGAGAGAGACCATATATGTATAGTGTTCTTAATTAGCTTTTGGTCTAAAGTCAAAGTGGTCATTTATTCATCGGTTGAATATACAACAATGGCACTTAATTGTAATTTTATGTTTCCAGATTCACAGAATAAATGTAAGGGAATACTACATTCTAATCTTATTTTTACATAATTTATGAACTAATTATCGTTTAGATACAATGGACTGATGGAGTAACATTTTTTTTTTTGTAATTACACTCTATATATCTTAAGAAAATTTTAAGAGATTATATATAGACCACACATTCACACCTCTGTTAATCGAATAATAATAAACATGCTTGAAAATTTATTTGAAAATTATCGATTGGCTTCTCTTTTTTACTTTGCAGTTATTTAATACAAAAAAAAAACTCGCACGTACAAATAACATCGCACCGGTTGGTCAAAGCATTCTTCAATCTTCACTCATCTTTCCCGTTTGTCGCAGTAGATTGAGAGAATTGGCCCGAGAATCGTGACGATAACCCTAATTTTCTCGAAGAACCGACACCATTCATCATGTGGAGGAGAATCCTTTTATCGAAACTTAAACCAATCCCCGCCGTTGGCTCCTGCGCGGCTTCGTCGGCCGTGGCCGAGTCCACTCACCTTTCTCTGTCGACTCGTGCGTCGTCCATTTCCGCTTATTCTTCAATTATCTCTCGCCGAATCGGCTCCGCTGCAGGTAAGTTACGGATCTCGATCCATGCGGACGGTTATTGTGAATGATTCGTTGATTTTGGCTTAGAGAGTTCCTTCGTCTTTTATGTCGAGTGATTACTCCAGCGGACACTGCAGTGAGGAAGCGTATTGAAGATGTGATGCCTATTGCAACTGGTCACGAGAAAGAGGAACTAGAAGCCGAAATGGAGGTAGTTAATTACTTGGATGATACTATAGAGAAATGTTGTTACTCAAGGAGACTGATTGTTGAGGGTTTTAATCAGATCAGATGATTTGAGAATTTGTCTGTTGCTTTAGATTTGTAATCTGCAGGAGTTGTGATGTGTTTTTCATCACACTTGGATCTATCATCATCTGCTATTAATGATATCATCACATTTCACAGGGAAGGAAGCTGCTCGATATAGACTTTCCGGAGGGTCCTTTTGGAACAATGGTTAGTGTGATGCATTACAATCGAAAGGTTCTGTGAGATTCTTGTCCGAGTGTTATTATTATATATATTGTCTGCTCTGTAGGAAGCTCCTGCTGTAGTCAAATCCTACTATGACATGAGAATAGTCGGTTGCCCAGGAGGTGAAGGAGGTAGGTCTTTTTTTCTTGCTCTCAACATATGCATATGATATATTGATCTTTGTCTCTTTAGAGCATATGATGATGAATTTTGACTTATATTCTGAACGGCAGAGGATGAGCATGACGTTGTCTGGTTTTGGCTGGAGAAAGGCAAGTCTTTCGAATGCCCTGTGTGTTCACAGTACTTTAAGGTAATCATGGCTACAAAGCAAAGTTTTCAGTATATAATCTGGTGTGAAATTTTGAGTAACTGATGATGGTTTTGATAAATAGCTTCAAGTGGTTGGTCCTGGAGGACCTCCTGACGGACATGGCGAGGACCACCACTGATCCGGAGAACTGCTGAATGTAGTGTGTAATAAGAAAGAGTGCCCTTGCTTTTTTTTGTTGGTATTTGTTTTACTCTCTTCCTGAGACAGGCGGTTCTCGTCAACCCTTTTTTTTTGCCAAATCATTTTGATTGAGTAGTTGCTATACCTGTTACTGTTACTGTACTTTCTCTTATGCTCTTGAACGAATATTTGATTTTATTATGTTTAGTGGTAGGTGATTAACAAGTATAATCCGTTGAAATAAAGAGTATTACGGTCAACAGCTGAAAAGAGAAATAATTTGTAGGTATACACGAAATACATGGGACTTCTGCTTAGGATTTAATTAGTATAAGATTAATGATAAATAAATAAAAAAAAAAGAGTCACGACTCACGATATAATAAAGAAGGGTTAAAGTTCGTTAAATCCTAGTGCCGCCAGTTCTCGCCGTCGCCTTTTTTGTGGTCCGACTCTCCACCGCCAGTTCGTATCCAAAACCATCTCTGTTCAGAAACGGGAACGTCATTTGTTACACAGAATAATCAACTAAATTTCACACGTCCGTAATCAAGAAACACCAGACCGTAACGCTTCTCTCCCGATGGAACCTTCCTTTTAGTCGTCAGAACAAGTAAACGTTCCTTAAATATCAGCCGTGATGATCAGGTAAGCTGGTCGAGATATGGCGAGCACCTTATTTCAGGAAGGTGGCTTTTTCCCTTTGAGCTTGTTAGAACACTTGCTCATTGCGATGATTAAAGTTGTCTCCATGGACTCAGCGGCTAGGTTTTTTTCTGTGTGAGAAAATTGAAGGGTGACTTAAACGAGCCCTTTTTTATTTCATGGTCATAGAGATTCTGTTGTGGGTTGCTTGTTTAAAGACATGATAGATTCATTAACAAGGCTTACACAATTGCACGTGATGGTTATATATGTTTGGCGATATAGTAAAAAGAATGAATCAGAAGATGTTGGCGTTGAGCCACCACCATCCCCCTGCTACTCCACAGAGGGATGATGAGGTTAGTGTTGGCACTCAGCAGATTAAAATCTCGTATCTACAATAGCGTACCTAGCTAGCTCCTATATTCTTGATATTTGCAGCAAATTAATTTTTGGCATCATCGTACATGGGACAAATTAAACAGTTGGGTTGTGGGATGTGTTTGCTAGCAGAGGCAACGTTGAGACGTTTCAACACAAACACAATTAATGATCTAACGGTTGCTTTCCTTCCAGATGGGAAGCAGTTTGCATGCAGTACGTACCCTGTATGGGCTGATCCATTCCTGCTACACTGTGTAACTTAATCGATGTGTTGATGTACAACTTAATCCTTTTGTTATTTCTCTTTTTTTTTTACGTTCATTTTAGTTTCTTGTAGTTTCACTGGTAATTTTGTCTTTCCTTCCATCAAAAACCACGAGAATTGTGTCAAAGCTTTTTTTTTATATATAAAGTAGAAACGCAAACCGCTTTTGTTTAAGGGTCAAAGCTTTGGATAATATATATGATATAATTGAGAAAATGAGCTTAGCAGCTATACATATAGTTGTATACACAAGTTTTTATTTCTTTTTTTTTTAGTCCTAGATATTGGGTGGGTGGGGTGTCGAAAGCGCTGTTGTAAAGAATGATATTTATAACATTATGGATGCAAGCTGACGAGAGAAAAAGCTATTGAGACATCAAAACTTTGAAGAATATTCAAAATTTTGGGATCTGAAACAGGTTTCTTCAGCAAAATCTTCAAGTATTCCAACCGTGAAACATGGTCATGGTTCGAATCTCGAGTCTGGGCATGAGAGTGGCGACCCCAAATCCGCTCCTTACCTGACGGGGTGCAGCAGAAATAAGACTCTGAAGGCTGAGCTGAAGCATCGGATGAGGATGAGGAGGAGGATGATGACGATGCACAGGCTCGGGGGGACTATGAGGCAGACCAGCAGCAGTCATGAGTTCAATGTATTCAGCATCTCTCTGCATCTGTTCCCACATCATTTGCTTCTGTGGGTCGACCTTTAATGGGATGAAACCAGGATGATCGGTTTTCAAGTGATTGTTAAGCTGAGAGTAAGTCCCCGAGAAGTCACAATCCTCGAAAGAGCAAGATCTCGGTTTAGCATTCATGAAGCGTCTTGCACCGGAGACCTTGATAGTCTCAAAAACCTCTCCTCTGCAGAAAGGGCATTTCAAGGTCTTGGTGTCTAAGCGGTTCCCTTTGTTCCTACGGTACTGCTTGAAACAGTTGGAGTGGCGAGCACTCGTGTCGCACATGTAAGGACGACATCCTTTGTAGGAGGAAGTGCATTGCAAGAGGACCGCATTGTGTGGCGGTTCCATGCAGATCACACACCGGACATCCTCCCATTCTCTTGCGCCTTCTGTCTGAATTGGCGACTCGACTGCTTTCTGTTTCTTTGTCCTTGATGCTCGAAGCGGGTATGGCGATACTCTTGTCCCGTTGCTTGTCACCGACATTATACGGCTTTCCTTCGGCATCTCGCTATATGAATTCAAAACGTTTGATCAGTAACAGTTTCAAGTCCAACTTCTTCTAATTTAAACAGAAAAAAACACACATTTTTGAACGAAATCACACAACATTGATATATTGGGGAAGGTAACTGACACTAGTATATATCACAACTGCAGAGAGGCCCAGGAAACAGATATGATCATAAGAAAGAAAACGAATTTCGTGAATCAAATATAACACAGTTGGATGACCGATGGTCGGAGAATCATATTCACAACAACAAAAAAAAATTGGTTTCCCTATGAAATTGATCAACTATAACTACACTTATCACAAACAAAACAGTTGTAGATTTTCGATGATCATCTCATTCCGCATTTTTTTATTCATATTCAAAGTTGTGACCGAATACGGAATACTATAACCAGAGATTTTTTTTCTGATTCTGATCAGACCTGCAAAAGCGCTAAGCGACACGAGTTGATCAGATCGAGAGCTCAATGAGAGAAATTGGAAGAACCCAAGCAAGGATCGAGCCCAAGCGAGAAACAGGTAGATTACCTTGGTCGGAGAAATTCTTGAATTTTCAGAGGAGTTTCGTCTGAAGCGGTGAAGATGGGAGATTTGATGCGAGTGCCTGCTTGTGTGATTTCTGTTGCCTTTTTATAAGCTACTCTTGTGCCCGTCTGCCCCTTTTTACCATTATACCCCTGTCTTTTCTCTGTCCACCGTTTCGCCTTTCCTTGTCAATTAAAACCAATACTGTCTTTTCCTGTCAATTATGGATTTTCCCTTCTTTGAGATAGAAAGGCTAAGAAATCACCATTTTCTTGCGTGTAAAGATGTTGGAAAAGTTCAATTTAAAAAAGTAAATATTTCTAAAAACTATATCCTTATACAAACTAACAAATTTTTAAGGAAAAAGAACTATACAAATCTCACTTTTTATCATTATCATTTAAATTTGAATTCTTTTATACAACTATTTTAATATTTTTTATAATTAATTATTACTTTTACATATTATACTTTCACTTAATTCAAATAATAAATTATAACTTATACATATCTTTTACTTACTATTACTTTGTATGAGTAATAATTAGAATTTAATTATTATTATTTATTCGCATATTTTATTTATATTTATTTCAGATAACATGGCATCGACATTATGCAAAAATACTGAACAACAAAAGTTTATTATTAATTCAGACATTAATATGGTGCTGACACTAGTAAAAATTTGAAAAACAATTATCATTACTTACATACATATTTAATTTATATTTAATATAAATAATATAGTGTTTACACTTGTATTACACAACAAAGTATTACTCATAAACATAATCTACTTATATTTAATTCAGATAATACGGCGCCGCTACTTGTAAAAGTTAAAAAATTTAAATTAATAAGTGACAAATTTTCATAAATATTTTAAAATTTGTTCAGTTAAAATCTTCTCAAATCAATACTAATGAATCAGATATTATTTACTTAAAATTCAATTTATGATCTTTAATTTAAAGAAAAAATTTTCAAATCTAAGTTTTTTTAAGTATCCTAAGGATATGGTTGGATGTAGAGATATTGACAAATCAATACATATATCAAACTGTGCTAAACTTTGACCGTATAGCTTTTGGTACGTTGCCAAAATTTTGTTTCCAATGTATTTTTTTTGTATTTTAATGTTTTCTTTCAAATAAACCAGCAGACCATATAATTTGTTATATTGTCCTTCTTTGTAAAAGCCCAAAAAAAAAGATGAAATAAAGATAGAAACATATTGACTTTAGTAAATTGGACTTCTAAAGAAAAAGAAAAAAAAATAATAAGAAAATTTTAAAAATCTATTATTATTATTATTATTTATACGCATGTTTATTTATATTTATTTCAAATAATGCGGCACCGACACTACATAAAACTACTAAACAACAATTATTTGTTTTTATTACTCTTTTTAGTAAAAACCAAAAAGGGAAGAAGTAAGGATAGAAACATATTGATTTAATAGTAATTTGAATTTGTAAGAAAAAACAATCTGAAAATTTAAAAATTAATTATTATTATTATTTATGCGCATATTTGTTTATATTTATTTCAGATAATGCGACACCGACACTAGATAAAACTACTAAACAATAATTATTTATTTCAGACAGTAATATAATATTAAAACTATGAAAAATTTGAAAAACCATTACTATTCCTTACACACATACTTTATTTACATTTATATTTGAAAAAATTATTATTCATTAGTTCGGATAATACAACATCAACATTAATAAAAAATTTGTTTTCAGTGTATCCTATTTTAATGTTATCGTTTAAATTAATCGGTTGACCTATAATTTCTGAGGGAAAAATAGAAATTTGGTAAATATTAAATAATTGATAGTTTTTTAAACTTTTTTCTCTAATTTCTGAAAGAAAAGAAAATGATTAAACACTACAGTGCGTATCATATAATCGCCTTTCGAACTCTGCGAAACTCCTTTAGTTGCGAGTTTCCAAACACAAACTATTTTTATTGTCAAAAGTGTATTCCCTTCATCTTCTTCCCCAGTCTCGGCGAAGCGAGAAATCTTTAGAGAGAGAGAGAGAGAGAGAGAGGGGCAATAAAGCGAAAATCTGGGGAAAAAATCGAAAGATCCGATTATCCGATTGCGGGAAAAATGTCTCTGACATGCGTAAATATGTCGGAGGAGGTGTGGTTGACTTGCCTCACTCACGCATTATCCACTGAGACCGAAGAGATCATGGGTCTCCTCCTCGGCGACATCCAGGTTCAATTTTGTTCGATTGGTTCTTGAAATCTGTTATGGCTCTGCCTCTGTGTTACAAAAAGGACTAATAGATGTTGTTGGTTGGTTGTGGGTTTTGGATAATCGATTAGTACTCAAAAAACGGAAGCGCCACAGCTCTGATCTGGGGAGCATCGCCTCAGTCACGGTCTGATCGGCAGAAGGATCGAGTAGAAACCAACCCTGAACAGTTGGCTGCTGCCTCTGCTCAGGCTGATATATCCTTTTCTCCATTGTTGCTATAAATCTGCTTCCTTGTTGTGTCGTAAGTGATAATTAATAGATTGATTTTGGTTTTGGTTATGAACCAAAAAGGAAAGACTTCCTTGACTAACCTCCTCGGCACAGAATGACCATATCAACTGGCAGAACAACACGAGTGATTGGATGGTATCACTCCCATCCTCATATCACCGTACTTCCTTCCCATGTCGGTATGTACCAAACTTATTTGGTTCTTCTTCTCCTCCTCCCTCTTCTCATATTCTTTAAGATATCTCTGTCCTGTTGCAGATGTTCGGACACAGGCAATGTATCAGCTTTTAGATTCTGGATTTATTGGCCTCATTTTTTCTTGCTTTAGTGAAGATTCAAACAAGGTTAGTTTTTGCTACGACTGGAATTAGGAAAGTTGAATCTTTTTCTAGAAAACCCTTCTTCACATCCTTCATGAATTGGCTTTAGGTTGGTAGAATCCAAGTTATCGCTTTTCAGTCCTCTGATGGAAAGCCCAATACTACTCCTAAATCTATGAGCCTGGTTCTTGCAAATAAAGATTCTGTCATCGATTTAGATTCATCATTAAGTTCTTCAGACTCGATATACCGGACTTCCTCTTCTACTCGGGAGCAAGACACATGTGATACAGCTACAACTTCCGGATCTAAGGTCTCTCCTTTGCCCAAAAGCTATACCATTTCACTCGAGCTTAATGAAAGTTGTGCATGAGTGTTACCCGTTTCCCAAATTCATGCGATAAACATTGGTGTTCTGACTTAAGCATGGGCTAATATCTACAAACATTGATGTGTGGGCCTTGTATGTCTGAGTAGGGAGGAGGACGGGTTTCAGATTTTGGGGCTTTCTTTGTTAACAAAGCTGAGGCCAACAGCAACGTGAGAGACGGGACAAGTGGAAACTACAGCTCAGTTAATCTCAGCAGCTCAATTGTGGAAATTGATCATATGGACATGTCTGAAAGCATGCAAGAGGCGATGCTCCGTTCAAATTTGGAAACGAGGTATTTCTAAACACGCGGCTTTTGTGCTTATGATCAATTGCTCCATTCATCTACTCAATGACTTGAACTAAGGAATTGTACTTGCAGCGGTGTGGGGTATGTTAGAAAAGAAGTCCCGCTTCATGTTTTGCCCACTTTATCCCTTCTTCAGCTCAATTCACCTTTAGCCTCTTTTAAAGATCTGCAACGTGTACTCTACGAGGAGGAACGAGCAGCATACCGCCAATCAGTCTCGCAAAGCATCAGGTTTCCAATTCAATCTTTTTCCATACATATCGTATTTATGGAGTTTTAGTGCAAAAGCTCTTTCTGTTCTTCTCTAGAAATGGAAAAGTCCATCCTCTTGCTTTCATTCACAACACATCAACATATCAAGCTTCCATGTGCAAGCTGATCGAATACTGGTGAGTGTAAAAACATTTTCTAATGTTTTTTTTTTTGTTTTTGGTTGCAATTTACATACGTGGGCTTCACTTTTCGCAGCTTGAGTCCCGCCATTAACGCACTTCAAGATAGGCTGAGGGAAAACAAGATCCGGGTATGATTCTCTTCAGAACCAGCCTCATGGATATTGTATTGTGTTCTGTTTGTTTTGAAACCTACTGTGTGTTGAGCAGTTAGCAGTGCTGATGGATGAAGCTGAGGCTCTGGAAGCACAGAAACCGAAAGGAGCAGACACGAGCGGAGGACCATCTCGTCTGGTTCATGGTTCTGGAAGCCGAAGCAGAAGAGGATCCTAGAGGTTTCCTACCAAAGGCAATAAATCAGATGCCTTGCTCTTTGTGTGTTGTGCTATTTGGACGTTTGGTTTCTTTCACTTGTATCATATTCAGGCATCTCTTGTTAGTTTAGCCATCTGGTATCATCATTGGTTTTTTCTTTTCCTGGAAGATTAACTTTATTCCAAGAGATGCTGATTAACAGATATTTGTATTAGTAGTATATATGAATATGATGAGATGGTGCATAAAACGAATCTTGATAGCACATTCATGATGATTGTAAAGATTCTAACTTGCAGAAAAGCCAAAGCTTTAAACCGTCTCAGTGATGTCTAAAGTAATAACGAGTTCTTCAAAACTAAGTTAGTGAAGCAGGGACCCTAGCCTCTTCTTTTGTTTTTTTGTGGGTCAGAGAGTTTTGGAAAAGGGCTTAGATCTGCAACACCGGATGATCTTCCTGACATCGCTACGGATGGAGAGAAATGCAGAAAGAGAAGCGAGAAACAGCGTTGGGTGGTAGACACGAACAGAGTTTGTCAAGGCATGAGCCGAGTCCAATAGAAGAATCTCTGTGGTAAGACCCCAATATATGAGAAGCGTTGCAATAAAGCTGATTCTTGTGGGTTTGAACAGGCTCAGCAAAGCTCCAAGCAGGCATAAACAACTCCCAGCAAACACCTAGAAGCAAGCAGATTGTGTACATGACATTATTGGATAAGACAAAGCACACAAGAATCAAAGATAGGAGGATGGAGAAGCAAACCTCAAGATGACGAATATCGGTTGAAAAAGAGGCTCTATTCAGCTCATGGAAACTGTAGAACTCGAACAAGTTGTGATAGCTTGGGAGTCCGGAGCCACCGATAAGAGACTTGGCAATGGCACCAGGATAAAGGAGGCTCTTCACAACAGAGGAAGGAAGGACTTCACTTCCAATCAACCGAGAGGATATTACCTCCAATGGTGATTCGCAGCTCTTGTTCCTGCACGCGACTCTGCAAATGCAACCCAACCCAACGGATGATAGAGTGAGAGAGAAACATCACAGAAGATGCTCACAAAACAAACGGCGATCCAATAGAAATGAATCACAGGCATTTCCAAAAGAAACTCAGTGCATGTAACAAGGAATCCACGATTTTGCTCTAATCACAGTCACGAATCTAATATCCAATTTCTGTCAGGGTCCAGACCTCGATTTCATGTGAAACCCTAATGCGACAAAACCGTTTGATAGACTTTTCCATCAATTTCCAAATTCTGGATTTGTTTCGTTTACAGCGAAAATGACAGAATCACGAGGAATGGTGACGAAATTTTACCTGAAAAGAGGAATCTGGAAGACGATGATGAATGTAAACACAGAAGAAGCGATAACGGAGATTATCGAAGCCCATTTCTTAGAAAGAGCCATCGGATTTCCACCCAAAACTCCCAACCAATTGATGACCAAAATTATAAATTCAAAGGGTTCGTTGCAGAGGGAAAACTGAGAGGAAAAAAAAGAACAAACAAAATAAACGATGTTTTATGTGTACCCCCACGTTTTTTTTTAATTATTGGCTCAACAGAAAAGTAAGTTTTTTTTTTTGATAAAATAAAGGAATAAAAGGTAAATTTTGTTTTGCATTAAGAAAACTGAAGTACTGGTAAAAGGCAACCGACCAAGAACACAATTTGAGAGCAAGCCAAAACTCAAAACAGATCAATTTGCTTCAAAATTTCCTAAGATGTAATAAGGTTTATGAAATTCAGAAAATGGCCTTGAGGTTAGGTAGGTTTTGAAGATGATTCATCTCTTTTTTAAGCCGAATTTGTGGACATTTTTTTAGTTACAAGGTTTACTCTTTTTTTTTTTTTTTGGGCCAAAACAAGGTTTACTCTAATAGCAACTAGCAAGTCACAAAAACGACAGAGCATTATTGAAGCCTCGAAGGATTGCTCATAGAATTAAATGCCTTGTTCCCAGTGATTTCATGTTTATAACTTTGGAAGAGAAAATAATTGTACATTGAATTCTGTATGAGGTTTCATGTTCCTGTCTTACAATTATACAAGACTATATGTAAGCTTACTCTTTGATCACAGACCAGACCGTGATTAACCTCAGCCCACCATAGCTTCTGTTAGATCAATCAACCTGTCAGCTCCTCCATCTGCCCCTGTTATCCGATTCACAATTCAATCTTTAGAAACGCTTTTGTGTAAAAAAATAATAATAATTTAGAAACACTTTTTCTACAATCGTTTATTTTTAGGAGTGGACACAAGAACCCTTTTAAATTTGGCATGAAAACTTCCACTTAATCAAACCGAATTCTGCATACTAAGAAAAGGTCGATTCTTCACATAACACTTACACTCATCTTTTTCATAGCGTTGATCAATTCTAAACCCTACATTTCCTACTTGCATCGCTATCTAGATTTTCTTTAGCATCCTTTCGTCAGATATGATTTATTTTTCCTTTGACCGTGCTAGGGGAGGCCAATATCAAGGTTTTACCTACATCTCTACCAAATTTTTATTGCTTACAGTCTTCAGCTTCTCAATTATACAAGGCGGGTAAGTTTTTTGGCTTAGGTCATCCCAGTTTTAGGGAGGGAATAATGAAAAAAACTAACCCGAGCAATGTACGGTTCCGCATCAGTTCGTTTGAGGAAATGCATAGAATGACGGGCAAAATTCGTTGTCTTGTCACTCAGCACAATTCCTTCGTCGATATCTTCCACAACTCTGACCTTGATGTAAGGATCTTTTGGAGGCACCATATCCTAAAAAAAAAAAAAACAAAAAAAATCAAAAGAACATAACTCGTTACAGCCATAAGCAAATCAGAAAAATACAATTACTTAATGTTGTGATATCCGGAAGCCAGGGTGGAAAGAGGCCTTACGACATTCAACTCAATTCCTACTTTTCCCATGTACGATTTTAGAGCTATCGAATGGTTCTTGAAGTACTCCTTCTCTAGTGTGGTGAGCTTCTCTTGGATTTCAGATGGAAGGTCGAGAAGTTCAAGTCCTACTCTCCACGCCAAATCACGCACAATTTCTGCTCTATTGTACCTGCAGAGCGACCCCAGTTACAGCTATTACTACAAACTGTGAGTCCTGATTTTGTGTTGTCGATAATGAAAGTGAACTCTCACACATAGGCCATGAGGCAGCGCTTGTTTCGGATCAAAGAAAGGTGATGGATTAGTGCTCCATAGTGATCTGCGTTTCTGTTGTTCTGGACATCCAACCCTTCTTGTTGCATTTTCCTGCAAGTGGAAACATCAACCTCAATCAATCAGAAGTAAGTCTTTTCCGGCCCGCATAGATCCTTTTAATATAAAGAAAGAGAGAGAGATAGAAATACCTTATCAAAGACTGGATGAGATGGTGATTCTGGTCACATTCTTCGACAGTCTCATCAAAGAGCTTGCTCTGAAAGCAGAAGAAAAAAAAAATGAAGACTAAATTACTGAGCTAGAGACTAAACCCACAAGCAGAGATAAATCTAAGAGCAAGCGGAAGATGAAAATGAAACCGACCATACGAGCACTAACATCAAAACATTCATCTACGCCTCTTATCTAACAATTTGGCCTAAAATTTCCACCCTAGTTTTCACCCTAGTAATCACGAGGATAAAAGGGCTTCTCCCACCGATCTGTCACAGGATAGCTAAGATTTCCATGACATCGAATCCGAAATCGAAACCAACTGGGGCAACTTCCTAGTATGATTATCATAGACAATCAAGATTCGTCGAGAGCACAGATTTAGATAAGTCGGGAACTTACATTGAAAGGTTTGAGCTGGCCCTTCTCCCCGCTCGCAAAATCTTTCACCAGCTGATATCCTTTTCTCCCGTACATGCTGAATTGGCGGCTGGCTCTCTTTTAGGTTCTGAGATCAGACATATCTAATTCGAGCAATTCATCAAACATCTGGCATGCCGACAAAAAGAAAAGAAAACTGTGCGAATGCAAAGGGATTGTGACTCAAATCCAATCGAATCTAATCGGTAAGAGGATGAAGTTCATCGTTGGTAATATCGCCGATTCACCGGATAAACAAAAACCCTAGATCTATAAACTTACCACTAGACAATTCCGTGGCGGGGATGGATCTGCAACTAAACAGCTCTCGCGGCGGCGATTAATTCCAGAAAATGCTTCTATTGCGACGACACACGAAATCCCATAATTTTTTTAAGGGTTGTGTGGGAATTTTGGCGGGACTCAAAAAAGTTTCAACATTTAGCGCCAGTGTGATGGAAATATTGATTCTTATCATTTACTGTATTTAGCATTTTCTATTCTATTTATCCATAATCAGTCATACTAGTTTCTTCTCGACTCCTATTTATCCACCTTATTCGTATACTCAAACATTGTATCCTGACTTTATCATTTCAAGTTTAATATATTCACATTTTGTTGAGAACAAAAAATCATAATCATTCTTAGAAATATTCGTGAATCATGTGTTATTTGCGAGTGAAACAACAAGAAATTTTTGTGCATTTTTATTGGTCTTTTTCTATCCGACTATACGTCTATACCTATAATGTTTGCTTCTGAAGTTAAGGATGACCAATTTGATTGCCCATAGCACATATGACACCTGTTTTTTATATATTTTTTCATAGGCTGACAAATTCCATAAATAATATACTTATTATCCATTCTTCTTTAGTTTTCTCTCCCAACTTATTAATTATCCATTCTTTTCCATTTAATCATTAGAAGAAAAACAAGGAACGGATTAAAATTTATTAATGGCATACATTATATTCGGTGTTCAATCACTTCCTCGGTTACAATCATCACAATTTCTATAGGAAACAAATTTAGAGTCGTTTTGCTCGCATGCGTACGTTTTTAGCTGGTCAAATCATTTCCAGATTTGTGCATAATTGTTTCGAGATTTGAAAGCATGGGATAATAAGATTCGCGGTGTAGATTTAATTGTGGATTAATTACGATATGGCCACGGAAAATATGTTGTCCATATGAATGGGATGGTCCAGTCATGTAACAAGATATTGCAAAATAATGCACATGTGTTTTATAATTTGAGAAGGCAATATTAGATTCGTTTTTTTTGTGATTCTGTTGTATATTATAAAAAGTCATCATATACCGAGATTAGTAGTAGTTTTATCTTTCAACCAACCAACCAAATTAAATCAGGCATGAACAGCGAGTCAGCAACGATGGATTTCTTTAAGAAAAAATAATAATAATCCATGTTGGACTATGGTTGATAAAATATTAAAATTAGATAACATGTGATGATATGTGAATTTTCAGTGAAATTTGATTTGGTAGATAAGTGGGTAAAGTTTTAAGTTATAATAGATTTGAATTCTCTACACCTACCACCTAAAATTGAAAATCATCGTGTTACTGCCACAATTACCGCCGTTGCTTTGACCGGGTTTTCTCTCCCGTTTAACTAACTACGTAACAAATAAATCAAGAGACGATTACGCATCTAACATGATAATCGCGATAATATTTTTTTTTGATAGAGTAGAAGCAGAAATAACAATAAAATAAAATAAATAAGAAGATGACAAAATGATAATAATTAGAAGTAATTATAAATAGTTAAGATAAAGAGGAGGCAGAAATGGAGAAGTCTGAAACACAATGATGAGCCAATTTTAGCAAACATCCAAAAAGACGACGAAAACAGATCAGTGATCCGAGAGAGAAGAAGACACACCAAAAGCAAAATAATAAATAATAAAAAAAACGGAGGAGGAACAGTTAGCGCCATCCATGGCGGGTCTTCAGAGATCCACCATCTCGTTCCGGCGACAGGGCTCTTCTGGTATAGTCTGGGACGATCGATTCATCGCCGAGCTAAACCAACAGGCCAACGAGCAGAAAGGCGAAACTCATCAGCAATACGACCAACAGGCTAAGCTGATTGCGTCGGAAGGCCAAGAGCCGATAGCCGGAGACGGAGTAATCAAGCCGATCAGAACCGAAGGGGGTTTCGAGAGGAGTCGATCCAACGGCCACCATCGAAACACCGGAAGAGTGTCTCCGGCGGTGGATCCGCCGTCGCCGAGACTGTCTGCGTTTGGGTGCTGCTCTGCTTTCGGGAATAAACCGTCGGCGAAAAAACCGGTTAATCAGAGGAAAAGGCTACCAAAGCAGATCCAGGTAGGAATATTCCCATTTTATCGGCGGCGGATGGATAAGTAAAGTAAAGTGAAGAAGACAAACAAAGATAAGAAACATTAAAAAGAAAGAGTATCAGTATAATACATACATACTGCAAAATGTTATCTTTTTTTTTTTTTTTTTTTTCCCTTTCTATTTTTTTGATTGTGCTTCTCCTTTAATTTCAACTTGTTTGAAGAACTCAGACGATGTTAATATCTGTTTGATTTCGAGTTTTGCCCTTCCTCTTCCACATGGGATTTTCTTTCTGGTTGATGTAAATTAAGTTTCTTTTTCATGAAACAAAACCCAGTCCTGTACAAAAAATGAAAACGACCACTGCTCTGGGGGATTCGCAATCTCTCTCTTTCGATCTTGCAATTTTTCCGAGGAATTCGAGCGCTGGCGGCGGCGGCCAAAGTGGACCTGACAACTCTTCATTCATGTCCAAGTCTTAATTGCTTCGTTTGTGTGATTAAATTATCAGTGTATGTCAAGTCGTTTACGTTAATATTCCTCCGACGAGACGAACGTTAACGGCCACCTCCGCCTTTCACGGCGTCCATATCTTACCCTTTTCTGCTTAGATCAAGCACTTGGCACCACAGTTCCACTTTCATTATCCATTTCAAAACTTTTAGTAACACATTTAATATGGTAAATTATGTCTTCTTTTTTGTTTTTTTTTTTTTTTTAAAAAAACCCACTCTCTATGCTAATATTCTATTTTTCAAAAAAATAATAATTCGTATTTGAGCGAGTCCATCTTCGAATGTTTTACTCGTACATGTTAAAAGACGAGCCTAATTCCTTATTAATTTGTTTGCAAACAGAAAAATCAAAATATACTCCTGGTTTTACGTAAAACGTTATTAGTTATACCGACGATAGTTGTTGTAAATTTTACTTTAGCTGGTTTAATTGACCTACCTCTTGCAATCTATAACCAATTTTTTCCAACTTATAATTATGGGTTTAACCCGGATGATTATACAAATTATTATACCACATATCACAGTCAAACAAACACTTAATTTCTTCTTTGCTTGACAAGTAACAATCTGCAGGACTTGATTCATAGTTTGGGCTGTAGCTCATAACATCGAGCTGTATTAAACATCCCGTTTTTTTTTTTTTTTTTTTGGCTCCCAAAGATTTCGAATTTTCAATTATATGATTGATTACCTACATTAATCAATCAATGAATTATCTAATGGAAAAGGTCAGAGAGCGTCATTACTAAAACCCTGAAATATATAGAAGCTTTTCTTGCTTTGTATCTTTTTCTTTCGGGCTAAACATAACGTCAATTCACCATCACTACTACAGTCAGGAAAAATTAATTTCGAAGGTAGAAGAGGGGAATCTTAGATCCTTAATTCCTATTTCGAATTGATTATAAATAGACTGTTTACTTTAGAGTTGTCTTGTACGTGCCCACCTCATCTTTACGAAATATTTTGGGTTTAAAGTTTACTTATATAACAAAATCATTAACCAACTTGGATTGGATCTCTAGCAAACATCACGCGAAATCATGAGTTATTCATGCAATGTAGTGGTGCCCAATCGTTTCTTGTTACTAGTCGTAGTAGTATTATCACTCGCTCTGACCGCAAACGCGAATTATTTCGAATCGCTCCTCGAGCTACCGCGAAGACAGTCGCGCTCGACCCGACCTAGATCCGAACGGGTCCTCCACGTCGGCCATTTCGGAGCAAAAGGCAATGGCTTCGACGACGACACCAAAGTAACACATCGCTAATAAGAAATCTTTAATTCTTCCCGATATTTAGGAAATCCAAAAAAAAATCTGGGCATTTTGCTTTTTCTGCTCTCGCGTCTGCCAAATCCGACCAAGAATTAGGAAAACAGACAGCTTGTGTGTGTGTGTGTGTCGGATGATAATTGTTGTAAAATGGTACGCAGGCGTTTGCAGATGCTTGGAAGGCAGCTTGTTCGTCTAAATCCAAAACCAGAATCTTGGTCCCAGAAAACTGTTCTTGTCTTGTTCGGCCCATTGATCTCTCGGGACCTTGTAAAGCAAGACTCACTCTTCAGGTAGGTCAAGCAAGCTTCCACAGGTCTTGTGAGGATATAATTTTGTTGTTTTTTCCAGTCAGATTGTTCTATTTCGTTTAATATTGCCTTTGTCTACTGTTTGCACAATAGATCTCTGGTACAATCATTGCTCCGGATGACCCAGATGCTTGGGAAGGTCTAAACCTTCGGAAATGGATATACTTCCATGGCGTGAGCCGCTTTACCGTCGAAGGAGGCGGCACTGTAAATGGAATGGGGCAAGAATGGTGGAGAAGTTCTTGCAAACACAATCATTCCAATGTAAGTTTATATGCCTCTCTTTCTTTCTTTTTTTTTTCCCCCCAGTACTTTGCTGTCTTGTCTTCAGAAGTTAAAAAGATTCTCCTTTTTGCAGCCTTGTCGAGGAGCCCCAACGGTAAGCAGAAATCATCCAACTAGTTACTTATCTATTGGTTTGGTCACTGTTTATGCAAGTGAAACTCTGTTCCTTGTAGGCCTTAACATTCCACAAGTGCAAGAATCTGAGAGTTGAAAACCTCAGTGTGATCGATAGTCAGCAGATGCACATTGCCTTCACTAGCTGTCGACGTGTGACCATCTCTGGTCTAAAGGTCATAGCTCCCGCCTCTAGTCCCAATACCGATGGAATTCATATTAGCGCCTCTCGTGGTATCGTGATAGACAACACCACGGTCCGTACAGGTCAGTGTGCTCTCTACTTTTAAGCAGACCTTGAAAAAATCTAGTATCCTCTCTCAGTGTTTGATTATTGACATCTGTTTGTGTAGGAGATGATTGTGTTTCCATAGTTAAAAACTCTTCACAGATCTCCATCAGCAACATTGTATGTGGTCCTGGCCATGGCATAAGGTTAACTAAAGCCAGACAACAAAACAAACAGTGGCCGCAGACAAAAAGCATCATCTAAGTTAGTTATTCTTTGTTTTTTATTTTTATTTTTGTTGTGGGTAGCATCGGAAGCATTGGAAAATCAAAATCTTGGGAAGAAGTCAAAGACGTGACGGTTGATACGGCCTTCATATCTGACACTGCGAATGGTGTTCGGATCAAAACGTGGCAGGTGATTTCATCATATCAAAGTTTCAGTTCCACTTGCTGAGATTAAAAACAAGTATATATAACTTTGAGGTTTGCTCATTCTTATTTTAAGCAGGGAGGAAATGGTTTGGTCTCAAAAATCATCTTTAGGAACATCAATATGAAAAATGTGTCCAACCCCATTATCATCGATCAGTATTACTGCGATTCCCGGAAGCCGTGTGCGAATCAGGTAAAGATATTTGTGCTATTTCTTTCTTCAGTACGCAGCTCAGATATTGAACCTGATATCTGTTATACAAACTAATTTTTAAAAAAATGAAAAAAATGTAGACATCAGCTGTTACCATCGAGAAAATCTCATTTGTTCACGTGGTGGGAACTTCAGCATCAAAACAAGCAATCAAGATCTCTTGCAGCGATACTTCACCATGTCGCAATATACATCTACAAGACATTGATCTTGAACCATCGAACGATGATGGTTTCACAGAGTCCTTCTGCTGGGAAGCTTATGGTTCTAGTTCGGGTCAAGTATACCCTCCTCCTTGCCTCTCAGATGAGACAAGCTTCTTAGAACAGTCGGTCCACTCTGGGATCACATCTGTATCATACCTTTGAAGTCATGTTTTCACATTGCAAATCTACCACGCATACGCCAAAATGATTGAATTTTCACGTTTTAGCAAATTCAGTTCATCAATCTATCGCCTTATGGTCGAGCTTCTCTTGTGAATCCTGGGGATCTCCACTCAACTTATTGAAGAATGTAAAGCAAATTACAGCTCAAAAGTTTTACCAAAACGAAACGTATGTAATTTACCAAAACTATGAGAATGTATGTAATAAACAAAAAGAGAGGGTACATCTGCAATAAACAAAATTTTAAGGAAACATTTGTAAAAGGAAAAAACGGCCCGTATTCACAAATTATTAAACAAAAAAAATAATCAGTGAGGAAGGGGCATCGGAACAGCGAAAACGACCGTCGAGGACGATGCCTTTCGGTGGCTAATCTGCTTCTAGTGTCCCTATAAGCTTCTTCTAGCCTATGAATAATCTAATCCAATTGTTAGGTCAGATTTTATGTATGCCTTTCCTTTTTCAAAAGGAACCTATGGATTTGATGCTTAATTTCCTCTTTAATTGGATTGGAAACGTATCCCTTATATATTTGATCCAGAGGATATATTTATTATCAGATCTTTATAAAGAAAATGGAAGCGGAAGTTGCATTATTCATTAATTAATTGATTATTATTTTGTTAACACTTTTAGATTTTAAGTGGATAAGTGATGAAAGGATAATATGATTTTACTTGGACCAGGACATACAGCATTTTAGCGCTATTTTATCTAAACGTCCAAATTCAACTTTCGATCTCTTGTTAGTTATTCCTTCCTAAAACATTAAAGTTAATTCCGTAGAGATAAAAGAAAGACTTGGTTACAATAAAGAGGGATAAAAAAAAAGGCATAGGGGATCTAGCAAGCAATCACACAATACATCAATCCTATAAATACATCACCCAAGTATCAAATTCCCTTAAACACAAAACACACACAAAAAAAAAAAAAAAAAACAGAGGAAGATGAGCTCTGTACAACAACTATCTGTGCGCTGTACCAACAACAAGGTTATTACAGAAAAGAGAAGAACGGTGACAATACCTTCAAATGGCAATAAGATAGAGAGCAAGCAGACGATCCATCATGACGTCGACAAATGCGCCGAAGCTTTCATCCAGAACTTCCGACGACAGCTTCTTCTCCAGTGCGATACCATCCTCCCCGGAGCCAGAGGAGGTCTTTGATGTATATATATACTCTTAGTATTAACACTTACATATAAAAGGATTACGTCTCATGTGCGGTTTCAGTTGTTTGATAACATGTCTAAATTAAAATTACCACAAATTTTATAAGGAAACAAGAAAAGAAAGCTTTGGTTTCTCAACTAATAGATGAATGGGAGAGAGACTAGAGCGAAGCAAATGCTCATTTTCCCACTTGATGAATAATGAATCACATCAACCTCACTCTTTATTACACGCAATCTACTAATTAACACACAAATCCAAAAGAGACAAATTAATTAAGACGTCACACGTGACGCAATATCCGTGGTGTGCGTTTGGACCAATTAAACAAGTAACAGAGGAACTAGGGGAGGATCTGAGGAGTAGGCTGGACGAGCTGGTGGATATTGAGGCGAGAGCAAGAGCGAGCCATCTCTCCTGCAAGAGGCACAACGGGGAGGCTATCGCAGTTGCAGATCTCTATCATGAAGCCGTCAGGATCGTGGAAGAAGAGTTGGTCCACTTGGATTCCTCCTTCTTCTACTACTGCTCTCACATTCTCTATTTCCATTTCCTTTAGCTTCTTCTCCACCGCTTCCATGTTTTCGCACTGCATCCACACATACACACTCAGAGATGCTTCTATCAAATTTGTCGGTGTTACTAACAAACCCTCTTACTATATCCCCACAAACCTTTCGCTTTATTTTTTGGCACTCATACTTACTAACAAAATCTCTACAAGCGCAAACAATTCATGCTAAACTCCATCTCAAATTAAGAACTTGGTGAGCTACAACTGATACAAACTATAGATGTATAATCTGAAACTCTCAATTTATATGAACTCTGAATGAGATTGAAGCGAGATTGGACCCTACTAGAGCTTGTTTTGTACAATTTATTACATAAGCTGAGCCGAGTGCACAAGGGTTAGTGAGCCTTGTATGTAAAAAAGTATGGGGGTTAAAATGAAAATAAGTAAGAAAAGGAGGTACCTGGAAAGAAATGTGATTATCCTTGGGATTAATCTCTGTTTTTTTCAGTAATTTCTCAGGTTCAGGAGATTGCAGAAGGTGAATCCCAATTCCATGACCAAACAACCTACTCACACACACACACACAAAATAGAATAGAGATAATTCAAAAATTCAAAAAGAAAAGAAAAGAAAAAAAAAAGATAAAAAAGAGAGGTACCAAGCGCCATCGAAATCAAAAGAGCCTGGTCTCCGAATCGGGAGAAACCCTAAAACATTCTGGTAAAAGCTCATGGATTCCTCGACGGATCGACATAGGAGAGAGATGTGATTCAGCGACTTGATGTGGAGAGGGTTTCCCGTAGTTTCCTTCATTTTTTTTTTCTTTTTTTCCCGAGAAAACAGAGAGAATGTAGATTATCTATCCAATAACAACAACAGCCTTGGAAATTCGAATCCGAAATAGATGGCGTCGCCGTTAATAATTGAACAAGGTTCGTTTAAGGAAGGCCATTGATTATATAATAGGATGCTGTATGTATATACGTACACGTGTGTGTGCGTATATATATGTATATGTGTCGTGATCGAGTAACGCACGGAACTTGATCATATTGATGGCGATGATGCCTATGTTTATATCATTATCGTCGTCGATATCATGCCTTTTTTTTTTTTTTGAATTTAGAAGCGATATTCAAAAAACATGACATCGATCGTCTCTTTTTATTCAACTTTGGACCTACATCTACAATTTCAAAAAAATTTCAACCATAAACACACGACAATCGAGTTTAATGCCTTGTCCTTTAAGATTCGGAGCCCCTGGTTTTTCTTCTAAAACAGAAACAGTTTCAAGAGTTTTTTTTTTCCTTCTCATTTCTGACATTAACAAATTCAAAACTACACTGCTATCATTTACGCCACAAATCTACCGTTAAAGTTACACATGCGACAAATCACACACCAAATGAACTTTTGTTTGCTTTCTCATTTGTGGGCTCAACAGTTGGAGTGTATTTTATTGTCACAACGAACAGAATATTAATTTCTCCAACGTTACACAGACTGTGGGTCATCTAAATCAATGACGACAAAACAAAACTTGCCTCTTGTTCTTCTTTTCTCCTGTTGTCTAAGCTTCCTACTGTAGCAGGAACGTCGATGAATGTTGATATGAAAATCGCCTTTCTTTTGGCCAGAATAAGATGTTTTTTTCCAAGAAGCTTTTCATCGTCTGAGCCAAGTGCAGACGGTTTCTCCAGCACAAGGCAAAAGATTGGTCACAACTTTGCGTAGGCCAAACTGCTCTCGAGCTGAAATCAAAAGAGGACATAAGTTCTTGCAAAAAATAGCACAACAGCTAACATCTGTACAAAGCAAAACTTAGATAGTGGAGACATCCATGACTTACTGCGCATTCACTTGAGTTTTCAGTTCATCCTCAGCTTTTATTATCATAGAAGAACAAATAGTCGAATCCGTTAAGAACAAGTTAGTGTGTCTCCTAATATGGGGCCACATCCAATTTCCAGTTCCACCACAACTATACAAAAGAAACTCAGGAAAAAGAAATAAAGAATCCTTTGGCCGCTTTCTCGTGTAAATGTAGCAAATTTGTTCCACTTCATGTAATCATTACAAAATGGACTTCAGGGAGACCAACTGTTCTTTTCTGAAAGGAGGGACTCGTTTGTGAATTAACGCCATGATCAACTTAGCCTGATCAAGCTGCCCCTTTTGAACAAGCCCGTTGAGCAACATGCCAACTGTGTCCAAGTTCGGGTACCACTTCTTTCTCATACAATCCTTACACATCGTATAAGCCAAGTCAAACTTTTTTGCCTTACACAAATAGTGGATCATCGTCTGGTAGATCTTCTCATTGGGTTTGTAACCCTGACCATGCATTGCTGTATAAACCCTTTCTGCCATCTCAGGGAACCCAGCAAGAAAAAACCCTTTGATAACCATGTTATATGTTACGCTGTCCGGTTCCATCTGGAGTTTTGGCATCAACATCAACAGATCATTTGCATCCCAAGCTCGTCTCCGATTCACTAAAAACTGAATCCTAACATTAAAGGTGGTGAGATTAGGCCTACATCCCTTGAGGACCATAAGGTTCCAGAGTCCATTTCCGATCACATACATATCGTGCTTGTAAAACGCAGATATAAGTGTAGTATATGTAACTACGTCTGGTTTCACCCCTGATTTCTCCATCTCCATCATTGCCAGATACGCCCTGTCAAGAAAACCCATCTCACAGGCAGATTTAATGACAATGTTGAAAGAAACGGCGTCAATTTCAACCCCATACTTGGAAGGGACATCGCGAAGGAAGTCCTGGATGGCGTGCAGATCCGGTTTCAAAGTCAAGACTTTAAGTGTGGCATTGAAGGATTTAACAGTCCTCTTGCACCCGTATGAATCCATATCATAGAAAGTATCAAGTGCGTGCTTCGTCATTCCAGCCTTGCCATATAACATTATAATCCTAACAATGAAGCCCTCGCGCCGACCTTGTCGAAGTGTCTTCTGATGCTCAAGAAGATCCTCGATGAAATCAAAGCGACGTGCCCCAGCTAATCTAGAAACCGTATCTTCAAAAGCAAATCGATTTTCAATCACCAGCTGGTTGGTGGCATTAGCTTTAAAGAGCTTGAATAGCTTCTCAGGGTCTCGCTCAGATTTAAGCTTGACGAGGGCAGGTTCCTCGAGCGGTTTCAAACCTTGGCTCAGATTGGATTCTGTCGGGATATGGGCGCTCCCAGTGGCTATAAAGGAAGAAGAATGGCAGAATCTGCGAATGGGTCGCAGAGATAGCATGATCCAGGGCCTCCCTCGAGCCTAAACATGCCCGTATAGTGAACCCGATAGCATGTACGTTATTTAATTTCTTCCCCCTCCACAAATCTCCAGCCTTTGCAATTAGTAAGATCTACAAGCTAATCATTCCCTCAGGAAGCAATACCAAGCTGAGATGAATTTTTAGGAAAGATAAAAAAAGGAAATTCCACAAATACGGAGAGATTTGCAACGAGAGCGAAGATTTAATCAAACCCTCTCGACATCCATCTACCTCAATCGAGAATACCTAAAATGCGATTCTACAACAGCCATATCCAAAAAAGTCGCGATAACAGCGAATATGATAACTTCAACCCAGCTGGTTATGATCCCAAGCCGGAGCAGCGACCGGAAAAGGAGAGATTTTTACGATCTGAGAAGCTCTGAGATGGAGATTACCAGACATACGGAGGAGGTTTAAGGTTTTAGGTTTTTTGGACAAGGAAAAAAACAAACAATTTCAGTGGGCTCTAACATCTTCTTATTTGGGGCTTATATTGTCGGCCTTTTTAACGTAGAGATTCTTGTTTATTTCAGTATGACCCCTTTAACTCCAAATGTATTTTCAATTTACTACCAAACTTACACAAATTGGTTAAGACACTACACACTACATACATACATATGCTAGTTAAAGACAAGAGGAGGGTCGGACGATGCCTTGGGCTGAGCCTAGAACAAAGGAGCAGAGAGAGGAAAGAGAATCAATTCCAATGGCCGGAGACAAGTCAATGTCTCTCATGAAAACGTTGCTACATGGAACACTCTCCCCTGAACACTCAAGCTTCATCGCCACCTTTGTCGCCGATGTTCCACTCATTTTCATGTATCTCACTTTCTCTATGTGAACTGCCTTCCTCTGAGAGTGGTAATTCCATCAGCTCATGAGTCATGTTTTTTTGTAACTTAAAATAAAGAAGAAGAAGAAGAAGAGAAACAAGATATGTACTTACAGTCTCAGCGCATTTAGACACACAACCGTAGAACTGATCAATGATGATGGGGTTTTGTACGGCGGAGAAACGAATGTCAAAGAATTCGATTCCTCGGACGTAACCAGTTCCCCCGGGCCATGTCTTGATTCGAGCTCCGTTAGTTGTTCCCGTGAAGTTGACGTGCCACACACGTATGTCTTCCACTGCTACATTTGTTCCTCCTCTTCCTAAACTCCCAATGCTGTCTCACATTTCTCATTAGTTTTTTTTTTTCCTTTTCTAATTTATTTATTTAGATTGACAAGAAAATTAAGTGCGATGCGGATCATGGAGATTTATTATTACCTCACACCATGTCCAGGTCCGCAGTTCACAAATGTAACATTCACATTATTCACTTGATCTCCGATCGACACACAATCATCACCTATATATTTAATTGCGAAACAAACAAAAAAAAACCACCAAGTTAAGCAGCATTTTAATTAGTCTTTATTCTTTCTCGTGTCTATGAAAATCATGGTTATTGGTATATATGGCTAATTAATGAAGAAAATAAAACTACCAGTGGCGATGTCGGAATGAGTAATAGAAACGGCGGAAGAAGATGTGATGTGTACACCATCGGTATTAGGGCTAGCCTCCGGTGATGCTATTTTGATGTCATTGATGTTCACATTTTGGCTTCCCATCACAAGAACATGTGCTTGTGCACTGTTTCTGAATCTCAAACTCGTCAATGTTACACTTCCGCAATTGCTAAATGTCATCATCTGCGGGAATAAAAAATGTCATTCACACCCACTAGTTAATCAAACAAAACACACATCCCTCCAAGTTGTATTTATTTTGTTTTCTTTTAACAAAAATAAAAAATAAAAAACTTACCGTTGGTGCAAGCCAGATGCAATTCTGAAAACATATTACGTAGAGATGATTTAGTTAGAATAATAATATAATCCAAAAAAAGGGTTGAAGAAAGGAGATATAATAATAAACAGATATACAGGTCCGGGATGGTCTCTACAGTGAATGTCCCACCATCCTTTGCCTTGGCCGTCCAACAAGCCACGTCCTGAGATCACAAGTCCCTCCACTTGATCGAATATGAGCCATGGTATTACCCCGTTCTCCCCTTTTTGCCATTTCTTTGGATCGCTCTGTGCTATCACTTCTCCATCGACCTATATCATTTTGAAAAAGAAAAAGAAAAAAACATTTTGATGCTGGTTTATGGATTATTCATGTAATAATATTAACTAAATGTAGAGTGAAGAAGGGGTTTACAGTGAAAAGGAGAGGTTTGAGTGTGCAAGGACCAGTGAAGTGAAGAGAGTTGAGCAGGAACACCTTCCCTGCTGGTACATATACCCTTGCCATTTTGGAACTTCCTTTACAAGCATTGTCCCAAGCCTTTTCGAACGCCTTGTTTTTTTTGTTGACAAAACATGTCCAAATTAAAAGATGTTAACTAGTGTAAGTTAAAACACTTCATAATTAAGAGCTTCTTGCATGTGATAGATAAGTACTTACAGATGTATCATCTGCAAGTCCATCCCCAACCGCTCCATATTTCATCACCGATTCACCATAGCTTAACCCGGGAATTCCTAAAATTGCAACGAATAGGATCAAAATAGGTTCCTGCGAAATTCGTACGAAAATAGGATTAGTTTCTCAAACAAGGTTTCACGTTAGTAGAGAGAGAGTCAAAGAGTCTCACCATTTTGACCAGAAGTGGATCGTTCTAAGGGGAGAGTTGAATATTTTTGATTAATTTCAGAACGTGTGCAGCACAGTATATAAGCACACAACACAAAGGGACACAAGGGATTAATTCAGGCCTCACATTGATTATACATAACAGGATTGGATACAAATGCATGCATTCTGTTTGGTTTCTAAAACTTTTTAATTATCTATTTATTATGGATATGTGCCGTAAGATCATCAATCTAAGGATTCTCTGTATGTAATTAATAATTTGTATCAGTAGGGATCATATTGCCTTGTGTTCCCTCTGCTTTTAATATCGAGAGCCATCGAAGGCTATTAATCTCCTTAGAGCATCTCCAACAAGATCCCTTATTTTAAAGGGAACTGAATCTCAAAATAAAGGTTTAAGGGTGTATTGCTCCAGCAAAAACCCTTAAATTTATCTTTAAAAGTATTTGAATATTACATACTAGTCCTCAACATAAACAATAATTAAATAAAGTGAATTAAAGTTTAATGTATTTATTTATTTTAATATATAACAGCTAAATTTATAATGATATTTGAAATGTTTTTGACATATCTAATTACGTGGACTAAAGTAAAAAAAAAGACAAAATTTATTTGATTATTTGTAAGATATATGAATTATAAGGATTAAAATGAAAAGTAAAAAGTTTTTTAAGGGGCTGAACAGTGCCTCTTATATTTGAGGGATCACTGTTCAACCCTTTAAAAAATAAGGGTTTAAGAGTCTGTTGGAGACTAAATCTCCTTCAAAAAATAAGGGTTTATAAGTCTGTTGGAGATGGTTTTGAGTCATTTTACGCTTTTTGAATTGTAAACCCTAAACCCCCACTTTCGTGATTACTTGTTAAAGGAAACAAAATCTTAAGGGGGCGTTTCTTGTAATTTAGAAATTACTATTACAAATTTGACAAACTTCAAATGATGTGATGATATTGACTTGCTCTGTTCTGTCTTATCACATAGTATATGTGATCCATGACTCAAGAACCATTACCCACATTTTTTACATTGCTTTTTGAATGATTCAATCCAAGAATAAGAGCAAAAAAAAAAAAAAAAGACTAGGGATTCACAGAAGGCGATAGAACATTATCTTTCTCAATCAAGGGAATTAAACTGGAAACAAGTAGGCTCGCAACTCTTGAGTAGAAGAATTTCTCCTGATCAGCTGCCAGATTAATATTCAGTAGGAGGTTTCAATCTTATGAGTCTCTTGATCCTGTCTTTGTCTGTGTTCTCCACAAGTCCCTGCACCAACACGACCTTGGTTATTCAATTCTGAAGCAGTCCAATGAAATTACACCAATCTTTGGTGGTCTGATAACCTTCCAGACGATTTCATCAAGACACAAACATATCCTTCCATATTTATCCAAAAAGAGTCTCTCCGTTGGAGGTTTCCCACATACATCTTTGACAGCAGCGGTGATGATAAAGAACGCTTCTGCCACTTTTATGATGAGATCCGACAGCCAGAAAAATAAATGATTCAAATACCGAATCCCCAAAAACTAGATATGTAAAAGTCCTCTCAAAGTACAAGAGTTATATAATATAACTTACAAGCAAGTTCACCATACTCATCTTTGCCAACAAGGAAGATGCTAACATCACCTAGCACTGTGTACACTATATAAACTGACCTGCACAAAAATCCCCCTCAGATCAATTGCAAGAAATATACCACTAGAAGAATCGAGATCAAAATCTTAGAGCTCTGGTTTTAATCTTTAAGAAACATACTTGTGACAAGCAACAAGGAGCTTCTCGTTTTTAACGCCTATGAGATTCTCTGCTCCCAGCTTCACCAAGAAACATCTCCAGTGCAGCCGTTCCTCAACTGGTACCCCATTGAATCTGCCAGGGCAGCTTTTCAGTTGGTGTACTAACACTTGTGAGGATCATGTTAAGACTGGACAAGACGAATAGTGTTTATCGATGAATATTAAGAAGAATGTCCACAGAGGCCACAGGGATAACATGTGTTGTTGGTCAGCGAGCGTACTAGGGGCACAACGCAAAATTTGGTAAAAGCTAACAAAAGACGAGGCTATTGGAGGATTCAGAGGTTCAGACCAAGACATTCTCAAAATGCATCCCAAACATAAGCCTTTGACAGGAATCAATTCGCCAAGACATTACATTTGTGAATCTGTTTTTTCATCTCCAGTTTATAAAAAAAAAAAAAAAAGGAGGGAGCTTTGGTTTCGGTTACGGTTCCAAAATTTCCATTCATATCAGAGACAGCAGTATATAAATAACTCCACTGAAACGATAAAAATATAATAAGATCGACTGTAGAGCGTGAAGATCCATATCGAAAAATAAATAGAATCGGAACAACCCTACGGAATCAACCATAAAAGAAAAAATCCAAACTTTCTTCCGAACAGAACAATCGGAGGAGGGCATACCTTTCGATCAAGACATTCCCTACGGAATTGGCGAAGAGAACCGCAAGGATCATTTGCTTATTAATTAACTGTTTTCTTTTCTTTTGGGATGTTTGACGGACGATTATTTTCTTTGCAATCAAAAAAATCGGACCGCTACAAGAAAATCTACAGAGTGTCACGTGTGACGACACCATTGGCTACATAATCATCTCATAATATATTCTGTTTCTTCTTTTAAATCATTTTCCTTTTAAATATCGTTTTCACTTTTCACATATTTATTTCATTCATCATATACACTGTCGACAGTCGACCAAAAAATAAATATGTTCAAGGTTGATCAGTTTTGGATTAAAAAAGGTTGAAACATTCTAGATGAAGAGGAATATATATTTTTATTGTTACGGAACTGGGAATAAGAAGAGATCACGAGAGTTAATTAAGATCATGGTTAAGTCAACAGCAACGTTTGTCCCAAAGTAGACTTGGGGATTCTCCGACAAATCTTAGCTCTGTTCGATTGATTGGCCGTCATTTGGGCCAATTGGCATCCTTGGACATGTCTCTTGTCTCCTCTTCCCACTTTACACCGTCGTTTCCATCGATGACCATTCTTACTGCTCTCAATTAAATTTTGACACCTTCTCAAACTAATGTTCAATGGCTACATATGTCAACCAAAACATGCACGTATAATTATAACCACATACACCAACTAAAAGAACATACATTGTCATTGTGACTTTAACAAATTAGTGTCTCATACTACATTTTTCTCCAATGGCGAGACTGTTTTCATTCATGACGGAACCCTTTAGTTTTCTTTTCTTTTCTTTTCTTTTCTTTTAAAATCAAAATCATACATAAAACTGATTAAATCAAAGGAGAAGTAAAACTTGCTTCTCTTTTCAATCTTTGTTGTAAATAGCTAGGCTCCTACATGATGGATGGAACAATAATATTTTGGCGTAAATAGGAAAAAAAATTAGCTAACATGCTGATATGCATTAGAAAAAACCCATGCTGGCTAGATATAGGATTTCATAAGCATCTTCTTAATAAAGAAATCCTGACGAATTTATGATTTTGCCAACAATGTACTAATTCTTTCTTTTTGACACCTCTCACAAAGATTTTGATGAAGAGATCACGAATTACTGCGGGATAATATATAGAGAATGTGGCCACCAAGCTATTGTGGTGGATTTTCTTCTATTGGATTTTTGTTTAAATTAAAGTATCTTGTGAAGTTGTGATCGATCGGAAACCTTAATTTTTTTAACTGGGATGTGTAGTAGTTATGTGACTGGTCCTAATTTGTATGGCTATCAATTCTTTTTCATCCAATTATATATATAAACGTGTTTCTAATTAAAAGTAATTTACGATCGACATTATATGCAAACATACGGCCGAGCCGGCCAATTAACAAAAAAGGGGACATGCTCTTTTCCCATGCAAATGTCTATGGCTATGGTGTATCCACCATATATGTGTATTTATATATGCACCAAACTGTGTGTATGCTGGACGAGTTTGTTGTATATATACCAAAGCATTTGTATATGCTATATAACTCTGGCTTTATGTTTTAAGAAAAAGTGAAGATATGGTCTCTTCAAAAAAATACAAACGATTTGGTTTATTTGGAGCTGCATTTTTCATTGTCAACATATTCTATCTCCTATCTCTTCACAGCATTGTATCTGGTATATATATCAAAAGCCCTGAAGTTTATCGCCCACTTAACTAGCTAGTTGCAAAAAAAGTTTCTCATTAATTTATAAACTATTCTCTGATTTGTATGTACATATAAGCAGGGGCTCATGATCATCAACTGAAAAGGAAGGAATCGGTTCTGGGTTCAGAGCCTCCGGTGTGTGCAAAAAAGTGTCTGAATTGCAAGCCTTGCCTTCCTTATCTGTTTGACATTCATGATGGTGCCCATAATGATGATGATGATGATAGTGAACCATATTATCCGGTAAGATGGATGTGTAGATGTCGAGACCAACTATTTGAACCTCAAGAATAGTATCTATATATTTAATGCATGTGTTGTGTTGCTTCTCATCATGGACGTTCATGATGATGCATGAATGATGGTATATATCATGATGATGGTTCGTGGTTAATTTTTGGGAGTAGACTCTTATAATATGTAAACATTTACTCGTCTCTTCGCATGATGTATTCACTGATAATGATGACTAGTTTTAAAAAAGGGAAAAAAAAAACAAGAATTGATGATGTGTTTGACGGCATATATATAATGTCTGTATGCTGAATAACGCACCACCTTTCAATTGCGTGACACATAATTTTGGGACTGAAGTTTAATGGGCCTACAAAGAGCAGCAGTAATAGAAAAATGAGAGAATATGGGCATACAATACTAATTAGCGTAAAAGCTCGAGACTCCAGTAACGAAGACCTTCTCTCAAGTCAAACCTCATTTCCCACCGTACGTTCTGGCTACCTGTTTGCATGTTTAGATAGCGACCGTCTAATCAAATATCGCATCCTATGTATATATTTTTGAATAACTCGACTGCCGGCGTCTCCGCAAAATATTATCGAACCTTTCAACTTCATGCACAACATATCCTACCGATTCCTTATGTTCCTGTTGTCAAATTATCCACATTATATATATATATATATATATATATATATATATATATATAAAACCAATCAGATTCATTATTTACCACCTCTAAAAAAATGGTCGGAATCTTATATGTACATAGATAGTGGATCAATTAATATTATGCACGTATGTTTTTATCCTCAAAGCTTCAAAAGAAACCCTAAAAAACGTTATAATTATCTACTAAATACATTTAATGTGACAAAAGAAACAGCTCCTGCCAAATGATAAAAAGCATACATAAGAATAAGAGAGATGATGACTGTGAAGCAACTCATCTCTCACCGCTTGCCGAGTTGCCGTATAACGTCCCAATTCGTCAGCTAAAGTCTAAAACGTGTCGCTCATTGTCTCGATCTGAGATAACACTGTAGCTGACAGTTACGTCTAAGGTTTGTCTCTATCTCATTCTTCACTAAGCACCGTCCGTTTATCTGTAAGAAACTATTATGTACTGACATGTGGGTGAAAATTTGGGTCCCACATTTATCGATGTCAACGTGTCAAAGCATCAGAGGCCAAGGGTTTTTATGCGATCTTTATCTATCAACCTATGGTCCCCGTTCACATTGTTTTTCTTTTGGCTGGTATCGACTGAGACCAATAATATATACACTTATCTTTACGGTCTAAATTAACTATGCGGCTTACCATTATATAAAGACCCTAAGCCAGCTAGTAGACTAGCAATTATACGTTATCAAGAGACTCATCGGTGGGTTTCGCTTAATGGAGTTTTTAATATAAAAAGTATATTTTGTAATAATTAATTAACCGAGAGCTAGCGATCATCATCATGTTATTGAGAAGCACATCTGCTCCGATACTGAGCTCGTGGCTTCCACAACACTGCACGAGAGAGTCTTCTCCGGAGCCCGAGTCACAGCTCCAGCGCCGACACAGATCGTTGTGTCTTCTCTCATCAAAGTCCATAGATGAACACACGCATGGGGAGCTGTTGCACAAACCGCTCTCTGATAACAATAAGCAGGATAGTGTTATCGAATCAAGAGACAACGACAGCAAAAACGTAATACCTCGCAGGCAACGCAGGTCATCGTTAGATGAAATTCCCCGTGGAACAGCCTACGGTAGAAAGATTTCGGATCCGTCGTCGACTATTTTTATGGAAAGGCTCTTCTCGAGCTCTGGACTGGGAGAGAAGGTCCGTGATGATGATCATCATCATCATGATCTGGACACTCTCGCGAGTGGTGGTGGTGGCGGTATGGGAAGCAGCGGCGGTAAGAGATGCAACGGCGGTGGTGTCGGTGGAAGCGATGTTGACGGCGGTGGAAGTGAGGACGCCACCGATACGTATTACCGGGAGATCATCGACTTAAATCCTGGAAACTCGCTTTTTACCGCAAACTACGCCAAGTTCTTGAAAGAGGTACGTACGTATAATACCTAAGTTAGAGTATAGTTTCGGTCAACTAAGAAATTGAAAATCTTGATTAGCCGTTTTTCGGTTTCTTCTTTGTTAATTTATTATTGGGATATTTGATACAAGATATTTTAGTAGAAAAACCCATCCACGTGTGAAGTTTGTATTGCATGGATGTTTGTGACTTTTTTGGTATCGAGAATTAATAATACTACCCAACGAACAAAAATTGTCCAGAGAATTTTCATAGTTTTAGTTTCAGGGAAACGCGTAAATAAGTGGAAATGATATTTTTGATGGGAAATTAATATTTCTATGTGTATATGAACAGGTAAGAGGAGACATGAAGAAAGCAGAAGAGTATTGTGAAAGAGCAATTTTAGGGAACACCAACGATGGAATCGTTCTCTCGCTATACGCCGATCTCATTTTGCAAAACCACGGAGATCGTAAAAGAGCCGACTCCTATTTCCAACAGGCTGCCAAATTGTCCCCAGAAGACTGGTAATTTTTGCAGATTTACTCTATAGTATTAATATTTCACAAACTAATGACAGTCAGTACTACATAGTATATGATAACAATATTGCAATAATGGTGCAGCTATGTGCAAGCTTCATACGCAAGGTTTCTGTGGGATGTGGAAGAGGAGGAAGAAGAAGGAGAAGAAAATTATGAAGAAAAAGAAGAAGAGGAACAAGTGCAAAGGAGTGATGAAATTGGCCATATGCCTCCAAGTATCATGTTCCGTGATTTTCACCAACACACTCCTACTACCACACCATCCTAAACACACATATAGACACCTTCCTCTTATATATTTATTATTACTACGTTAATAAATTAGTTAAACATAACTTTAACACACAAAAAAAGATAAATATGATATGCATGTTTAATACATATAATACAAATGCAATATCTGAAAATGTTCAAAATTCTCGTGATGGTCAAGTGTTGAGGTGGCAACTTTTTTTTCAGAAAGTAAAAAACTTTCATTCCATTTATTCTTTTATTGATAATGTTCGTTCCAGTTTAGTCCAGAGGAGTTATTAATACATCAACTCCGTATAAATGACTTTGACACAATGCTCTATCACTATGTTATTTCTTAATCTCCCATAGATTTGGAGTATTATTGTTAATCAACCGTTATATGGCAGGTCTATGGAGAGAGAAAATAGATAGATATGACCGTGAGACCTTTTATGTGTAATAATTAAGCTTCATACTATTCTGACTAATGTGTAAAAACTTTTGAACTCGTTTTCGAGATATACACTTGTAAGGTGTAACTTTTAATTTGCCTAACTCACCAACAAAAGAAAAATAAAGTCGACAAAATATATTTATCTCCAACTAACTCCTTTATGTGTAATAATTAAGCTTCATACTATTCTGATTTCTGACTGATGTGTAAAAACTTTTGAACTCGTTCGAGATATACAACTTGTAACTTTTTGCCTAACTCACCAAGAAAAGAAAAATTAAGTCGACAAAATATATTTATCTCCAACTAACTCCTTTCTTAAAAATTAAACCATTTTATTTTGTAAGTTCGTTTGATTAATCTATTTCTTAAGTTAAAAAAAACCCATTATATTTTGTCCTGAAAATAAACTGCTAGCTGTAATCGAGAAATTCAAACCAAATCACAGAAAGGGACAGAGAGGAAAATATTTGTCGAAATCGTTTCTTTCAAGCCGACAGAAACTCACAACTAGATTAATAATTATTCTTTCCACTCGGTTTTGCTTCCCACCAAAAAAAAAAGAGGAGAAAAAAAGAAATCAGGGATCTTCTGCGGAAGGGTGCACCTGCTCTTCACCAACCTCAACGAAATCGTCGCCGTAGATCTGATCAAGCACAAGGACCAGTCCCATGGCAAAGGCTCCATCAAAGCCGGGTTTAACGTTCAAAGAGAAAACGTCTTTCCCAAGCATCACGTTCGTTGACGCATCCACTTTGCGCCGAATCTCAGCGACCTTCCGCCTCGTCTCCGCCTCCACCACCGTGCAGCTCCTCTGCCCGAAATTACCTTCGATCAGGTACTCGCTGCACTGGTACTCCCCGTACACCTCCACCGTCACGCCGTTCCTCCCGATTATCGACGATCTCCTCACCCCGAAGATCGCTTTCTGCCCCTCCGATCTCTCCCCGAGATACCCTTCCCATCTCCGTCGCAAACTCGGCCTCTGTTTCACCCAATGGAAGAATTGAACAGAGTCAGTTTTGAGTCTCTCCGAGTTGACTCAGTAACTGGAAATATCTCAAAGAGCCAATTTTGGAACAAAATTAAGGAGTATCTAAAAGGAAAGGAGGGACCTTTCGTCGGAGGGTGAGGAGACAACGACCGTGAGCGTCCATGAGGACAACCTCGTCGGTGTCGCGGGTGTTGGGACCACCGTATGAGTCCACCCGAAAGACCAAAGTGCCCTTGCAGTCGTAAACCGTGAAACCATCTCCGGCGAAAAAGAGAGAAGTTTTGCGAACAGTCAGGTTCTTCTCTTCTCTTTGTATGAATTCATCGTCCACAAGCAAACCCCCTTTCATTCTCGATTATCCAAATTTCACAAACTCAATTTCGGATTCAAGGGTTTGTTGCCGTGATGATGCTTGTAAAGCCTTTGATTAAAGGTTACGAGTTTACTTATTAGAGAATGGGGAGAGAAATTTGAAGGTTGGGGGAAGAGGAAGACAACGAGTGCAAGATTTATAAAAGGTGCAAACGACACGGAGAGAATCTCATTGAGGAATTTTACAGTCTAAGCAAATGTTATATTGACACGTGGCGCTTACTAGTCTCTTGAACTGTTATCACTTTCACTATTTCTTTCTTCGCTTCACTTCACCGTTTTTTTTTTTTTTAAATGAAAAACGCCACTTTACAGTAAGTAACATATCAATGTACCATCGCGTATTTTCATGTAAGATACATGTAGAGAGTTTAGTTTTCTTTTGTGAAGAGTAATTTATAGAATTAGTATGAAAAAATAACGAGGGAATTTTTTTTTTTTTTTTTCAGCAAAATAACGAGGGAATATAAAAGCAAATACGAAGGGAAAATCTTCCCCCGGGATTTTGAAAATGGGAAAAGAACTTCGTTTTTCTTTTCTCTTTTTCACCTTCATTATATTTTTCGTCATGCCTTTTCATTTTCTAAATGGAAAAATAAAAATCCTCTCACTTTTACTGAATTTTCCTTGAAGATAGTATGTTCTCAGGGCGTTATACGCGCGAGGAAGCAAAATACACACCATTGTTATTGTTAACGTAATCCTCCTTATCTATAGAACATCGAATGATACAATTCGAAAAAGACTGCTGATAAATGATGAATCTGTATTTATTTTTTTATGAATAGAAGTTCGGGTCTCGCAGACTCGTACGTCCTTAGATATTTAAATTTGTACTAATCATTATTATCTTGTGTTTTTTTCGATTTTATTATTGGTATTCAACGATTAAGCGGATTATATTCGTATTAACATTATTTTCATGTGTTTCTTTTCAAAGAAATTTAAGAGATGATGAATTAGTGCTTAACATTATTTTTTCTTTTAGTTTGGTTATCCGATATTTAAAATTTCTTTTTTTGGTTATTGGAAAGGTAATAAATGATAATCGTATTTTGGTAGAACAAGTTATAACTTCTGATTAAAATACCAATCTACGTCTAATAGTATTTTCAGGTATTAGACAATTTAATTATTTTTGTTTTTATTTAGTTATTGGTTATTACATGTATACGTGTGTACTTTTCAAGATTCTTGTTTGACGGTCTTCGGCAACATTAACCTTACATTGCTTCTTCCTTTCCGATCACTGTTTCTCCTTCTCTCCTTTTTTTTTCGATTCTAACAATATTCCACACATATTGTATAATGATTCTACAAGCAGTACATATCAAAAGGGTACTTTTGTTTCTATATCTAGCATTTTTTAAAATAAAGCATAATATCGTGTGGTGTGGGCATAAAAGTTATAAGTTATCGATTCCTCTTTATGATTAGTTAATTACACAAACCAAATAAATCTCGTTTAGAAAAAAAAGTAGCTTCTACATTAGAATAACTAAATAGCTAAATGTTGGTGGATTGAAAATAATGGAGTCATGGAATGCATCTCAATTTTTATAAGTTTAAAGCTCACAGCCTTACACAATATTCTCAGATCTCATCGTTGATATTTTTATATAAAATATGAAACTTGCGTGTATCTTTCAAGGTCCACGACCAGCTAGGCAGTCAATGATATAGTACTAAACTTCCAAAAGTATTGGTTCTGTAACGGAAACAAATTAAAAGTGTGTAAAATGTGGGTTTTGCCATGCCTGAATATTAAACACACATTTGTGTATATATATATATATATCTATATGATGCATGATTTCATATATTAAACCCATCAAGTGGCCTGCATGGGAAAAAAAGATTCCCACTACATATCATTGAACTATTGAAGATAACACAATCCTAACGATGTCATTTAATACTACAAACTAGCATAATATTTTTTTCTTCCTTTTTGTATGACAACGATTTATTTGAAACCTTTAAGCAAAATCATATGTTATGACAAACTTACAACTATCTGATCTTCGTCCAAAAAAATAAAGCAAAAAACACTATTTGATCATTTGACCATAAGCAGCTTTCGTACCCGCATTTATATATTACTTGCACACGTACGTGTATTTTTTTTTGGGTTAAAATGTGTATAGCAAATACAAGTTTTCTCTTAAACCAAAATAAAAAAAGTTTCTCAAAATAATTTAGAAGGTTAAGAAATAATGTTGGCATGTTTTCTTGATATTTTCTTTTGTTTGGTTTTAGGATATTTGGTAGAAATATCTGATTAGGTCAAAAACTACACCTGAAATTCGGATTAAGGGTTGTTTCAAATAAACAAGTATCTAAATTTGGATGTATAAGTCCAACAGTCGATCTGACCCGATTGACTAAAAATAGGATAAAAGCGTACGAGACATATAAAAGAACACGTTTCCAAGGTCGGTTTCTAACCTCCAAAAGATATTTTAATGCATGTGCGATCAACTTTCTCACAAATTAGATCCGTGTCCACGATTCATCATACATATCAGTCGGTCGTCCATAAATGCCTAATGATTTCATCAAGTCCCTTAAACACGATCATGGATTCATGATTTTTTCTTTTTTTCTTTTTTTCTTTTTTAATTTAAAACTTATAACGTATACGGATACTGAAGAGTTCAATAGAAGTTTACGGTTCATATGATTATTAACATGGTTTTCACTTTACATACAGTCAATGATATTAGAAATTCGATCTAAAAGAAACTTAAAGCACTAAAACTATTATTATTCTATTTGTGTTTAAGTAATAATTTTTTTTTAACTTTTCAAAAATATTAAAAATATATATTATAATTTTATCATGAATGTATCTTTTATGATTAGCATTTATATAACTTTAAACCAATTGTAATTCAATAAGCTCATTTTTTTAAGTTTACAATTTATCACTATTAAATAATTAAAAAATAGATAAAAAAATTTAAAATCTACTGAGACGTTGACAGAAGAATTCAAAAACGGGTTAAGTAAAAATCATATTCTAATCTCAATTGACATTATATTGAGAGAATCCAAATTGAAAGAGGCTTTCCATTGGGTAACGAAGAAGTCAGATGCTCTTGTTCTTTTTAATAGTCTTTATTTAAGCACACATTTCACAGTTATAATTTTTTTTTGCCAATAATACTAGTAATAATAGTAGTATTAGACATAATACTAATAATAATTTGGATACACCCAATCTATCTTTTCGAAACATTTTTTTCTTAAACATCTATTTGAAATAGTGGGAATATACGATATCTCATGTCAATTATTATTCATAAAAAAGACAAAAATCTTAAACTCATTAAACTTTAAATGATATTTAATCAGTATATTGTTAAATTTTAACTTTTGGAGCACTAATTTTATAAAAAAAAATCAGGGGCTTGAAGCAAATGCCTTTTTCCTAACAAGCTAAGCACGGCTCTGCATACAGTAACAACGAGTTTAAAAAAAAAAAAAATTGGAGTATTATTTTTGGTTGACATTATACGGTATTTTGTTTGCTGTTTTCTAACTGTTTAATTATTTTCTTGTTTTCTTTCGCTAGATAATTAGTTCAACTACTCCCTTAAATAATCTGCATGCTCGAGTTGTAATAAACTGGGGAATTAACGCAAGGCTTCCAGGTAATTAAATAGTCAATTATTTATAATAATAAAGCAACCATCAAACTGAAACACTGATAAGAAAAAAAGTTAATCGATAAAATATAAAGAGAAACACACAAAGAAGGCAGAGGGAAAGAATCAAAAGAAGACTAGAAAGTGCAGAAGAAAGGAAGTAATTAACAGCAGTAGTATATTTGATTAGGGCAGTGGCCTAATCTTGATTCCATGAACAATAAGGCCTTTCTTCACAGAAGCCCCTTTTGTCTCCTTGAGGTTCATCTCAATTTCGCCCAAATCTCCTCTCCTTTTGAAGAAGTGTCCCTGTTTGACCTCGTACCAACCATCAGTTCTCAGCTCAGAACAGTGACCTTGTTCGGTTGCCCGATTCTGCATGAGACTAACCATGGAAGGCTGAGGAGGCTCTGTGCCAGCCAAGGCAAGGGAGGCCTCGACGGGCTGACGAAAACCGTAGGGAGAATGGTTCCACTTAAAGACAAGGTAAGCAGGCGTAGTGTGTGTCATCAGAGAGAAGGTTTATGTTGAGTTTTCCAGTGATGTCAAGCCACCATACCATAATAAGCTCATGCAGCCACTTGTGTGAACCTGTTTGTGCATGAAATCCCCAAGAAAACCATTTCATTTTTTTTTTTTAAAAAAAAAAGAGCAATGATGATAAAGAGGAAGCTGGTGTGAATGAGAGAAGAAGGAGGAAGACCTGGTATCTGGAAGGGAGATCCACTCCCAGTATTTCTGATCATGTCCCCAAGTTATATTCAAGGCCCTAGCTGCTATCATGTAGCACTTGTTACCACTCCTTCTCTCCAGCCAAAAGCTCTGTTTTTTAAAAAAATCACATAATACAGTCAGTATGTGTGATATATCACAGCAGAAAAAGAAAAAAAAGACATTCCTTTTTTTTTTTGAATCTAATGTTAAATTATATTCAGAAAAAAAAATAAACTTGTTCTACAACTGTGATTAAACGTTTTTAAAACTTAAATCAGAAAAATTGGGAACTATTCTGCTTTGTTTTGAAATTGCTATCGGGTAGAGAACCATATTAAAAAAAGAAAGACATTCCTTCAGTAAGCATTATTAAAGATTTAAGACCGCCATTTAGTATGTTTAAACCCAAAAGATTAATGTCACATATGTTTATAAATATCCCATGGTAGTTTCTGAGATTGGACAGCTAAATAAATTGACATAAAAACAAACTGGAAATCGGATATAATTGGAGTCGATAAAGGAAGTAGCAAGTAACAAGAGAGAGGAGAAAGAAACCAAAAGGGCGTCGGGGAGAAGAAGAGGATTGTGGACGAGGGAGAAGAAGAGGCCTTTCCTATTGGGAAGAAGACCCTCAGCCTCAGGTGCCGCAAAGCCGTCGGGGAATTCGGAAGGTAAGAAATGATTCCAGACACCGTCGGAGTCGGCGGCGGATCTGAAGATCGTGGAGACGGCCGATGATCGGCAAACGTCGCGGGGCGAAGCTAAGCAAGTAATTTTGTTTTACAGTCAACAACGCTTTTCTTTTTCCTTTTTTACTACTATAATTAAGTGCTAGAAATTGCATTTCTATTGTTTAAATTTTATCCATAAAAAGTAGATTAGATATAATCATTGGATTCGACTTTCCAATAATAAAACAGATTTTGAGTTACAAAATGATTTTATCTAGAAACTGATAAACTGAACGAATCGTTTCACTTCGACAAACTGAACTTTGAAAATTAGTCTCTTTTTTTGTTTAGTGTGGATCAACTGCTGAATTTTAGAGAGAGATTAACCTCCATTCGTGGAGTAAACGTTGTTATAAGCTAGTGCCGACTTGGCTAAAGCATCCGCAAACGAGTTTTCAAGACGAGAAATATAAACGAAAAAGAGAGAGAGAAAAAGTAGTCTGTTATTCGCTTTTCCCCCATCCATATAAGAAATCATCATCTGTGATGATCTTAGTGTGGGCCGCACAGTAGGCCCAAATTCTTCTTTTATTGTGACCTATAGCCCAGTTTCTTTTTTTCTTTCTAGAAGATGTTTATGATTCTGTAAGAGATAATACGTATGTCTACATTTTTTTTTGTTACCAAGAATATGGGTTAGTTAAACTCATAGATACGTATGTAGAAGCCTTGAAATTACAAAAGCGACTGTAATTTAACCTTGAAATTATGAAAGCATTAGAAAGAATTACAACCAAACACTATCATGACACGCATTTATAATTAGCTCTCTTCTTATTGATTATCGGAATTTTGATAAGATATAAAACATAGTTATAAATAAAATCTACACTGGATATCTGACTCCTGCAGCTAATAGCCTCTGCTGCTCCAGCTGCAACCATTCAGATAGATGAAATCCAACAAAATACTCGTTTTTCAGGTTTTCTTTATATACTCGATCAAATTATATAAACAGTATGTGTACGTTGTGTGTGTAACTAACTAACTAAGCAATACCAAGTACCTGGAAGAGCTCATGCATCATATTCTTGAGGTAATGATACTCATGCTCTACTACCTCCAGTCCTCTCAAGCACCTGAGGCATCATCATGATGATATATATTGACAGTTAAGTAATATATGTATAAATATGTGAATACAAAGAAATAGTCGTTTAATTGATGAGTATGTACCCAGGGCGGTTGTTAAGCTCGGAAGCAGAGCGAAAGGCAGCGCAGACGTTGCGAACCCTACGAGCACCAATGCTGGAACTGCTCCCCACCAACTGATTCAGATGCAATCCTATCTTCTTGTAGTCCGAGAACTCCCTATCCATCCTGTTCATTCATTCATTCATTTTTATTTAATTTCTGGACCTAGCTAGCTAATAAATATTTTAACATAGTCACATTACGATATGTAAATAATTAATAGAGAAAGATGAAGATAAAAACTCACAGCAATAATCTAAGGTTGCGGAGTAACTTCTCGGATTCGTCGAAATAGATATTAATGACATCGTACACAAAGGTTGGTGAAGTGTCATCTTGAAGTTGCTGCAGCTGCAAGAACTGCTCGTCCAGCACTCCCTACACTCATCACGTATTTAATCATCCCTTAATTTTCACTTAAAAACAGACATATCAATATACATGCATGGATAAATATAATATGTGAAATGGAGATGATGAGACTGTTTAATTTCTATATATAGAGAAAGTAAAACCTGGTGGAAGAGGGAGGTTAGAAGGCGGTTGATGTCGGCTTGAAGCCGGTCCACACCCAACCCCAACATCCACAACGGCACACCCGTCTTGTCCGGTTTTCCGGTACTATCTTTCCTCTTCTTTTTTTTTTTTTTAAAAAAAAAAATTGTTAAACCGGTCTTGCTTGAACTCCTTCTGAGAGGACTTATGTTATGATCCGGTTTTGTGTTGGTTGTAGAGGTGGTATTTATAGATATATATACCTGTGCTTCTATTCAAATTTCTAAGAGTCAGATTACCTTTTTAATTCCCACTTTTAGCGTGATAATCAACAGTTGCTTTTATATATATGTATTGCGTGAGGGTGAATATAAATATAAATTTCACGCGCGTGTGAGAAATAAGGTAAGTGGAAGAGAAAAGGGGTAAGAATCGAGGAGGGTGTGGGGAATAAACGGGACCGTCCCAAGGGAAAAAGCCACAACTCATAACACTCACACTGTACTCTGTACAAAGCAGGGAATGTGTATTTTTTTGTAATTTTAGAGTCAGTCACCGGTTACAGCCGCCAGCCGGTTACCCCGCGTGATACTGCCAATAGCGGCGTTCTTCCTCCCGACAACCACCTGTTACCCGGTCAGATCAGGTTACTCCTCCCGCAGTCTATACTCTATATCTATCTCTATCTGCCTTACTTCAATCTTATTTTGTTTTTACTGATTCTTTCTGTCTTTATTTATATAGATTTCAAGATTACATAAAACATATATAATATTTAAAAAATACAATCAATTACGTAAGTACACCATGGTTCTTTATTTACATTTTTCTTTTTATCTTACATTCTAAAAAAAACAAAAAACCTCAATCGATTTAAATAAAGACGAAGACAGATTCAACGATTGTAAGTTATCGAGTTATAATCATCCTTATAACTAATGTATTATGAGAGCTTTGAGATCTGATTATAGCATAATCATCCACTCTAGACACGGGATACATAATAATACTATATGAAATTTAAAAATGTGGGCATGCATTAGTTTCTGAGACTGTAAAAGAAAGGCCCACACTTTGTTGCTCCCTCGTATGACGCGCGACTTTCCCACTAACTTTGCAGTGAGTGTTCGCTATTCTCCAGGCTTCAAATTCACTCCATCCTTTTCTATTCCTAAAAAGGCCTCTCTCTTTCTCGATCAGATAAAAAAAAAACCCTTGATTTATAGATAGAAAAAAAAAAAACAAAAACGGAAAACAGCATAAGAGTACAAGAAACACAAACACAACACAGAAACATGCGTGAATTGTTTCCCCCAAATAAAGTAATTTTAACATTAGTAAGCACCAAAGGTTTGAAGTTCTTTCCTAGTGTGATCAGTATAAATAATTTTGAAAGAAAATTGTCTGTGACATTCACATAGTAATCAACAACTGCCATATATAGACGGTTTGGACCAGATATATTTTTAAGGTTAAACATGAAACATGGACATGATAATTGAATCCCGACATATATGTTTTGTGACACAGAATATGCTACGTTATTCAGTGGTGTGTGTGTATATCTCAATGAAAGTAAAGCGACTGCTAACTTCTAACTCCTCTAGATTATCTCATAATTATACTATATGTATAAAGCGCCTCTAATAATAAATCTGGCACGTATGATAAGCCGCTAATCATCCTTCTTAATGAGTCGTCTCCGTTGAATCAAAAAGTACAATTATTTACATAAAGTTGCGATAACTAACGAAGAATGATTTTTCGGAATTCGGAGCACAAAAAGCGTGCTCATGAGTAATTATTGTGACCTAGTGTAGAATCATAAATGAAAAACATATAGTAGCTAGCTACAATAGGTTGAACAAAAAAAAAAAAGCTAGCTACAATAAATTGTGTAACTGGAGCCGCGTTATCAAGAAAATGCAAATAGAAATACTAAAAAGGAGCAAAGGGCGTGGTTGAATAGGAACAAACAAATACTTTAACTATATATATACTAACTTAATACTACTTTTTATGCTATCAGAGTAAGTAGTAAAAGTGGAGCGCACAATGAGTGGAGGCTTTTTAAGGTTATATTAACGATTATAACCAATAGTGATTAAATTATGATTACAGAACTATATATATACAAAAGATAAAACAAATTGTTTGTCTCATTCGTATGCCATGCTTGTTTGCGCCCCGTGTTCGAGACTTTGAGTACCCCGTATTCATTAGTCACCACCACCCTTATAAAAAAAGAAAATTCGTATGATTGGTTTTGCTCTTTTTGTTCCATAGGCGCAATATTATATATGTAGAGATGTGTGTATAAAATATCTTTCTACAGAAATCCCAAATGATGGAAAGTCCCGTCTAGCGATGGATAGTAGGGTTGGGCAAAATATCTGTTATATTTGCTTCGATCCGTTATCCGTCTCGATTTGATCCGAAAAATCCGAATATCCGTAATTTTATGGAGTAAAGCAAATATTAAAACTCAATATCCGTTAAAAACGGAGCAAATCACAAATACTAAAATAAATTAAGACGGATATCCGCTCCGCTCCGATATAAATATATATATATAGATAGATAATAATTCATATAATTTATATAATTATTATATATAAATGTAATTTTTATGAATTTTTGTTTATAAATTTGATTATTATAAATATTAAAACTTAATAAGTTAAGTAAAAAAATATATTTTTAAAGAAAATATTGTCATTTTTAACTAAATTTTTATTTTTAAAATTTTTATTTTAAATATATTATTATTTAAATATTTTTATGGGTAGAAAAACGAATATCCGGATAGTTACAGAGCGGATACGGATCAGAAACATGATTATCCGGACAGAGCGGATCACGAATATCCTCAAAATCCAGAATATCCGCTCCGCGCCCAACCCTAATGGATAGCGTCTCTGTCAAGCAACAAGACTCGTTAGTCGTTATTCCTCGCTTTGATTCCGAACAAGTATCACTTTTCCTTACGGGTTAAATAAAATATAATGTACATTAAAAGGAAATAAAAGTGTGGACGTTTTTCTTAAAAAAAAAAAAAATTGGTAGAAACCAATTAATACAGTAGAAACTCGAGAAGGCGATATTGGGTTTAGAGATGGTGAGGAGTGGAGAGCAAAGCGGATCGGACGGCAGCGATAATGTCAGTAAGAGAAAGGAGGCCTTGAAGCCCATCGTTGTGGTCTACGACCCAAAACCTGTGTACACGTTTCGCGGTGACCATACTGATCACTTGGGCCAAGGTGGACGTCACGTGACATGTCACGAGCTCCCTCCCAGGTGTTGACGTGGCAGCGGCGAACAAAGGCGTTCTTGGGATTTTCTCAGCGAACTCCAGCGCGTTTAACGGCAACCACGAACGCAACGTGGCTAAATGACATCCCTTCAGATCACTCGACGAGAACGTCCCAACCACTCTCCTGTTTTTCCCCTGCACCAGCAAAACATAATATATAATGAATGTTTCATACTTCATAGATTAATAAATACATATAATTATAAGAGCTAGTAAAAGTCACGTACGTCCACGAGCTGTCTATGATCCTCTTCATCGCTAGAGGCTTCAACGATTGGAACGGCATTAAGCATTGCCACACTCATGCACTTAACTGCATCCTTTACTCTGGCCTGTAAGAACAACATTACACTATATATAATTTTGTCCTCATCCGATGGAAAATATCCTCTAATCACCTTTGATAATTTCACCTGGCTAGTGATGGCTAAAACGGTATCGTTTACAGCGGAGAGACTGGCGACCGTGCGGGAGAGGATAGCATGGAGATGGGAGGAGGATCGGTGGAGGATGAAGGAGATGAGATCCATCTGAGTCAGCATCGTGTAAGCAGAGGCTGACTCAACCAACTCTGGTCCTGATATACTCTCCATGTTACCGTCCAATGGAACCAATACTCTATGGATTCCTTTGCTCAGCATCTCCATGCAATCCATTATGCTGTTTTTTTTTTTTTTTCTTTCATAATTAGTCTATTAATTCAGGATTATCCTATTCAATTCGTTTCATGCATTTATATATAACTTAATTAAAGCAACCTTAATTAATTAATATCATGCAAAATTTTATTTCAGTAGGCGATGCATATATGTGGTTGTTAGATCAGTAACCTGGTATTGGGGTTGAGAGACCATAAGCTTCGACCCTCAGGGCAATGACCAATGATAGAAGAGACAGGAGCAGCCATTTTCTTATCGAGCCCATTCTCTCCCTCGTTTCCGGCGATGTGCGCCACAACATCCAGCATCGTCACCATTCCTATGTACTGTTTCTTTGCACTTCCTGTCTCTTTGTCCGACTCCACAATCATGGATCCACCAGCCCCTAACCACTGTCCTGGTGCCGCAGCCACCGGTACGGCTCTTACTCCGTTTGCCACCGGTTTGATATAGAAAAACAATACGACATTCGTGTTAGTAAAATTTTGTTGTTCAACCGGTCATCGTTTTCCTAATCCAGGACTACGTACATTAGTTGCAACAAGATCAATATTAATTAACCGTGCTTTACCATGACGTTTAAGGCGTCTGCTAGAGTGGCGTTATCCGAAACTTGGACGAGCCGCCGCTTGTCCACCGTCAGATCTTTGACTTTAAAGTCCATCAGACGGCTGCAGTTTGAAGACTGCATTAATAAGGTTTTGTGCTTGGGCGAGACGACAGAGGAGCTTGAAACTAAGCCTAGTCGACGAAAATGGTTAGAGGCTGATGGATAAACAGCTTATCATTTTTTTCTTCTTTCTTTTGATGCTTCATCATGGTTACCTCATCATCATCAATTATTCATTATTCATATTAGCATGACACGTATTACGTTTTGGTGCACCCATGGCATGTGCTCTCAACACCACGCGTCCCTTTACTTAGATTCTGGTGTTACTACAAGTTACAACATAATAATTTAAACTTTTTATCTACTGTTTGTCCTGCAGTCGAAAAACAAATGCAACACCCCCCAATTCCAAATTTGAAAAGGAAAAACAAAATTTTAAACTAGCAAATCGATTTGTGGATGATGAGAATATGGGCTCGGCCCAAAAGAAAAAAGGGAGCGAAATGAGCAAAGAAGAATTCGGGTAAATTCCAACCGTTTATGAAACGGGTCGGATCCAGAGCCCAAGTCAGCTCGAATATCTCGTGAAACCAATAAATGCAGGAATCGAGAAGCAGGAATTTTGTTTATTTCGTTCCTCGAGTGATCCCGTGAAAGCCATAATGACATAGTAAACGTTTATTTGGTTGGACCCACCATATTCTTACTTACATTATAGATAAATACACACACACACAAAAGAAAGAGCAAAGGGGAAAACACACAATTAATAAGATTCAAAACCCAAGATTCAATAACCCTGCTACTACTACTAGTACGAGCAATCACACAAGAAAGAAAAATGGCACAGTATGGTCTCTACCGCCATATGTTCCTTGTCTTCTCTATGATATCTCCGTTGGTCCTATCTTTCACCGTGATCACCTCTGACTCGACGGCGCCGTCGGCTCTGATTGACGGCCCACAAACTGGATTCACGATGACCAACGACGGCGCGCACACGGAGCCCGACGAGCAAGATGCCGTTTACGACATAATGCGCGCGACCGGCAACGACTGGGCTGCCGCGATCCCGGACGTGTGTCGAGGGAGGTGGCACGGGATCGAGTGTATGCCGGACCAGGATAACGTCTACCACGTCGTCTCTCTGTCGTTCGGAGCGCTCTCAGACGACACGGCGTTCCCGACTTGTGACCCAGAACGCTCTTACGTCTCCGAGTCCCTCACGAGGCTTAAACACCTCAAAGCCCTGTTTTTCTACCGCTGTTTAGGCCGGGCCCCACAGCGGATACCGCCGTTTCTGGGCCGCTTGGGTTCGAGTTTGCAAACGCTCGTTTTGAGGGAGAATGGCCTTTTCGGTCCCATCCCGGACGAGTTGGGCAATCTCACCAATTTGAGAGTTCTTGATTTGCATCACAACAACCTCAACGGCTCCATCCCCTTGTCCTTTAACCGCTTCTCCGGTTTAAGATCGCTTGATTTGAGTGCGAACCGGTTGTCTGGTTCTGTTCCCGGTTTTTTTCTTCCGGATCTCAACGTCCTCGACTTGAACCATAATCTTTTAACCGGACCGGTCCCATCCACGCTCTCGGCCTGTGCTTCGTTGATAAAAGTCGATCTTAGCCGTAACCGAGTCACTGGTACCATCCCGGACTCGATTAACCGGCTCAACCAACTAGTGCTTCTGGATTTGAGCTATAACCGGTTATCAGGTCCATTCCCTTCTTCTCTCCAAGGCCTACACTCTCTTCAAGCTTTGGTGCTCAAAGGCAACACAGAATTCTCAGTGGCGATTCCGGAAAACTCGCTCAAAGGGCTCAACAACTTGATGGTTCTAGTTCTCTCAAATATGAATCTCCAGGGCTCCATACCGGGATCCTTGACCCGTTTAACCAGTCTCCGGGTCCTTCATCTGGAGGGCAACAACTTGACCGGACCGATTCCTATTGAGTTTCGGGGTGTAAAGTATCTAAGCGAGCTGAGGCTAAACGATAATCGTCTGACAGGGCCAGTGCCGTTCGAGAGAGACACAGTGTGGAGGATGAGGAGAAAGCTGAGGCTGTATAACAATGCTGGTTTGTGCGTGAACCGGGGCAATGACTTGGATGATGTCTTCGGTTCGTCATCCGGTTCAAGTGTCAGGTTGTGTGAAGGGGAAACGCAGAGACCTGGTCCTTCTGGTACGGTCCAGCATCTATCTAAAGGAGATGGTGTCACGGACGAAACTACGGACGTGTCAAGCGGTTCCAAGTCTTTGGGCTTCTTTCGTCTATCTGCATTCCTTCTTGTGCTCAGTTTCGGCTACATGCTAAATTCTTGTTAAGGCAGGGTTTAGCAAACAAAACTGCTGTCCTTGTCTGTAAATAAATCCAAAGTTTATTATTACTATTTAACAATCTTTTTCTGCATTTGTGAAAAGTTGTGTTCCTAACCTTTCAATATTGACAATTGCATTTTTTTCCCCCTTTACGGAAGACAAAATAATAAATACTAAGTTTCTTGACTCACCTATGAATAAATTGCATAAGATAGTCGTGACTTACTACACATGCAAGATTTTAGATTCTACTGGCAAAAGGTGTTAAGATTCTTTAAGGAACATATTACTCTTATCTATCTCAGTAACGCACGAGAGTAAAACTCAGCTCCTAAATTGCGTAGTACAATACAAGTCTCTATTGCAAAATTAGACCGAGGAAGTTACAAAGCATGGTAAAAAGTGAGTATATATAATCGTCAAGCAAAGGTGTCCTCACGATCTCCCTCGGCGATGTCAGCCTCCTCCATGTTGCTGAACTCCAGGAAATGAGTGGGTCGATGCTCCTCGTGATAGTACTCCTTCGGGGATCCAAGTTTGACGTTGTATTTCATGCTCACCGTGTGCTTCACTCCCATAAAGTTGTAGTTCCACGGTCCGTTCTCAGGAACCTGTCACAAAAACAATTGTCAGAAAGATCCCATTTCAATTTTATGCTAAAGTAGAACTGGGTACAGTGTTCCTTACCATGTAAAACCCGAGGAACCGGTCACTCAGCAGCATCTGAACCTTCTCATAATGGGTGGGGAGGTAACCGTGAGGATTGCTGCCTGTGTCCTTGTTGAGCCGTCCCCATTCATATCCGGTTTGGGTCAACTTGTATGATGTCAAAGAGCACGAGCCCGGAGTGAAACTGCATGTCAGGATGATGCATTTTTCTCCATCCCATTGTTTGTTGTTCTCCAGAATGCGGGAATGAGATGTAACATCCTATCACAGCAAAGATCAGATCAGTTAGTAACGAGGTTAACACGGTGAAAATAAGCTATAGATGATGCCTCTATATATATATATATATATACCTGTGGTGACAGTTGAGGGAGCTCGTTAGGCTGTGTGTGCAACCATCCCAAGGGCTCAAGATCATTTAGGAAATCATGCTCAGGAAGAGATGACGGCAGGTGAACTAGCTGATGAGTTCCCCACTGCGGCACCATCACAACGCAACGGATTTCCTTCACTTGAGGATTATCCGGGGGACTGATACCATACAAATATCCAGCAATTTGAGTACGAAGATCTGCTATGCATATGAACTTCTTCAGGATGTTCTTTGGCATGATGTATGTGTATCCGGTTTCCTGTGGACAACAAGAAATAATGTCGGCTTTTACTCAATTGAGAAAGTGAACGAAAGTGAATTGGATTCTAACCTTTATGTCATCTGAGTTCACGTAGATGTGATTGACTCTGAGGTAGAGGTTAGTAGCTGATATTGCACGCACACGCCAATCTGTTTTGGAACCGAATGCAGATTGCTCGTAGGGGCTAGTGGTGGTGACAATGAGCTCATCACCATGAACATTTGTCGTTCTGGTCGTGACGGCAGTTAGCTGGCTGGCTTCCTTTGCCTGCAAATAGGATAGAGATTTTACAATGAACAAAGAATAACAACCACAGACCTACTCTGAAAAATTGTTTCAAGATCTGACAGAAGTAACAGATAGGGGTACCTGTTTCTCAATCTCAGCTATCTGTTGCCTCTGTTGAGAGGGTGGAGTAATCTCAGCTCCAAGAATAATATCTCTGATCTCTGATTGTGTCAGAGCCGAGGTATTCACATTGTTCTTCTTTGCGTAGTCAGAAAGGATAAGATCTCTAAGTGCTACCTCCACCTGAATTTAAACATGGTTGTGAATCAGGAAAGAGAATAACTATCTAAACAAAGGGAAGAACGTAGAAGCATTACATATATAGATATATATAATTCCTGAGCAAATAAAGAGACGAAGTAGAGTAAATAGGGATCCTATCAAATAAAATAATATTTGAAAGAAACTAACTAAATGAAAAAGTACTTGAAAAGTGGCAGAAGAGTTACCTTCATCCATTGGTCATCAGTGAGAGAGGGCCAGATGTGATGTGGCTCAGTGACAACAGACTTGTCGGGCTTCAACAACATCTTAGCCTTCTCATTATTCACGTGAAGCGCACGAAGGATCAGAATGAGTCTTGAAAAGGCAGTATACGAAGAAATACTCTTCAACCAATCATCATAGATATTGAATAAGACCATCTGTGGTTCTGTGGCCTTCAAAATCAGATCACCAAATTTCTCAATCTTGAGGCAAGCCTGGAATGGAAGCTGCAGTTCGCTTCCCTTGATAACAATGTTGGGGAAATCCAGCAAGTGAACCTCAAGGGGATCCAGCATTCCTTTACGAGTAACAATAATTTGTTTTGGCTGCTCTTCAACAGGGAGAGACCGCACAAGTGCAGCCACCTCTTCAGCAGTTTTCCACTTCGCTAGCTGACCAAGACGCTTCTGACCAGCCCAAACGCTTGTATGGATAACCTAAAGGTACAAAAAGCAGTTATTTTAAAGATCCAACTGCATGTCATTAGACTTAAACAGAAGAAGTAGCAGACAGCATGCATGTTCTTAATGTAAAGTACGGAAGATTAAGAAATACCTTAAGGAATAGCTGCCCAGTTCTTGGATTGAAAATAAAGATCGCACCATTGATTGGCTTTGTTGTTAAATTTCCTTCAAATGTCTTGTGAATTGTGACACGATAGACATTGGTATCATCAACAAACCATATAATTTGATTGCTGAATATTTCACCATAGTTTTGAGATGACAGATATGGCTCCGTAGGCTCAGATGAGTATAATTGCAAACCTTTCCTTATCCTCTCTCTCAACACGTATAGAGCCGGATTTGACTGCAATATGTTAAGTTTAAACGATAAGACATATGTATAAACAAAAAGGCTCTGCAAAAGACACCCTGATATAAAAATTGTAGTACCTTCATGATCTTGTTCATTGCTTGAGCAAGAAGAGGTTTTGACCCAGGGAACCAATTACCAAAGGCAGAATGCAAGTTGTATGCCAGATCAAGCCCAATCATTACACCTGTACAGATTTTGTCAAAATATTAAACAAACTGCAGAAAAGCGAAAGACTTAACAAAGCAAAGCAAAATGGAAAAGGTATAAATACCTGTTGGAGATGGATAGATAGACATGTTATCTGTTGTATAATCCATGAATTTGGCCCTAGTATAACGTTCAATATCATGGGAGTCATAATCTCCCCATCGAAGTTGAACATCTATCCAGTACTTGTTACTAGCTTTCTGGTCGAACATATCCTTTGACTCAGCAACCAGGCTAGGCTTTGACATTGGCCATTTATGGGCAGCAAATAAAAGAACATCAGCGCAAGAGCTGTTCATCTTATAACTCTTCCTTGGATGAATTGTCTCCTTCTGCACAGTTTCTATCTCCAAAGCGTCCAACTCTTGGTCCAGTACTTGGCAAAGATCCATAACAACACTCTCATGGATCTTTTGCCACAAATGGGCACGGAAAATCTGAATCAAAGATATCTTAAGTGTAGGAATCTTCCCATGCATAAATATTCCCGTCAGATCCAACTGCACTTGGAAACCCACATATACATTCGCTCGATTAATTGTTGGCGACCACCAAAGCGTGAATCTTCTATTTGGAATCTGGTTCAGACCAGACCTCTGCGCATTCGTCAGCTTCTTATATTTCATTGACTCCTCAAAACCAGATGCCTTCTCCCAGAAAAGACCCTCCCATGTTGGGAAACTGATTTTTAAGTAAAACACGGAAAAATTAGCAAATTTGATGTGATACCGTAAGAATAAAGCTGTTATCAACAAAATAAAAGCAGACTTACTATGTCCCTTTGAATAACGTGTGCTCAAGAATACCCTCAACACCTCCAAGAGCTTGGATAACATCAGTTCGGTAATTGTTCAAGTTCCACAACTTCCCATCATGCCTCTGGTGTGTCCACCAGAAAGGATTTTGTTTAAGGACTTGGTACTGCTTAAAGTCGGTCCGAACCCTCCAACCTTTATCATATGCTAGCGTGTGCCTATCCTTCTGAAACAGCGTATTTATACGAGGAATTCCCCTATCCCAAGAGTCCTGTCATATTATCATACAAGAGTTAATACTCTTCCCAGTCATAAAATATTCTAGAAACCTGACATCAAATTCAAAATAACCTTGCCCTTAAACTTCCAAAAAGAAGACAAGTCAACACATAGATATCCTCACTATGTCAAGCAAAGAAAAAAGACTACTTCTAACACTTCCAAAAGAAGGCAAGCTAGCACACTAATATCCATCTCAGAACTCTATAGTAAGAAAAGAGGCAACAAATAACAAGTATGATACTTACCTCCAGATCTTCCAGTGTAAGACGCCTATTTTGGGCCTGTGCTTCCTGCCTCTTTAAAGCATATTCTGCCCACACCCGCTGTGAATCAATAAATTCACTTTCCCATGGCTGTATGTAACGATACAGATTTGGTATAAGCTGATCTTCCTCATGGCTCATTCCACTCCTAAAGTGGGTTACACCAACATCTGTTTGCTTGCTGTATCGAAGGTCACTTTGTGGGATCAAAATGTGACCCATTGACAACATTCCTAGCCCACCGATTTCCTTTGGAGTGTAGAAGATAACAGGAGGAAATCTGCCAAGGAAAAGTAGAACAATCAGGTTAAAGATACATAAATAATAAAATATACAAATATGTCGACAATAATTGAATACGAGAGCTTCTGCTCACCGACTAGGCATCTTTGAGTTCAAGCCAATCTTAATCCTTGTTTGGATTTTGTTCTCACACTTGACCAGTAGATCCAAGAGTTCTTGCGTATGCACAGTGGCTTCACGGAAATAAGTCATGAGACCTGTACAGACACAAAAATTGAGCTCAGCTTTATGCTAGCCAAACATTATTAAAAGCTATCGGTAGTGCCAAAATGGGCTCATAGGATATACCAATTAGAGCTGTATTCCATTTGTTGACGATTTTGGTAAAGGTGGTTGATCCTGAAGACATAAGGATCTGCCTCAC